CTTGAGCCATGCCCCTGCCCTTTTTGCTTTAGTTATTTTTCAGATAGGGTCTCACACTTTTTGCCTGGGCCTGCCTCCATTGTGATCCTCCTACCTCTATCTTCCTTGTAGATGGGATTACAGCTGTGCACCACCACACCTGGCTTGTTTTTTGATACAGGGTCTCAGTAATTTTTTTTTGCCTGGGCTGGTCTAGAACCCTGTTCCTCCTATCTCCAGCTCCCTGAGTTTTAAAAATTTTAAATTTCCTTGTATTTTTCCCCCTTTGGGGTTGGAGAGTAAAGGGAATAGAAGGGTCTTTATTCTGCCCTATGAAAACTTTGGATTAAAGTTAAGCTTTTGTAAGCCTCAAATAAACATATATTTTTAGATTTGAATAGGGAGAATGAGATGTCCCTATTCCCAGATGGATAGTTGCCTTATATTTATGATCCTGACTTCCTCAACTTTCCTTTTTCCTCCAACTCCCCATGCTTCCTCTTCTTGTGTCCTTTTCACCCTAGCATCCTTAAGCAACTGACTGTTTTATATTTTCAACCTGATAATTGATGATTGGACTGCTCATTACTCAGCATGTCAGCTTAGACGTTTTCTAGGCATTGAAACTAAGCATAGCCAATATAAAATCTGTGATTTCTACTCCTTTTCCCCAAAGCTACTCTTCCCCAGCCTTCCCTTTCATATTAGGCACCATCTCCAGTAAGAAAGCTCCCTTTGGGCTAGAGGTGTGGCTCAAGGTGTAGAGTGCCTGCCTAGTAGACAGGAAGCCCTGATTTCAAATCACAGTAATGAAAAACAAAAACAAAAAAACTCCCTTAGAAATATCAGCCAGACCAAGTTCTTCCTTGCTTCAAGCCATTGATTGGCTCCCATTGCTTTGGTAATGACTTCCTTGTCCCACCATGTCTGTACAGTGCTGTGCAGTGCAGCCTCTGCTTCTTGTCCAGCCCTAGTTCCCAGAACTCTTGCTTTTGCCCCCTACTCTCTAGCTCTTCTTTTCTATTCTTTTGGCATTGTGGATATTGTTTTCCAGCTCAAGGTCTTTGTACTTGATCTTCTTTCTGCCTGGGAGGCTTTGCCTTCAGATTTTTTTTTTTTTTTTTTTTTAAGTTGAGGCTGGCTCCTTTCCATTCTTCACGTTCAGATGCTTGGTCCTGATGACCCTTGTGAAAGAGGTTCTCCACTGCGGCCTCACTGCTTCCAAAGACAGTCTTTGCCTCCAATTCTCGCTTTGCTGTGCCATCCAAATAGCAAAGGCAATATGGAGACACTGAACTGGAAAATTTTGGAAGATTACTGTAACATTGCTCTTGAATTGCTTCACTTAAGTTTCAAGAACTTTTAACTTGTTGCAGTTCAACTTACCTCTTTGATGTGAGTGTCTTTCTCACTAAGATTGTAATAAGAAACTCATGTGTCTAGTTCATTGTTCTATTTTTAATATCTGATATTGTCCCTGCACACATCAGGCACTTTAATAAATAGTAATTGAGTCAGTGAATAGACTTGTGAAAGCAGAGAACTGGAAGTGACTTCGGAGACTTACCTGCTGTTGTTTCTGGAGCCCTAGGGATGCTAGCACAGTTAGTTCATTAATTCAGCACCTTTGTGGGTTGCTGCTCTATCCTTAGGTCTTGAGTCCCTGCCCTCAGGGACCTTAGTTCAAATTCATGGTTCTAGACATGGGGAGGGGTGTGGTGTGAAGACAGAGCAGTGTCATCTTTGGCAGCCTTTATTCTCTCATATAGTCACTGATAGGGCTACCTCTGAAGGGCTACTGACATTTTTCCTTTCTTTCCGCTCTTCGGCTCCATCCTAGAGTGCTCAAGACACTCTGTGACTCCTCGTGCGCCCATCTTCTTTTTAATTGTGCACCAGAAATCTTGATTTGATAGTTCATACATGTACTCCCGCCGCTGAGCTCTGGAATGCCATTTAAGCCCTGGAAGATATCCTATAGCTTGCTCTGTCTGGTTTGTAGCTCACCCAGCCCTTCAACGTTTAACCCAAGCTCTCTTTCAAATTAATCCTCCTTGCTTACTCTAAAACTTCAGAATACTCCAAAGCTATTTTTTGAAAGCTTAGGTTAGTTTATTCCTCAATGACCAAAATAATACCTGTCACATAAGATTCCTTTGTGACTTTTCTTTGTGATGAGACCAAACTACAATGTGTATGCACATATGTGTCCATATACACACACCTATATACACAGGTATTCTTGCTCCCCTCCCTAGATGTAGATGTGTTTTGTATACTTAGCACAGTATTAGGACTGAGCAGAATTTCATTTTTACCCTGCTGTGCCAGCCAAACAGCAAAGGGCAATATGGAGCCATCAAATTGCTGAATTTCAGAAGGTTACTTTAACATTACATTTGAATTGCTTAATTTATTTTCACTTTGAATCAGTTGCTAAGCAACCGGGAAGACAGGGCAAAATCAGCAAGGCTAATTTGGTTCTGTTAGTAGTATGTTAGCATCTCTTATATTTACATAGACAGTTGGTTGTAAATATATTTCATCCAATGTGATGCTCTGTTTTGTCCAAAGAAAACAGTTGGTGTGGAAGTTTTAGCAAGGCTGTGGTCTGATTGACAGTTCTTAGATTCACACTCTCACTTTAGGTAAGTGTGAAGTTACCTGAAGTTCCAAGCCCCTCTTGTTCCATTTGTTTGTTAAGTGACTTGACAGTGACATGCACAGGTGTCAAATGGTCCTTGCCACCATAATGAATGCAACCTGCTTGTTTCTCACACCAACTTATATCAGGTTTTTGGGGATGCCTAACCATCTAGCTATTAGTATATAAAATAATGTTACAGAAAAATAATAGGTCATTTTATTCTCTGTGTCATACTGTGGATGAAAATTAAAATTGTTATCCTCATTTGGTCTGATCAGAAGTTAATGCTGGTGACCAATATTTTGAATGCTTTTTAAAAAGTCATATGTTTATTTAAGGAAGTCATGCTGGCCCAACCTAGACATGCTGTCCTGTGTCAAAAGATAGGACATTGAATTCTGGCCAGTAGTCTCATTGTGTGTGATTATTCATGAGGTGTATGGAGAGTTCATATACATTAGGCTGGGAGAAAAACTGTCTCTTCCAGTGATGTCATTAAGTTGTCACTGAGACAGGAAATGACTGTGACCTGTGCCTTTCAGTAAGAGGCCGGGGAAAGCAGCCTTATCTTTTAAACTGGTTTCCTGTTGAATCCTTTGTTCCATAAAGACCTAGACAGGATTTTTCATATATAATTAAAACTACTTTCAGAGGGGTGAATCAGATTCTTGATGAAGGTGAATATCGGTGTCCCTGTGTTTATCTTGTAACTGCCTGTGACTAGGTAGAAATACTGAATTCTCGAAGGAGATTCTAGAAATGCAGAAAGTAACTTTTGCATCTACATTTAAATAATGTTTTGTTCTTAGTAGTGTTGAATATAGTATATTCTAACAATTAATTGATCCTGGCTATAAGAAAGAGCCATCTGAATTAGAGGACGATCTTGTTGTTTATGTACTTGTCAGTGAATGAATTTTTCTTACTTTGAGACTGTTATTTGGCTAGGAAAATAAGTAAGTATTTACTCATGGAAGTTCCTTTCAGGGAATCTGAATGAAGAGACAAGAATAAGTGTCATATACAGTACTTACCTATGTGTAGGGTGCAGTTTTTCCAAATCTGAGCATTTGCTTCAAGCTTATTAATTTTACAGATACCATTTGTAAACTCAGTATTTCAAGCTGTTAGCTTTTCAGGAGTGAGTGCCAATTTTAAAATATAGGTTTCATAATGAAATAATTTCTGAACTTTTGTGTGCGTGAGGGGGTGGAGTGGAGGGTGATGGGGATTGAACGCAGGGTCTTGTGCATGCTATGCTATACTGCTGAGCTATGCCTGCAGTCCTCTGTACTTTTTGGATGGCATATCCTCAGGAAAGTATTTTGGTGAATATACCCCTAAGCTCTGTGTGTGTCTGTATTTTAAGTTACATGCATGTGTGACTGCCCTAGTATATTATATACATATAAAATAATTAGGACAGTGAAAGTTAATGAAAAAGGTGAAGATCAAACAGTGTCATGTCCAGTTAATCACGAAGACTTCATATACTCGTTAATATCTCAATGTACATGGATGCTGTAGGGTAAGGGCCATTGTTAAAGACATATTCTCAGTGGTTTTGATTTTTAACTTCTGGGTGATTTTTATTTAGACCTGGTTAGATCATCATTATTTTTACCTTAAAGTAGATGACAAGAGGACTAAGGGAAGGACCAGTTCTTCCTTTCTCTTCCTTACCACTAGTGTGTTTAGCATTGTAATTTCTTTGTAGAGATCCTTGAAGCTGCTTGTCCTGTTGTAAGGGTTGGTTATGCTACTTAAGACAGCGTATGAAGTCATGCAAGCATATTGAATGGAAGCACAGGATGGTGCACTGATGATGAGGAGACAGGGTACATCCTGTGTCCATGGGAGTTCAGATATTTGCTTTCTGTATTCCAGAGGCTTACTTTGCTCATGATGCCGGATAGACCGCTGCCCTGGCAGGATCTCCAGACAAGCTAAATATATATTGCATTTAAAACTTAAGTGAGGGGACTGAAGAGATTGGGGTTTGTGTAAGGAAATCCTCATATGTATTGTTGTGTACAGTGAAGGCTCTTCTTCCTGTAATTGTCCAGTGTGACGTGAAGGCGTTAACTGTGGACAGTTGTTAAGAGCACTGGATTTGGATACTGTGTCACAGCCCTGCCACTAATGACCATGACCAGTTAGGCTCCCTTTATGTCAGCCTCAGTTCCCTCATCGCTTGCTTTATACAATGGTGGTGAGAATTCAGTTTAAAAAGGAAGGTGTATAATAAGGCTTTGTACCATCATTGACATGTAGCATACTTTCCAGTAGCTTGTATAAATAACATTGGAAAGCTATTGCCCATAGGTTGAGTGTATGTATCCTTGGTAACAGTTCGCCTTTGTTTCCCTTCTAGACTGCCTCTTCAAGCTATGTCCTATGAATCGCTACTCTGCCCAGAAGCAGTTCTGGAAAGCTGCTAAGCCCGGGGCCAATAGCACTACGGATGCAGTGCTGCTCAACAAGCTGCATGTATGTATGGCGATTGGGTGTCCACGGTGGTGTCCATTGGTGGTGTCCATTGATGGTGTCCATCATGGGGGTGTCAAGTGGTCATCAGGGTGGTGTTTGAGAGACCAGGGAGGGATTGGTGTGCCACCCTCCAACTCTAGCTCCCAGCTTTCTTCGGTTCTTTCATAAAGGATTAAGAGGCAGAGGACCCTAAGAAGAGGTGAGCATAGCCATCTTGAGGTATCTGGGGAGCCCCTCTTTTCTCAGCTGTTCCATTTTGGGATTGGCTTTGGACACAAGCTATAGAAGAAGACTGCCTAAAACTGAGTCCTGGCTCTTCTCATTAACAGGTGACCTTAGGCAAGTCACATAGCTGTTTCCCAACTCTGCTATTTCCCTGTAAATGGGGATGATGATAGTACCAGCATTAGGAGGAGGGTGTAAGGATTACATGAAATGAGACAAGAACAGCATATGAGCACCACTCAGCACATAATAAATGCTTTATAAATGTTGGCTATTCTTTAATGGGTTTTGGCTATTATCCAAGTATTTATCCCATAATTTGGCATGTAAAAGATGTGTTCATTCTGCTCCTAGTGTACTGTGTGACCACTGCAAGCTTTTGAGTCTCTCTGAGCTCATTTCTCATGCAAAACAATGATAGAATTCTTCTAGTGCTCTGTGCTTGGGAACTACTCTATGTGGAAGTTCTTTAAGGTGTTCAAAGGGAGGATCTGATCTTCATCAAGTGTAGTGTTACTGAAATTGCACCCCATTCTTGCTTCAGTTTTCTTCATGTCACTTATAGTCTTTGTGACATGCTTTTTAAAAAAATTCTGATTGTTTCCTGCTCCCTCCTAAAACGTCAGCCAGAAGAAGGCAGAAGGTTGATTCCAACCTGCTTGGTCCTGTGCCCTTCCTGCCTATAGCAGGGTTTGGTGCATGCTAGGTACTCTCGTAGTTGACTGAATAAACAATGATGTGTCTTGGTGCTCAGGATCTTGGTTCAGGATCGCTGAACACGGGGAGATGGTGAGTATGGAGGAGCTCACAGGTCCTCCATCTCAGCCTGCTCTGTCTTGATGTGGCAACATCTTAACCAGCAGTATTTGGTAAGGTTGTGATCAAGAGACCTTTTCATGCAGCATGTACTGTTCAGGTGTGGACCCTGTGCTCAAGGTAGGAGCAAGGACAAGGTTGCAGCTTCCTTCCTTCAATGAGCTTGTAGTTAGCCTCATATGAGGACGTGCAAGTGTCACTCCTATTTTCCCTAAAATGAAATTAGGCTTTTTGTGGTTATGTATAAGATCACACATGCCTGGACCCTGTTATTCCCTCTGAAGCTTATAAATAACACTCTAGCCTTAGTAGCTTTCATTTATTTTTTTAATTTTTTTGAGCACCCCAATCTCATACCAGTCTTGTGACCTTTTTCACCATTTGTCCTGTATAGAGTACCTTTCTCCAGGCTGTTGTTAAGCTAGGACCTTTGCATCCTTCATGTCTCAGCTTCAGTGTCATCCCCACAAAGTCTTCCCCACCTCCTCATCTAAGAGATGTTTGGTCAGTTTTTCTTTCCCACAGCTCCCTGTTTATGTCTTTCTCAGCCCTGATCATAGTCTGCAATTATATTTAGCAATTTCCTTAATTATCTGTCACTCATTAGAATGATGAGTTCTACAAGGTCAGAGGCAACATCTCTTGTTCACTGTATCCCCAGCTTCTGTAAGAGTGTCTGGTGCATTGTAGGCACCACAATAAGATTGAACACTGTGCTAGGTGCTGGTGGTAGAACAGTGTCAGAGCCTAAAGCCCCTGGGAACTTCATAGGAAGTAAGGATTAAGGAGGTAATGACAAGACAGTGTGACAAGTACTGTATTCCATGACAAACCACCTGAGGCTGGGGGAGTACATAGAAAGGGTATAAAAATCTTCTTTGCTGGGTAAGGGCATGCAACACAGAGGTCAGGAAGGACTTCCTGGAGGAAGAGGGAAGTGACAGGCAAGCTTTAATTGAGGCATCTGTTGGAGTTAAAGAGTAGAACAAGAAGAATCAATGGGAGCAAAAACCTGCAGGCTAGAGATTGCTTTGGAGACTTCAGGAATTACATCAAGCCCCATGTGGCACATACCTATAATTTCAACTTTTGGGAGGTTGAGGCAGGCTAATCAGAGTTCAAGGCCAGTCTGAACATAGTGAGACTGTCTCAAACAACCAAGGGCTGGGAGAAGGGTTGTAGCTCAGAGGTAGAGTGCCCGGAATTCAATCACCAGCACTACAAGAAAACCAAACCAAAAAAAGATTACATCATCGTTACCGTAATGATACTAAACTTACTCAGCGTTCCAAGACTCCTTACTCCCTCTTGATAGCAAATATTATACAGTGTTACTGAAATTCCTAGACATCAATTTTGTTTTTGTTTTTGTTTTTTTAAACTTATAAAGGCAAAAGGAAAGGAAAGTAGAAAATTGTATAATAAATGGTTTACTTAATGCTTAGGGACAGGTCCTCTAGGAGACATAAGGGAATCAGCACTTGCATCTTTTTGTATAAATCCCATGCTTGGGACAACTGTAGATCATGCCTGATGTAGAGTGTGTAGTACTGGTGACAAAAAAGCATGTTATCTGTGAGGTGAGTTTTCCAAAATGGCCAGCAGCTCTTGGTAACGTTAGGAGGATGCACAGTATTTTCTTCTCTCCATTGAACAATACGTGCACTTTTGGAAAACGTGCTGATGATGTACTAATAAAACCCACAAAGCCATGCTTGTTGTTGATATATAAAATGGAGTGAGGTGCTAGGTTCAGGGAATTGCAGATACGATTTAATCTGTGTGGAGATACAGCCAGCCATAAAATTGGGTGGGATGAATGTCGGTTCCTTATTCAGGACTGAAGCAGGCATTTTACCACATCCAGGCTGCCTGGTTACTGTCTGCTGAACTCCTGCAGCCCTCACCCCCACCCAGTTTGGCTCACAGTCTTCCTACCAGTCAGAAACCCCTGAGGTCTGTTTTGGGAACATGGGCTTCTCCTTGAATGGGCAGGGAGCATGGAAAGGGAACCTCCATCCTGCCTGCTCCTGGAGGGAGCTATTCAGGGCAGATGCCTGGGGTCAGCTTTGTGGGAGGTCAGTTGTTCCTGCTTTGCTTCTCTGGTATGAAGCTCATTCTGTTTAATGAGATCTTATTAGAACATCTCAAATTCTTCTCCTATGCTTCCACAGCAGGGGTTGCAGATTCAACATTGCTTTAGGCCAAGTAGGAAGCCAAAAGGAATAAAGGTGGCTTGGTGAGCAGTGTTGCCATGTGGGGGTGGGGTGTGCAGGTGTGGGAGGGCTCCAGAGGGCAGACCTACCTCTGCAGCTACTTCGTGGGAAGGTGGGCCAAGACCTGCACATGTCTTCTGCTCTGACGAGAAGATGAAAATCCATGCTTTTATGTGTAATATCCCAATTTTTAAATCATGTTGGCAGTTAATTTAATAAATTTAGGCTTAAGCCATATGTTCAGTAACAACCTAGAGTGACTCAGGCTCAAACTGGATGTGAATCTTTGGTCCTTTTTCCAACCTGTGATCTATGCTATATTTCATCAGCAATTCCTTTTGATGCTCCTTCTTGCAAATGAACTGTGAAAAACAGTACAGTTTAAAAAAAAAAAAAAAAGTCAATCCTAAAGGTGATAGTGAACCTCTAACTTCTAGGACCAGGTTCAGTGGCTGACCTCTTTGATCCCAGCTACTTGGGAAGAGACTATGATTCGGGGCCTGCCTGGGCAAAAAGTTAGCAAGACCCCATTTCAACAAATGAACCAATGGTGGTGGCATGTACCTGTCACTCAAGCTACAAGGGAGGCATAAGTAGGTTTGTGGCCCAAAGAAAGCCCTGGGCAAAAAAACAAACTGAGCCCCCATCAGAAAAATAAGGCCAAAAAAATTTAAAAAGAACTTTTAACTCCCTGTGTGTGAGAGAATCAGTTATCTCTTTCATGCTGTTTGTGCTTAAAAAATAAATATAAAAGGAAACCAGTTCTTTGCTCTGACTTAAGATTCCTGATGTGACTTTGAGGTCTTGAGTGCTGATTTGTACTAGACTTTGTGTGGGGCTTTTTCCCTGCGTAGTTGGAACTTTCCCTCTGTTCTCTGAAAGTAATCTGCATGTTTCACTGCAGTCATTAAAATGTTGTATTTTGGGCAGCCACTTGCCTTTGGGGGCCAGGGGCCAGTCTCTAGTGGGTTTTCATTTTTATTTTTGTCAACTTACTGTGCAGCACCCCAGTCAGAGGTCAGATTATTTTAAATTAATGCCATTTAAGGAATTAGTTGTCTAGACCACTTTACTTCCTTTTCACTAGGATAAGCAACAAAACAGCACTCTGAAGGATGACATCTAGTGGCTGGTTACTGTGTGTGCTCATTCCTTCTATGAGAAAATGGGATTCTCACTTTGGGTCATGATTTCTCAAGAGTCTCTTGGCAAAATGATCCTCCCTTGCCCTCAAATCACACAATAGGTTTCACAGACCTTGGCTGTTTCCTAACAGCAGTTACCTCTTACCTTGAAACAGGCACCTGCATTGTTTGGACTCAGAGGTGATCATTTAAGTTAAGCTGACCCTTGACAAGCTAGAAAGAACCAGAGGAGTGACAAATCTTTATTGTCCTTAGAGCCTGGGTTGTGCATTGCTTATTTTCTGACGATGAATTCAATATCATATTACGTAATTCAGAGCTTGTTGACCTTTCCCCACTGTTCCAGTGCCCTTTCTATAGTAATTTAATAATGGTGTATTTATTTCTGAAATAAAGTAACAGGTGACTATAATGGGGTTGACCCTGATGTTGTTTAAGGAACATGGTAATGTCAGTGGGGAATAATAATGGTAGAAACCATAGCATAGGGTGTTTTCTTCCTTAGAAATTAAAAACAGTCCTCAGTTCATTGTGCAAGGGGAAGAAGTAATAGGTATTTTTATTTATTGAGATTTTTAAAGAAAGCAAACATAACAGATTTAAGATGGCTTTTTTCTTGTTTTTATTATTGTTGTACTAGGTGTACATTGTGACATTTACAAAGTTCTTACAATATATCATAGTTGAATTCACCTCCTCCATCGTTCTCCTTTATCCCCTCTCCCCCCACCTCTTGGAATAGTTTCAGTAGGTCTCATTTTTCCATTTTCATACATGCGTATATAATATTAACACCATTTAACCCTCCTGTACCTTTCCTTACATCCTCCCCCCTCCCACTGGTACCAGCCCCACACACAGGACCTGCTTTGCCTTCCTGTTCTCTGTTTTTGTAAAAAACAAAATGACATTTTTGTTTAAGATGGCTACGCAGGGTGTTCTATTATGATATTTCCATGTATATATGTAACATCCAGGCCACTTGCCATAGAGGCACAATGAAGATATTTGTGGAGAAGTTACACACATGAGAACTACAAGAAAAGACTAAAATATACGAATAGAAGGCTGCCAGTAGGAGCATGCTGTTTTCCATTGCTTTAATGTGTTTTTTTTTCTACTTTTTCTTAAATAAATAGGAAGTTCTAGTCTCATTTTTAATGGCTACATGGTTACTACTCTGTTTTTTGTCAATATTATGATTTCAGATAATGAGTCCCTGTGTAGGGAGAGCAGTATTCAGAATCCTGACAGTTTTTTACCGTTTTGGAAAAAAAAATTGTTAATGGTCTTGTACATTTGTCAAGTTATCTATGCAAGAGAAGCTCCTCGAAAAAGAATTACTTAGCCAAAGTTATACCAATTGAAAACCTTCATGGTCTATATTCCCAGATTATTCTCCAGAAAGTTCAGTGTTACAGTGCAGACCCATTCTTAGAACACACTCAAGGGACTTAACAAACCATGATCTCATTCTTTTCAGTGTGGAAACAACCTTGGTCTGTGGGCCCCGTACAGTCTGGACCTTGCTACCTTTTTATCTACCTGTTACTTTGCCTGTTGAGCCTAAAAATAATGATGAATGCTTTTGTTTAAAAACTGAGTTTGATTAGAGGTATGGCTCAAGTGGTAGAGTGCCTGCCTAATAATCAGGTGGAGGGCCTGAGTTCAAACCCCAGTACTGAAAGAAAAGAAAAGAAAAGAAAAGCTGAGTTTGGTTTTGTGAAGGGAAAGATTGAAGGGCCAATGAGTAAACTTGAGCGAGCGCAGTGGCCATTTATGCACTTGACCAGAAGGTACCTTCACGACTTTTCTCCTCAGATAAAGAAAACCTGTAGGAAAAGTGCATTCTTAGAATGGTTCATAAGCTTAATGCTTTTAGTGTTTACTTGGTAATGATATGTAGCCTCAGTATTCATTAAACTTGTTAACAGAGATAAGAGTTTTAACTCTTAATTTAATAGAGTTTTAACTGAGTTTTAGATGTGATATTCAAGACTGTCTTGTTGAAGTCCTTAGATTCTGTTCTCCAATATTTTTATTTTCTGTTTTTTTCTTTTTAGGCAAATATATTTGCTCTTTAGAGCTGCTGGTGTTTAATTAGTCTTTAAGAAGGAATAGACACCTTTTTGATGACTAACTTGATATTTCTTTTTTAGCTATGGCAGTGTCCCCTGGGTTGCTACTTTTATACCTAGTTTAAGCTTAGGTAGGAAGTTAATATTTTAGATAGGTGTGTCTTAAATTGAGGCCATTGGAAATTGTTGAGAGTAAGGGGAAGGTCCATGAGAGAATTTTGCATCTTAAAGAGAGGCTCTTAAATCATTTGAGTTAAAAAAATGGTACTTAAGAATTTTCTGTAGGTAAATCTTACTAGTGTAATGTTTTGAGCACAAAGAACTATTTCCTTTGTGGAAAATGTTAGATTTTATTTTTCTCATCCACTGATTTTCCTCCCTTTGACATGTTTTCCCTCTTGAATTCTGTCAGTATTAGCTGAGAACTGCTTAGCAGAAAGAAGAAATCACTCTGTACTAAGTATAAACATTCACTCCAAGTGGATCCAGTCTGGTATTTTGTTTGGAAAACTACCTGCAGAGTCTGTGGATAGTGTAGAGATGTTTGGAGGGGGTGAAACACAGGCATGAAAACTGGGAGAACAAAAGATGGTGATCAATTAAGGAGAGGATTTAATGGAAAGGAAAGAGTATGAGAAGAATTGTGCAGAGGGCAGAAGAATTATGGATGCCAAGGGCTACCATGTTGTCTGTACTGGTATTATTGTTGAATGTGTCTAGAACTCAGACTGCCTTTATCCTTGTGCAACTGAGAATGACCATTGGTAACTAATTCCAAAAGAAAACTGGGAGGCCTGTGACTGAAGCATGGTTTTCAAGAGCTGATGCAGATATGGTCAACTTGCAGCAGTCTACACTGATATAGGCAGATAATTTCCCTCCTACAATATAGTTTTGCTTGGGGTTATGATTGCTTCCTGCAGTTTTCTCAAAAGATGTGCCTTTCTGAAATTGTCTACAGTTCAGGTATAGCTAGAACAGAAACTGAGTTTGAAGGAAACTGAAAGATTCTTGATCCAGCCAACTTAGGTCACCTTTTGAAATTTTTATCAGACCATTTCTTAGTGTTAGAAACTTCTGTACACTAATAGTGGTAAACATCTTTTATTGAAGGGACCGAGGGTTTAGCTCAGTGGTAGAGTGTTTGCCTAGCATGAGCAAGGCCTGGGTTTGATCTAGTACTGCAAAGTAAACAAAGAAATAATTATTGGATGTCTATGATATATCTGACTTGCATTTTCTCTAGTCTTCGCAATAGCCCTAAAAGGCTTAGAGTTTCCCCATTTTGTGATGAGAGTACTGAGTGAGACTGGGTGAGATTAAGTGACCTGGACTAGATGACAAATTTGGATGTAAAGGTCCAGAAGGGCCTTGTGAAAAAGCAGACATGTTACTTGGGAAAGGTATGCTTCCCATTGGTATCTGTTGGCCTCTTGCCTCAAAGAATGGGGAGACTCTAGGAAGGGAGTGTTACAAACTCTGCGGCAGTACATTACTGGGTTTTACCTTCCATCAGATTCCACACTGAATTTCTTTCCTTATTTTACTTTTATCTAGCTTAGGGTTGGGTGACAGGTTGGGACAACAGACTGCTGATTGTCTAGGGTGTACTAGTTTCCCTGTTCAGAGTTGCTCAGTAAAATGAACCTGGAGCCTATTCTAGAACCTCTCTTCACCGTGTTTCCTGGTATGCTAAATTTGGACTGCTAATATCTCTCCACCTTATTTGTAATTCTACACATTTAGAGTTAACCCAAATGTGGATCTGAGGATTATCTCTGTCATTGAATAAATGCGATTAAAAATTTAAACATCATCAAGCAAAATTTCAGATGTTCACAGAAGTAGGAAAAATAGTTAACAAACCCACATTTGTACTCATCGTATAACTAGCTAGTGATGTTGGTCAAGCTTTTTAATTTTGTTATTTCTTCTTAAAGATCAGGGCAATCATCTTCCCTTCAAGGGGTTACTATGAAATTCAGTGAACTAATAATTAATGTCTAACAATAATAGCTAATAACCCACATGGGCTACAGTGATTGGACTCTATGCCATGTGGTTTATGTGAGGTGTAGGTTCCATTCTTACCCTCTGTACAAATGAGGAAATAGGCTCACAGATATTAAATAAAAAACTGGAGGTCACAAGACCACAAACCACCCCAAACCAGCATTGAAGTCCTGTTTTATTTTACTCCAGTGCCTTAAAGAGGACATTTTACAAATCACGAAGGGGAATGCAAATTTCCCTCCTGACCTTACTCCTTTTTCTTTAAAGTGTATAGGATTTTGACTTGCTTTCCATAAGAAAATGTCCATGAATCCCCTAAAAAACCCCTCATTTTAAAGAAGCTTTTTGGCTTTTTTTTGGGCAACAAAGCCCAGGCAGGGTAGATGGCTTTGCAACCCTTTGGCTCACTGCACATAGCCTTAGGGTATGCTTCGGGATTTGCTTATTTCTGTGGTTCTGGCTGGAGACATTTGGTTTGCTTTGCTGCAGAGGTGTATAACCCATTGTTTCCTCTTTGTGACCAATCTTCCCCTCTCTGTACAGCATGCTGCAGACTTGGAAAAGAAGCAGAATGAGACAGAAAACAGGAAATTGCTGGGGACAGTGATCCAGTATGGCAATGTGATCCAGGTAGGTCAAGGCTGCTCTTCTCTTCTGGAGCTGAAGCATGACAAAGAATGAAGCAAGAAAAACACAAGGAGCAAGGTTTGGATTCCTTCATACTAGGAATCCATGGAAACAGGCAGCCTGTGTATTGCAAAAATCCTAGTGCTTCTTGTTACATATGATGGACTCTTGGGCCTTGATTTGGTTGCCTCTTGGTGTGAGAATCTCCTTTCTCTGCCTGTAACTGATCATTTGTGTGCAGATATTTCAAACAGGAAACTTCCTGCCTGAAAAGGAGCCTGGCTGTTGGAGTTTTGCTTAACTTGCATTGCTTGAAAGTTCTTTTTATTTGGTGGAAATTGATTTTCCCGTAACTTTTATCTTTTGCTTAAGAGCTGTTTTCTAGAGATAATAAAAGCAGTTGTGTATTTCAGATTTTTTAAAAATCAGCAATAGTCGGGCACTATGGCTTATGCTTGTAACCCTAGCTATCTGGGTGGCAGAGATGGGGAGGTTAGTGATTTGAGGCCAGCCAGGGCAAAAAGTTCAGGAAATCCCTTCTCAACCAGTAAAAGCTGGTGTGTTGGCATGTGCCTGTCATCCCAGCTCTGCAGGAAGTATGAATAATAGGATCATGGTGCAGGCTGGCTCAGGCATAAACGTGAGACCCTGTTTGAAAAATAACTAAAGCAAAAAAGGGCTAATACCAAGTCCTGAGTTCAAACCCTGTTACCACCAATCAAAAGGGAATATTTATCATTTTGATACCTATATAATATTTATCATTTTGATTTATATAAGTCAAAAATATTTGATGATTGTTTTCACACCTTATGGGTTAGGAGGTTTACTTGCTTATTTTCTGTGCCTTTAAATTGTCATGGGACAAAACATAGTCCTAGAAACAGTGTCTATAGGTCTTGCTCAGAAGATCCATCTGCATCCATCCCAGGCTTGTAGAAGATGTTAGAGGGAACCCAGGGCCCAGAGGCCTTCTAGATTTGTCCAGTTACTGGGTCATTTTGATCCAGGCACAAAGAATAGTAGTTATCAACTTTGAGAACCTAATCCATTAGATTATCTTGCTTCATTATTTCCCTTTTTGATTTTGCTTACTATGTAAACTGCACACATTACAAAGGAATTCCTTCCATTTTTATTGCTATTAGGTATAGAAAAATAGTAAAAAGCAGCCTTACTAATTAAATGGGTTATTTACGTTAGACCTTCTGGAATAGTGAAGGTAGTTCCTAAAAGCTGAAGATCAGGTCCAAGTTCCATCCTGTTGAGAATGTCCACAAGGGTCCAGGTGAGCTCACGGTTCTGTATCAGCTCTATTACTGAGAGGGCCAGGGCCTTGAGGCCCAAAGTGCAAGAACCCCCCTATTTGGTTAGATTGGAGAATGTTGCTGGAACTGAAGCTGAACAAGGTGCATAGGGGCGAAGGGCATAAACTCCTAAGTGCATTCTAGTCCAGGTGTTGTGACTTACTGTGAGATTCTGGGCAAGGGATCATGCCATTCTCAGAGAATGCAAAATAGAGATGTTCAGGCTTCATAGTAACTGGGACTATATAGTAACTAATCTTAGTTTTAGTACTTCCCTAAGTCTGGATCTTCAGACTCACCTGTAAAGAGATGTTGGTTTATAAACCAACCAAGTCTGAAGTCTGAATTGGTCACTGGTGGTCATCAACCACCTCCCAAATGAGGGTTTGGGAAGACATCACCTTTTCCTTGTTTTTCTTGCCCACGGGTGGTCCAGGGCTTATAGATCAGGCAGGTTATTTCTCCATCCTCACCAGTCCTGTTACAATATCTGGGGACTTCACAACGGCACCCTAGTAACTGTAAATATTAACATGCAAACAGGGGATTATTGGCAGGTGGCAGTAGAATTATAAGTGGATTCTTCCATTTCTCCAGGGACTGTGCAATCTTTCATATTCCCTCCCATTTTTTCCTACAACCTGGGAAGCCTTGGTAAGCACTTTCTGGTGTAGGCCAACTGTAAGATAAATTTTTCCCCATTTAGATCTTTCGTCTTTCCATCCCCTTTATGTAACCATTTTCCAAGAATCAAGAATAAAGTGCTTACAACATTCAAGGTCTATGGCCACCACGTTCTTCCAAATGAACTAACAACCGCCTAATGGGGTTGTCTTTGAAATCAAACTGTTTCTGTGTTCAGAATTCCCTTCCTTTGTTCCCCCTTGTTGCCTGGGCTTGTTCCTTAGCCCCTTTAAACAGGGTTGGGCTGTTCCCCTAACAGCTGGCAGATATGGTCCAGTTAACCTGAGTCACATCCGTCTTGTCCAGGGCTATGTTGAGAAAGAAAAAAAAGGTTTTTTTCCTTCTCTTCTGCCTTTGCTCCTGCTCCCCTTACTGTTCTTTCTTTTCTCATCATTCCCAGCCTTAGGCACTGTGTGTTTCTTCTATTTCACAAGCAGCTCAGTGGTGGGAGGAATGTTGGATACATATTTTATGTAACTGACAGAGGAATAGTAGAAACTCAGAGATTTGCTGATACTGACCTTATTCTCTTGGCTGGTTTTTTAGCTCCTGCATTTGAAAAGTAATAAATACCTAACTGTGAATAAGAGACTTCCAGCTCTGCTAGAGAAGAATGCCATGAGAGTAACATTGGACGAGGCTGGAAACGAAGGATCCTGGTTTTATATTCAGCCTTTCTACAAACTGCGATCCATCGGAGATAGTGTAAGTGCAAACCCTCCCTCTCCCAAAAGTGCTCCATGCCATGCCTCCAGTCATTACTGTATATTAGGCTCAACTCGGAGAAGTTTACAGTTGAAACCACAGGAGTATCCCGGATGAAGAAAAGAGAATCACTATGGAAACTAATGTTTGGGAAACAAGGAAATGTGTAGAAGAGTGTGACCTAAATACAGTCTCTATGTTTCTCCTGTTGGGCCTCTGAAAAAAATCCCACGATCAGCCCATTACTTCAGTGATATTACCATAAAAACATCCATCCCATATATATGTCCTGGGAGGGTCCCTTGTCATTCCAGATCCATTAGTAGAATAGAAATGTCTGTATTTTGGAAATAAAGTTAGTAAAGGGCAGAGGATGGAAAAGAATTAGCTGTAACAGGGAAGGAGAGTGGATTGTAGGATTTGCTTCATGTGTTCTTGTGTCAGTAAGCAGGCTACCTCTCCATCTCATTATGCAACAGCAGTTGGTCCTGATCCGGCCCCCTGTCCTGCAGGGTCTGTAGAATATAAAGCCATAGGAATCTTTTTCAGGATGACTTAGAACAGTTCAGATATTTGTTAGCTAAATTAGTCAGTCATTACGTGGGCACATATTTAACAATGAATGTGTTTAAATCTGTCAGCTATATTCTTGACCTTGTTAAGGTTCTAGAATAGTTACTGTTTTACCAAAAGGAAATTTATGCCTTAAACAGTGAGAACTGTTCTGAAAATAATCAGCCTAAACTAAAACTGGGTTTTAACATTTTTTAAAAATGTGCCCATTTAAGTATACAAGCTTTGGACAGTTTAAATGTATCTGTGTACATATTATGTAACACAGAGCAGCTCATTCCCTCACAGTCAGCTTAGAGTGAATATTGATCCTAAACTGAGAACCCAGGAAAACATCTAGGTTTCACCACAAGTGATGGATTTATTGAATGGAGTTAAGTTCATTTGGAGTTAGAGAAAATTTCGTTGTATATGCTCCCCATATGTATCAAATTGAAGATTAGATGAGTTTTCCATTTTAAGAAGCTGTTCTCTCCACTCCCCTTCCTCCTACCTCTGTAATGAAAGTAAATGTGCCTTGTTCTGAATTTCATTTTCAGCAAACCTTTGCTTTCCTATCATTTAATCTGTTTAGCTGTGACTTAGTTGAGAAGATGACTTGAATATTTATCCTTTTAGAATAGAACTTTTCATACTATAGGGATTGACCCATTTGTAGGTGATGGACTCATGACAGTCACTTTAGAAAATAGCATAGAATCAGGCCATACTTACATAATGGTAAGTATTGACAAGGAGAAACCTTTGCTTCTGATATTTACACGAATAAACATAAATAAATAAAGTATGTATTGCTGTATACGTATGAATGAATCATAGTAGAAAATGTAATTTTTTTTTTTCAGTACTGGGGTTTGAACTCAGGGCCTATAACCTTGAACCACTCCAACAGCCCTTATTTTTTGTGATTTTTTTTTTTTTTTTTCAAGATAGGGGTCTCTCCAACTATTTGGCTGGGGTGGCTTCAAACTGTGATCCTCTTGATCTCTGCCTCCTGAGTAGCTAGGATGGCAGGTGTGAGCCACTGGTGCCTGGGTAAAAGTGTATTTCTTAATATATGTTGCAGTCACAAAAGTATGAAGGTCATTGCTCTGGAAACATAAAATTATAGCTTCATTCTTTCAAAGTAAAGACAACTTGGGAAATATCCCAAATTTATTTATGCAACTTCTTCAACTGGATGTCTCAGAAGAGGTTTTTCTACTTCTCTGACTGATATGGAAAATATCTCTATAGAATCAGTGATAATCATGCACCAATTCAGCTGTACCCTTCTGAAGACATCCCCTGGCCTACATAGGGTCAGGCTTTAAAAACTGGGCCATGTGCTTTGCATCCCTCTGCCGTCGGAGATGGATCTTTTTCAGTCCAGGCTCCCTTGGCTCCTTGCAGAGTTCCTCAGTAATCAGTGTGCATTTCTGATCTGCTCTGTTTAAAGTTCTGTTGCTCCTTTCCTTTGTAGGTGGTCATAGGTGACAAGGTTGTTCTGAACCCTGTCAATGCTGGCCAGCCTCTCCATGCCAGCAGCCATCAACTGGTGGACAACCCAGGCTGCAATGAGGTAAGGAAAATCAAGGGAATTCAAGTCTTGGTGTGTGGATAGGATTGCCTTATAGGAGCAGGCCTTCAGTGGGCCCTGAGCTTGTGTGCACCGAAAGTGATGTCAGCTGTGACTTAGGACACTGTGCCTGTTTTGCAGGTGAAGAACCAGAGGCCCAGAGTTGAGCTGCATGAGGTTGTGCTATTCTGTGTGGTGGTGATGGAGGGGCTGATATTCACCCCAGTGCTCAGTGTGCTGAGCCTTGCTTCACCAAGAGATCACTTTCTGCTTTTTTAAGCCTATGAGGTGTCTGGCCACAAGGACACCCTTTTTTTTTTTTTTTTTAATTTGTCTCCCTAAGTAGGGTACTTTTTTCTAATTCCTCAGAAGGGTGCATTACAGGACATGAGCAGCCCCTGCAGTGTGTCTTGCTTTTGACAATATATCTGCTTAGCCTCTAAATTGGAAATTTTAGGACACAAGATAGTAGTGTACTTGTGACATGAATATTTGTCTCATGGCTAAGGACACAAATTTGGATTCAAATCTCAGTCTGTCCTTTTCTAGCTCTGGGACCATAGATTAACCTCTGTGCATCAGTTCCTAGTCTCCCAAAGATGGGTGGTAGTTGTATCAGTTTTTTAGGGCATTGCTGAGGATTAGATTAGATAATGTGTTAGTATGTGAGTAAATAGCTCAGAGTGCTGCATATATTTAGTGCACAAATAATGGCTTTGTTAACTGTGATCATCAACATTGTCAAATGTGCACACTGGACTCACTTCTTGCCTTTTAGCTCATTACATTTTGTAAGTAGTTGCTTTCACTTGGCCTTTACTTTTTGGCTACAGAACAAAAGACTTGGAGGAAAAGGGAGGTGGGAAGTCCTGGTTTCTTCAGTCATGTTTGGAGCACATGCAGTGATGCATGCAAATGAACCATTTATGACCCATTACTGTGAACTAGCCAATTGATTTTGCAGGTGCCATGTTCCCAACAGTGTCAGTCTTCAGAGGTTTAGGCTGAAGCACAGCCTTGCTTCTTGGGTTACACTTAGGAATTTTGGGGCTGGATGTAAGAGTTGTGAATGGTATGGAAAAAAAAGATATCTGATGGTTTTTTTAGGTCAATTCTGTCAACTGTAATACAAGCTGGAAAATAGTCCTTTTCATGAAATGGAGTGATAACAAAGATGACATCTTAAAAGGGGTAAGTTTGATGCTTTATGGGCTGGGGAGCTTTTTGACAGTTGGAATTTCTTGGATTAGGCAGTTTAATTTTCTCTTTAAACTAATTTTTCCCTAATTTCCTCTTCTGTTGCATTTAGGGTGATGTGGTGAGGCTGTTCCATGCTGAACAGGAGAAATTTCTCACCTGTGACGAGCACAGGAAGAAGCAGCATGTCTTTCTGAGGACAACTGGCCGGCAGTCGGCTACATCTGCCACCAGTTCCAAAGCCCTGTGGGAGGTGGAGGTAATGAGTGGGGCTGGAGAGTGGGGGAAGGGACTCAGGGGTTCATAGGATTTAAACTTGTCTGTAGAAGTGCTTATGAATCACACCCAAGTGCTTATACTTACTTCATTCCAACAATGGCTTGGCCTGACTCAGCGAAGTGTGTGTTCCATGATGTAGCAGAAGGATGCATTGTGCTCTTGTGGCAGAAAATGTTATCTCCTTTGAAAGCAAACTCAGGGTTAAGATTGAAAATCTCTGGCCAAGTAATCGTCTGTTTTTTCTTTTCCTTGCTCGTTTGTCTGTCACAACAATTTTTTTTCAAATGTTTACCTGACTATGATACATGGGTGACTCCTGTAGTTATGTTGGGACCCAAATGGAAAGATAAGGACCCAGGTAATTAGAGCACTCAGCAGGATGACTTCAGTGGTAAGAGGCACATTCCATATGCTCTGGAGGTTTTGATAAAGGAGAACGTACTGAATGGGTGAGGAGATTAAGGAGGTAGCATTTGAGCCCACGCTTCCTGGAAGAGTCATATTTTGGAGGAAAGAGAGGAATGCAGTGGGTCACTCTGTGTAAGAGAATGGCTTGGAAGTGGACATATGAGGCAGCCTTGGGATAAAACTCAGTAACCTAGTTTGGTGGGGAGCATAGGACCAACATGGGAAATTCAACAGAAACTCCTGTTGGAGACCAGAGCCTGAAAGGCTAGATAACCAGGCTATATGGAGTAGAATTGAGTTCATAGCCAGGGGAGAAATGTGGAAAGTTGTTTTGAGTCAGGGAGTAACATAATCAGTTGTTGCTTAAATAAGACAGATGATTTTGTCTGTAGCATGTAATTCATTAAGAGGAGGGTACTAGATTTGCAAGACCAAGAAGAAAATGATTTGAATGCTTGATAGTAGAGGTTTATAGTAAGGCAGAACTCTCCTCTTTACCCTCTCTGTAATTGCAGCTTTCTGGATGTTTCTCTGTCTCTGCTTGCCCCCTTGCTCTCCTCTCTCATGTGACTTCCTCTATGTCCAGTTTACATACAGTAAAGAAATCAGATCAAGAAACACATCAGTAGTGCAACCCAAGAAGGTCCATCAGGCCTGTTTCTAAACAGTATCCTCCCTTTTCCTCCTAGAAAGATAGTTTCTAATTTGATTTTTCTCTCCATAAATGACTATTGCTTGTTGAACTTATATATGTGGAATCAGACTATATAGTCTTCCTGGAGTCTGGTTTTTTTTTTTTTTTTTCTTAGCATACTTAGAGATTTATCTATGCTCTTGCATGTATCAAGCAGTTCATTCCTTTATATTTCTATGTAGTGGAACACATAGAAATATATTTGTATATAGATATTTGTTAGTCTGCTTATCTGTTGATGAACATTTGAGTTGATCCTAATTTTTGGCTATTAAATAAATTTATTAAGTAAAGCGTCTTGCGTACAAGTTTCTATTCGGACATTTGTATAAGTTTCTATATCTTTTTGGCTAAATACCTAGGAGTGGAGTAGTTGGATCACATGGTGAGTGTGTTTGTAGGAAATTACCAATCTGTCTTCTACAGTGATTAGACTTTTACATTCCTACCAGCAATGTATGAAAATTCTAGTTTTTCACATTCTCACCAGTGCTTGGTATAATCAGTGTTTTCAATGTCATTTAAATAGACGCATAGTGAACTCTCATTGTGCATTTAATTTGCTTCTTTATGGCTACTTATATTGACCATTTTTCCTTGTGCTCATTTGCCATATGTCTATCTTCTCTGATGAAGTGTCCATTTCCAGTATTTTTCCAATTTTAAAATCTCCTCTTTTTACACAGATATGGAAATATCATGTTCATCTTGACCATTGTATAGAAAAGTTACTACAGTTATGATAAAAAGGAAGCTACATAAATTTTTTATTTCCACCATTTTCCTCCTTGCCTCCTTCTTTCTGCATCCATAGTATTTGCTCTTTTACCCTCACCTCCATGTAGGGACACTGTCAATCCTATTGCATTGTAGACTCCTTGGGAGCTAGAGCTTTGTCTTGAAGTTTGTTTTTGTCATTGATGTCCTCATTGTTCCCAACACACTGTTTTTGTATTCAAAACAGTCTCTCAGAACCATTTCTTATATGTGATTTCAGTAATGGTTGAGAAAGGAGAGAGGGAGAGAGAGATCGAGGTCCTTGTCTTGCCATGGTAACTTAAAGCAGAAAATGCAAATGAAGGAAAAACTGAAAATCAAGAATAAGGAGGAAACAGACTGTTATTTCACCAACGTAATGTGCCCACTTCCATTGAGTCAGAATATTTTTGCACAGTTGGCATCATTTTATAATCAGTTTTTGACCTTGCTTTAATATGCTATTGTAAATGGAAAAAATGTTTAACTGTCAGAACCCTACAGAAGTCTCTGTGGTAAACTTTAGTGCCTTAAAAGCAGGTAACCTGTCTTGTTCATCCAAAGGTGATTGAAATGAATAAAAGATGATGGCTTTCTGTGGGGATTTTTAACTTAAAAGTCCACTTCAGAGCATTTCCGTTTTTTCCTCTGAGAAGAAACAGCCGTCTACTTCTTACTCCATTAAAGCCTGTTTCCTGCCAGTTTTCCCCCTGAATTTCCTAGGAAAATGTTTAAAGTCTTCCTATTTGAATTTTTTTCTGTGCAGATCCTGGAAACTTAAGTGTCCCTTCAAAATAAAAGAAGGAAGAGAATGTCACGCATTTTATGTTTTCATTAGTGATCTGAAGTTTCCAATATGTGTGTAACTTTTTGCCAGCCAGCTTTACGTAATGCTATATGGGTAACAAGTGACACAGCCCTCATGATAGTTCTCTTCTGTTTCCCTTCCTGTCCTTTGTGTTGCTGTTGTCATTTTATTTCTCTGTCATACCCCCCACAGTGTATTTTTATTTGTTTTACCTGTCACTTATATTTTAAAGACATGTAAACATGAGTACACAGGAATCATTCATATTTACTCATATGGTTATTGTCCAAGCTCTACCTTCCCCTCTGTAGATCCACATTATTCTTAGGTATCATTTCCTTTTTCTAAAGAAGTTCTTTTCATTTCTTCTTCTTCTCTTTTTTTTTTTTTGGTACTGGGGCTTGAACTCAGGGCCTTCACCTTGAGCCACTCCACCAGCTCTTTTTTGTGATAGGTTCTCGTAAACTGGCTTCGAACTATGATCCTCCTGAGCAGCTAGGATTACAGGCGTGAGCCACCTGTGCCAGGTCTTTTCATTTCTTGTGTGCAGGGCTACTATTGACAAATTCTTCCTACCCTCATTTGTGTGAAAGTACCTTTATTTCACCTTCATTTAAAGCATGGGTTTATTTTTCCTTTTTATATATGTTGTTTCTTTTCTTTTCTTTTTTTTTTTAAAGCAGTACTGGGGTTTGAACTCAGGGTCTCCTGCTTGCTAGGCTGGTATTCTACCACTTGAGCCACACTACCAGCCCTCCTTTTAAAAAACAAAATTAATAGCTTTATCAAGATGCAATTCATATGCTACATGAATGACACACTTGAAGTGTAAAATTCAGGTTCATAGGAGTGTGCAGTCATTAACATAATAGATTTGAGAACATTCTTATTCCTGAAGAAACCCTGCTACCCATTAGTGGTCACTCCCCCCTAATACACACACACACACACACACACACACACACCCTGCTCCTGCTGCCCTGGAAGTTTTTCTGCTTTTTATTTCTGTGGAGTTGCCTTTTCTGGACATTTCATATAAATGGAACCCTACATGTAGTTTTTGTGTTTGACTTCCCTTACTTAGGATAATATTCTAGTCTGATTTGGGCTGTGAAAACATAATACCATACACCAGGTGGCTTATGACTATCAGCCCCTTATTTCTGAGGGTTTGAAGGCTGAAAGGTGAAGATCAAGGCACTGGTAGATTGGCTGGTGAGGTCTCGCTGCCTGGCTCATCTGTGGTCCTCAAGTGGCAGAGAGAGAATTAGGGAGCTCTCTGGGTCTCCTGTGTAGGGGCACTGATCCCATTCATGAGGCTCTGCCCCCATGAGCTCATCACTTCCCAGATACTCACTTCCTAATCCCATCACCTTGGGGGTTAGATTTCAACATTAGAACTGGAAGGAGAACAAACACTCCAACTATAGCAGATTGTGTTTTTAAAGTTCATTCTTACTGCTACGTATATCAATACTTGAGTTCTTGTTATTGCCAGATAATATTCAATATGAGTAAGTGTGTGTAAACCATTTTTTACTTATCCATTTGCAGCTGGATAGCATTTGGATAATTTCTACCTTCTGGTTGTTGAGAGTGTTGCTCTGAACATTCACATATGCTTGTGTGAAAGTTTTCAAGTATTTTACAAGTGGAATTGTGGGTGAATGGTTCAACCATGTGTAACCTTTGGAAGGGCTGCTGGGCTGCCTTCTGAAGGGGCCACACCATGTTATATTCCCACCAGCAGTTATCATGGTCTGATTTCTCCCAAGTGACCTCTATTTCTGAAAACTATTTTTGTTGGCCATAGAATTCTAGATAGTGTTTTCTTTTTGTACTTGAAGGATTTTGATCCTTTGTCTGTCTTGCATTGTTTTGATGTGAGTGCAGTGTTTTAAAATCTTTATTTCCTATGTATAGTGTCTCTTCCTTCCCTTCTTCAGTTGCTTTGAATATTTGTCTTTTTTATTTCTGCTTTACATGAATTGATCATTGCGTGCCTTGGTGTGTGCATCTGTTTATTCTTTCAGAGCTCCTTAAATTTGAATCTGTAGATATGTATTAAAATGGGAAAAGTTTGAGTCACTATTTCTCAAATATTTTTCCAACCCTAACCAATCCACTCAGACATAAGCTGGATCATGTGAATTATCTGACTGCGTTTATGGCTTACCACTTTCTGATTGTTTGACTGTGTATTATTTTATGATTCTTTGCTGACAGGGTAATACTACTTTATTGGGTGTCTGGAATCCATCGTTCGTTTAAGAAGCAATGAGAGTTTTGTTTTGTCAGACAGTCAAATTACTGTGGATCAGCTTGATCCCGAAGATGCTCATTTTCATACTTTATTAAGGTCAAAGTAGAGAGTACCAATGGTCTTGGGGCTGGATTAGCCCTGTAACTAAGGGAGCTTTTGATGCCTCCATTAATGCCCAAGATGGTTCATAGACTCTCTTTGTCTTGGCTTGTCAGAGTCAGGACCCCTCCCAGCCCTGTGTGAGCTTGGGGACTGTTTGAACTTTAGGCTTTCTTGTTGTTCTGTGTGTGTGTATTTGTGAGTGTGTGTGGGGTGCTGGACCTTGAACCCAGGGCTTTGCACATGGTAGGCAAGTGCTCTACCCCTAGCTACACTCCCTGTTCCACTTGTTCTTTATTTAGTTTTGTGAGGTCTTTTCTTATACATACATAGTTTGATATTCAGCCAGAAATTCGAAGGAGATCCCTGTTGTGTAGATTTCTAGAGCTTTCTCTATGCATAGATCCATATCCTCCAGAACTCTTCCTCTGCAAATTGCAGTGCCTTAGTCTCCCTAAACTCTGATCCACCTTCTTCACTCCATGAGCCCAGTTCCCTCAGGTTGGATTATGCTTCTGTTCAAAGAGGATTCAGGCAGAAAACCAGAGAAACCTGATGCTTACCTTGTTTCCCTGTTCTCGGAGACCACAGTTGCTCACCACCCTTTGTCCAACAAACAAACACGGTTGTTTTGTATATTTTACCCAGTTTTCTACTTTTCTTCTATTTTGTGCAGTGTCTAATTGTTTATGGCACCAACTACTAGTGCCAGTTGCTATATCAAGGTTAGAAGCTGAAGTTTTATAAGAAGTTGGCTTAGACTCTCAGAATTTCATGTTTCAGAGCCCAAACAGCATGCGTTCCAGTACACATATGCAGGGAAGTGTACTTTGAGAGTGCTCCTTGAGATTTGTTTTTTATCGGTCATGCATTTTGTGGTTGAATTTAGGATCTTAACTTCTACTTCGCTAATACCAAGGCAAAGAATCTGAAAGCCATTGTAGTTTTTACTCCAGTCATTGCATGTTAACTCGGGGACTCAGTTCTCTCTCTGGAGAAACATCTTAGTATTTCCATGAGTTTGAGTTGGGATGTTACATGTGACACCTGGCACAGGTTTGTTGTATGATACTGATTTTTTTTTCAGGTTGAAATTACCATTCCTGAGCTATGAGTCTCAGATTCATTGTCATCCTAGTATAGGTTGACATCTCTTCGACTTCTGTTGATCCTTCTTTCCTTTGCAGGTAGTCCAGCACGATCCCTGTCGGGGTGGAGCAGGGTATTGGAACAGCCTCTTCCGTTTCAAGCACCTGGCTACAGGGCATTACTTGGCAGCAGAGGTAAGTAGCAGCCTTACGGTTTTCTCCTCGAAGGTGTACACACCCAGTTGACTTTTCTCACTCACTTGTAGCCACTGGGTACCTGGAGGCTCAAAATGCTGTCACTTTGCTTTTCCTTGTGTTTTTCTGTTTCCTTCTGCCTCATTTTCCTGTGAAAGAAGAGGCAAAAATGACTAACACATTGTAGGACGACAGGAGTTCTCATCAAGATGTGGGGAGAAAGTAAGTTAGGAAATACTGTTGATGTAGGTTTTTAGGATAATTTTTCTATTTTCCTCTTGCATAGGGCCCTCCTCACATCTTATCCATCACTCCACTCCTAACTCGAGTGACTGAGACTTGGCCACGTGAAGACATAGTATGTAAAGTCACAACTGTTGAAACATGAAGAACTAGAGAATTTCATAGAGAAATCTGATTCCTTGGAGCCTTAATGGAATAGATAGGGGCTTACCTTTTACTTGTAGGATCAAAGAAATTAACTTTACCTTAAATGTCCATGAGAGCTTTTGAGGAAAGGAAAGACTCATTGTTGAAGAACAAGCGGAATTTACCTTTTAATTTTTTTATTAAATTAAGAATCCATCCTACTGCGTGACAGATGTTGAGTTTTACTCTGATCTGCTGGAAGATGTACAATGCATATTCCTAACAGATTCTAGTCGTACATCAAAAGATCCCTCCCTGTTGTCCTGGCAAAACTGCTCAGAGATTTCCAAGGGGATGTGTGGGTACTGCTTGTACAAATGACCTGAGGGATGTGGAATCAATGTGGACCTCCCCTGGGGTACCTGACACTTATATGAATTGATGATATTGAGACATTTAAGAACCGAAGATCAAAAAATCTAAGTTGAAATTCAAAATGGATCCTTAGGAAGTTACTGCCCCAGCTAATCAATTGTGAGAAATGTTGATTATGTGGTTTGCTAAACATTAATGGTGGTTGTGTTATCTGTCATGTTTTGAGGTGAATGAAGCACTTCCTAGAGGTCTAATTTTTCTTTTTCCTTTTTAACTAAAAATAAGCAGGGTTGTTATTGATTGCGTATTGAGCTTGTATTTATCTGAGGCTTTTAACTCTTGCTTTGCTAGTGAATTCATTGTGTTTTCATTGTCTGCACTTGTGAGCCATCTCTTGGTAACTGGTGGATTGTTCTGTGTGTGTTGCACCTGTGTGACCTGTGTTACTGTTGTGGCATGCTGGTTCCATGAATAGAGGGAAGGGACAAATTCTTAGCTGTTCAAGGATGGCTGCAGGCATTGAAGTCTCCTGCAGATGGGTCCCAGTCCTTGAGAAAGCAATGGATGTTTTAATTTCCTCATGATTCTTTTTCATCAGGTAGACCCTGACTTTGAGGAAGAATGCCTGGAGTTTCCTCCCTCAGTAAGTATGGGCAAGAGCCTTCATGTCTTCATCTGGTAGGGTGAGGCCAAATGATCTGGAACCCCATTTAAGAAACTATCACTGTGGCCTTTGATTGCTGGGGAAGGGGTAACCTTAGGCTGCCTTAAACAGGCCTTATTCTTTGTCTTTCTTCAAGGAAGTCAGATCCTTCTATGTCCTGATTGGTCCAGGCTCTGCTGGTCTTAAAGCTCTTCCTGTGTGCTTAGTCAAAAATCTCCAACTCCAAGCTGAAGAAGTGCATGCAATCTCTTGGAATATACCTAGCTTGAAACGGTGGTGGCCCATGTGGGAGTTGGACTTTTATAAACAATTGTCTTACCACAGTTGACCTCAATCTATTACATCAGTTTCTCAAGGCATAGGGTGAAGCGGATAGTATCTTTTAGACTGTGGTGGTAACACATGAAACCTGTTACACCTTGCCTCTGATAGGGCAGTCAGTTGTCTGTCCCTCTGTCCCTGCTTTCTCCAAAGTCAGAAACTGGTTTTAGGGGATGATGTGATTTATAATGTGTTTTGAAATTTTAATGTGCAATACATTATTTTTTTTTCCATTGGAGAACATATGGTCAATGCTGATATGTAGGTACTTGGAGCTCAGGTATCTCTAGTTATGGTTGAAGAAGTCAGTGGTTGTGTTTATCAGTAAAACAGTTTTCTTGTGGAGTGCTTGATTCTGAGCAAGCATTACAAAAACCGAGACAGTTGCTTTCTATCTGATGCATGATTCTTCATGGTGATCTCAGAGGTAGGTAGGCAGGTGATATTGAAGGTATTTGTTTTTCTTAGACAAGTTGAGAAACAAAACAAAACAGGAGGAACTTTAAAATAAAGCATCACCGAAGGGAGTTGAGGTGGAGATAATTCAAGATGTAGTTGATTTGGAAGGTGTTGTGCATTCTGCATTAATGGTTAACTGTCTAGTTACTTTTGGGTTGAATGTTGGCTTTGAGAGAAACTCAAAGGAGTTATAACTGGCAGCTCCTGGTTGTGAATATGTGCAGTTGCCGGGTCCTGAGGTTCATCTTCCTCTTTGCATCTTTGTTACGCTTACTTTGGGAGGCCATTTTGAAAGCTTACGTTCAACAGTCAATCTGACTTGGAAAACGATCTAGTCCAGCTTGCTGCCAGTGTGCAGGGAAATCCATTGTAAAACCTTTCTGCCTGGTGCCCATGGCCCATGTTGTTGTTGTTTGAGCACATGGCCTGGTTTTATTTTTTTATATGACATTTCTTAATCTTTCACCTTCTTTGTTTGGAGAGAAGGAACTGCCTTCATGTGACTTGCATCCAGTGACCTCAGTGCTGCCATCTGAGGTGACACAGAATAGGTCTCACCTCTGCAAAGAACGGCTTCTTTCAGTGAGAGTTAATGACCAACTGAACCTCGTGTGGCCACTTACTTGGTTCCCAAGGGAGACAAAGGCTAACCTGAGGCTGGCTCTTCTGCCAGTCTTTTGCACATGTGCCTTTCTTCCCACTAGGTGGCAAACTCTGACTGCATACTGAGAACGTGAAGACACTGTTTCTCAGTCTCATTTCCAGACACAGTGGACTTATTGTAAATGCAGTTTTCCCGTAGACTGCAGGTATCTGAAATGTCACTGCCAGCCTATAGACAAACCCTGTATCCTTGTTGGGTCAGACTTTATGTTGGAAATTAACTCACGGTTACAATAGCTAAGAGATACAGAGGTTCCCGGAACTGAGGGGTCTGTCACTCTCTGTTATTTAAGTGTAGAGAAAATGAAGCAACTCATTTTCTACCTAAGATGTGCTTAGGTAGAAGTACAGAGTATTGGAGGAGAAAGAATGAGGGAAGGAAGAGTCGGGCGTTTAGATATTAATAGAACTTTTTGAATTAATTTTTGTTTATTTTTTGAGACTGATCTAGATATATTGCCCGTGCGTATTCCTATGCTAGTCTTGATCTCCTGGGCTGAGCAGTCCTCCTCCTTTTCTCCCCAGTAGCCCACCATGCCTGACTAAAGACTTTTTTTTTTTAAACAGAAGTTGGGGCCACTAATGAACTGACAAAGCAGGTTATTGCTCCTAGGTCTCAGGCCCAGAGATGTTAAAATTCTCTCATGTTCTGTCTTTGCCTTTGATTTGACTTTGTGCTTGGTGGGTTTTTTTGTTTGTAGGACTGGGGTTTGACCTCAAGGCCTTGCACTTGCTAGGCAGTGCTCTACCACTTGAGCCATGCTCCCAGCCCTGACTTCACATTCTTGATTCTTGGGTCTTCCTGGTCCATTCTCTGTCTTCCTGGTTAGGACAGGAGGCAGAACGTCACCTGAGAAGCAAGGTAGGAACTAGGAAAGTGTAGTGTTCCTGGTACAGAGAGGGAGGTTTTCATCTTGCAGGGATGTTAAACATTAGAAAAGAACTCCATAGGGGGATGGTTCATCCGTGTAATCCTAACTACATGGGAGGCTGAGATCTGGAGGATCACTGTTCAAGGCCAGCCCAGACAAATAGTTCATGAGACCCCCATCTCCAAAATAACTACAGCAAAATGGACTGGAGGTGTGGCTCAAGTCGTAGAGTGTCTACTTTGCAAGTGTGAAGCCCCAAGTGCCAACCCTGGTCCTACCAAAAAAAAAAAAGATAAAAAACCACCCATGTACAGTCACCGAGCTGAGAGACATCTTGCAAGGCTTATAAGAGGGTGATCCTAGGCTAAACCCACTCCTTAAATCTCTTAGGTGCATGGACTTTGGAGCTGAGAATGTGTTTTTAGTTTCTCAGGAGTTCTTTCGTCACTGTTTGTCAGCCTTCACTTTCAGAGACTTTCTTCATCTCAACCAAATCCCGGTGTAGAAGAGAGACCCTTTTTCTCTGTATTGTCACAGCAGCCCTTCTAAATAATACTTTTCAGGGCTAGGCTGATTTGTCAAATATACATATTGGCTATATTGGAATTGGTGCTTATGAACACTTGGATTCTGGATTATTGTATTTCTTCTTCTGGAAAGTAGCTGTCATGTTAGTAGACAGCTATCACTGCAGATTAATGTAACTGTGCGTAACTAATTCCATGGAGTAAATTTCCTCAGAGTGCTTTCCTTGCCCCACAGCTGCTGCAGGTGGATGTAGCTATGTGAAGGTCTTTATTACTTATAACTCTCTTTCCATGGACATCTTCTGTTGTCACACCACATTTCTTTAAGCATTTTTATTGCAACACAAGGAGGTAGAGAGAAATATTCATGGCTGATGATCACCTTATAACACTGCTCTGAAGCTGTGGTTCCTTTCCTGCCAACCGCTGACACTCACTATCATTTCTCCTTGGTTCCTGTGGATTGTGGAATGATTGTGGTCAGCGAAAGCTTTTGCAACAGAATTGCTGACTCAGTGATGTTTTGCCCTCAGGTGGACCCAGATCAGGATGCATCTCGAAGTAGGTTGCGAAATGCCCAAGAAAAGATGGTGTACTCCCTCGTCTCTGTGCCTGAAGGCAATGACATCTCCTCCATTTTTGAGCTAGACCCCACCACTCTCCGTGGAGGTGACAGCCTTGTCCCAAGGTACGACTTTAAAATTATATATCCCAAGAGAATCAGAGGTGGTCTTGGTGGCTTGGCCATGGTTCTTGAAATCCAAGTCATTATTGCCTTTTTCTTAACCTTTTATAAAGGAATTGGGAAAACATTTGGACTGGGTGCCTATATGGCATCTGATTTTTTATGTCGGATCAATGGTAAGTTCTTTATAGGTGGATAAAAGTGCTATATTTAGGTGAACAAGCCAAATCTTAAATCTAAGCAGCTCAGTAATTGTGTTACTCTCTTTTTTCTTCTCCAAACCTGGGCGATCTCTTGGTTGATTGACTGAATAGTTGAAAAGAAATCATAGAAAATTCACTGTGTGCATAGGAAGTGTTATTTTAAAGTATTGAGAAGTTAGGCCAGTATTCTTTATTTTATTCAGTTTAACTCTTGGTTTTGTTGCCTAAGTACACATTTTTTAAATAATTGGACTATAAATGGGACAAAGCTTATTCTTAACAAAGTCAATAATAATATCATTAATGCCCAACATTTTTTGAGTGCTGACTACATTCAGGCACAGTGCTACGTACATATACTTGACAGGAAACCTTGTGAGTTAGGTATTACTATCCACCCTTTATATAGACATTGAGGCTCAGAGACTTTACATCAGTTATCACAAGTAAGAGAGTCTCAAAGCACAACCCAGAGCCTTAAACGGCTAAGACAGAGTTATGTGGGCCCTTCTTGTAACTCTTCAATACAGCATTGCTTGGTAGAAATATCACTTCCATTTGTGGATTTATATTGGGTCTCTCTATTAATTTGTGTTTCATTATTCATGTATGCATTGCTACTTTCCTGTTCAACCTGAGCAGAGATGTGAAACTAGGAACCGTAGCTTGGGTGCTATTCAAATTCCAGGAGACCCTTGGTTTGTGCTGAGGGCTGTTCCTTGCATAGGATAAATGTAAGTCTGTGCCCACATAGAAGAGAACCTTACAAAGCAAAAACACCTTTCTTTGCCATTCAGCCAAATGATTGCCAGTTCCTAAACTTTGCTGGATTGTTAACCCTTAAGGACCTGAGGGAAGCTAGAGATGTTCTCTCAGAAAGTCCCAAGTGTGGGCACAGCTTTTCACCCTCCAGGTCTGGAACCCCTGGTTTCAAATGCCTTTAAAAACAGCCTGCTGGGCACAGTGACATCTGCCTATAGCACCAGCTTCCTTTTTTTTTTTTTTTAATTTTTATTGTTTTATTATTCATATGTGCATACAATGCTTGGGTCATTTCTCCCCCCTGCCCCCACCCCCTCCCTTACCACCCACTCCCCCCCCTTCTTCTCTCCCCTACCCCCTTGATACCCGGCAGAAACTGTTTTGCCCTTATCTCTAATTTTGTTGAAGAGAGAGTATAAGCAATAATAGGAAGGAACAAGGGTTTTTGCTGGTTGAGATAAGGATAGCTATACAGGGAGTTGACTCACATTAATTTCCTGTGCATGTGTGTTACCTTCTAGGTTAATTCTTTTTGATCTAACCTTTTCTCTAGTTCCTGGTCCCCTTCTCCTATTGGCCTCAGTTGCTTTTAAGGTATCTGCTTTAGTTTCTCTGCGTTGAGGGCAACAAATGCTAGATAATTTTTTAGGTGTTTTACCTATCCTCACCCGTCCCTTGTGTGCTCTTGCTTTTATCATGTGCTCAAAGTCCTATCCCCTTGTTGTGTTTGCCCTTGATCTAATGTCCACATATGAGAGAAAACATACAATTTTTGGTTTTTTTGGGCCATAGCCTCAGCTTCTTAAGAGACTGAGGCAGGAGGATCTCTTGAGTCTCGGAGTTTTGAGATCAACTTGGGCAACATAGTGCCCAAGTTCTTCTTAAGAAAAGAAGAGAAATAAAAGAAAAACCCTAGGCTTTTTGAGCTATAATTCACCTATATAAAGTGCTGTATTTCACTAAGGGGAAGTCACTAACAGTAGAGGGAGGGTAAAAGAAGGAAGTAAAGAAGGTGAATATTGTTGATATGTTTTCTATACAAGAATGAATATAGAATGTTTAAACCTGTTGAAATCACCATAAGAAGGGGACCAAAGTAGAAAGGAGAAAATTAGAGGGATGAACCAATTTGGGTTACAATATATGCATACATTGAAATGTCATAATTAAACACCCTCTAAAGCTATCTTAAAAAAATGTCTTTTTTTTTCAAAATTGGAGGTCAGGGAGGTAAAACAGGTCCTGTTTGGGGGTTGGTACCAGGAGGAAAGGGGGAATAGAAAGAAAGGGTGAAGGAGGCTGAATATGGTGGAAATACTGTGTACTCATACATGAAAATGGAACAATGAGATCTGATGATACTATTCTAAAGATGGGAGGAGAAGAGAAGAGAATGATGGAGGGGGTGAATTTAACTGTGGTATATTGTAACTATGATATATTGCACTTTTGTAAATGTCACAGTGTGTACCCCCTGTACAATAATATGATAATAAGTTTTTTTTAAGTGCTTTATTCGTTGGTTTTTAGTAGATTAATGGAGTTAGGCAACCATCACTGCAATCAATTTGGGAGTATTTTTATTAGCCCCCGAAAGAAACACCATACGCATTAGTGGTCACTCATTTTCCACACCCTACCCCCAGCCTTAGACTAATCTACTTTACTGTTTTCTCTTTCAAAAACAATTTTATTAGCATACAGTAGTTATAGAGAGGTGGGTTCATTGTGACCTTTCCATATTTGCTTACAATGTACCTTAGCTAGGTTTATCTCCATCATCATTTCCCCTCCTCCCCCTCCTCTTTAACTAAAATGATTTTGACAGGTTTCAATGTTCTGTCCTCATACATGTATATAAAATACATCAACCGTATTTGCCCTCTTCTCATGCACTTTCTGACTGGCTTGTTCTGGGCATTTTATAGAAATGGGGTCACATGTCATGTGATGTTTTGTGACTGGCTTCTTTTACTTGGTGGTGTTTTCAAGATTTATCCATGTTGTAACATAGATAAGTATTCCGTTTAATTTTGAATCATACTCCATTCTGTGGGTAAAACCATGTTTCATTTATCCCTTTATGAGCTGATGGCCATTTGAGTTGTTTGTATTTTTGGCCTATGATGAATAAGGCTGTCGCTAACATTTCTGTACACGTTTTTGTGTGGACATTTATGTTTCTCTGGGAATTAAATTGCTGTGTTTAACCTTTTGAAGAACTGCCAGGTTGCTTCTCAAACTAGATGGACCATTTTACATTCCCATCATCAGTACATGAGAGTTCCAGTCTCTCCAAGACTTGTCATTATCTTTTTTACTGAGCCATCCTAATTACTGTGAAGTGGAATCTCATTGTGATTTTGATCTACATTTCTCTAATGGTTGGTGATCATGTGTTTATTGGCCATTTGTACATCTTCTTTGAGAAATATTTACTTACATCCTTTGCCATTATTTGCCTATTTTAAAAAGTTCCATTTTTTAACTATTGAGTTATAAATGTTCTTTATTCTAGATATAGATAACTTATCAGATACCTGATTTGCAAATATTTTCTCTCATTTTATCTTTCAACTTTAATGGTGTCTTTTGAAGCAAAAAAGTTTAATTTTGTAGACGTTCAGCTCATTTTTTAATTTGCTTGTTTTTTTGACTTTTTACCTAAGAAACCATTACTAATCTAAGCTCACAAAACTTCATGGTGATATTCTTCTAAGAGTTTTAGCTGGGCTTGGTGGCTCAGCCTTGGGCTGCAATACCCTATTTAAAAAATAACTAAAGCGAAAAAGGGATGGGGAGATGGAGACCTAGCTCAAGTGATCGAACACCTGCCTAGCAAACGCTAGGCCCTGAATTGGAACCCCATTAATACCAGGAAAAAAAAAAAAGGAGAGGGACAAAAGAAGAATTTTATAGTTTTCTGTTTTTACACTTAGGTCTTTGATTCATTAAAAGATCTTTAAAAATATGGTTTGTTTGAGGTTGATCTTGCTTTTTAAAAGCTGGCTGCCTGCTTATTACCTACATAGGTAGAGGTCTGTAAAACCCAACTGCATTTCAGTTCAAGTGATTTTCCACATGTTGTGTCCTCAGTTCTGAATATTATTTAGTGAATTTTTCTTAGGACCTCAGAAGATGGAGGAATGACATTTATATTCAATGCTAAATGTGAAAGTTTGTCAGGATAGAACAGAGGAGAAGCATGGGATTTAAAGTATCACATTGTTCCATCAGATACAGAAGACAGCTGCTTGACCTGTATTCCCTAGTGGTTTGGAAATCCCCATATTCCTGTGGGAAAGAAAAGTTGAAGTTTCTGGGTCCGCTGGCTGAGCAGTGTTGACTGGTTGGAGTTCCCTCCTTCACTCCTTCCATTCATTACTGTTTCTTTATTTGCAAACTTTCTTTGTGGGCAGGTGTCCTTCCCTAGACTGATTGTAAATTCAGAAGCAAGAGAAGCCTTGTGTTCAGCTTGGTGGAAAAAGTGTTTGGCATGGTGCTCACTTATGATCTTGGACTAGCTCTTTGCTTTTAAATTTTTTATTCATTCTTGCTGTTGGCTACCAAACTCAGTGCCAAAAGAGAAGTGGGTCTCACTGTTATTCATTGATCCTGTGGAATCATAAAAGACTTCAGCAGTAATACATCCATTTTCTTCCATCTGAAGTTCTGAATTTTGTTTGCTTGCAGATAAAAAAGTCTAAGGTTAGATATACGAACATCTGTGAAATGTTACCAGCAAAGGCATTTTGGGGATAGTCACTGATTAAAAGAATCCTTTGGAGTCAAAGTGAGAGGGATAATTTCCAATCCTGGATACAATAAACAAGGTAGAGAGATTTCAGTGTGCATAAATTAGATGCACTAAATGAGCATTGGGATATTATCCATCCCTGTGGCTCTTTTTGTGTTTGTCCTGATAGCATGGCTTCTGAACTAAGGATTAAGAATGGGACTTCAGAGGAACTGATAGAGTGTCTTTTGTATCTTAAATGAAATTGACATAAAACTCTATAGAATGTAAATCAGCAAGCTAAAACCTAATCTCCAGGCTTTGGTTATGTTTTAAAAATAAGGAAAATGAATCCAACTTAGAATCAAAAATGAAAATCTTTTTGTTAAATATCTTGTTAGTGTTATTTCATATTCATTCTAGTTATAGTAAATATCATTAGGTTTTCCCTCTTGTGGCCTTGTGGCCTTACTTGGAACATTCATGGCAGTTACAATGGAGGAGGGCAGAGGGCCTGGTGACAGTAAACGTCTGATTTGCTTTGCTCCCCTGGCCTTTCCATGAATGTGATGTGTCACTGTCCTGAATTCCTCTTAGTATGAATGATTTCTGTTGTTCTCCCCTCTCTGACCACCACCCTACCAATGTTTAAAGTTCCAGACCAAATAGTCTAAATTTTATATCTGTGACAGAACCTTCACAACTCTCTTGAGTCGTCCTTGACTGTTTCCCAACATAGTGTTTTTCAACATCTGTCTTTTTTCACTTCCCTCTTGTTTGGTATACATTCATCTAGTTTCACCAATGAAACGGTAGGCTCTGTAGGGCAAGAATTGTTTTTACTACTTCTTCTTTAAAAGAAAAGCAAAATTGAAAAACCTTGTAAACCTTATAATGAGCAAGGTAATGCTTGCTCATTATAGAAAGATACAATAAAACAACCATCTTTTAAAACCCTGTGGAGAAGGAATAAGTAAAAATTACATACAATCCAGCCATGCGTAATTAACCACTGCTAAGATTTTAGTTCAGCTGAACACTGATGGCTCACACCTGTCATCCTAGTTACTTGGGAGGCTGAGATTGGGAGAACCGTAGTTCGAGGTCAGCCTAGGCAAAGAGTTCGCAAGACCCACCCCCCATCTCCAAAAAAACCAGAGCAAAATGGACTGGAGGTGTGGCTCAAGCTGTAGAGCACCCGCCTTGCAAGTGTGAAGTCCTGTCCTCAAATCCCAATCTCAACAAAAAGAAGATTTTGGTTCATGTAGGTTCAGACAGGTCTCTGGGCATGCAGCAGTGAGATCTAAATGGGACCATAAGTTACTTTGACCAATTTTTTTTTTTTTATGGAATCATGTATTCTGTGTGTGTTTCCAAGTAAGTGCTTATTGATTATCATCACGTTAAGTAATGGTAGAATTCTATAGTATGCACTGTAATTAGTCCTTATTAAGACATTAGATTGTATAGGTTTTTACAATTATAAGTAATAATTTGTTAAACATTTCTGTGCCACCTTTGCACCTATGCTATCGTTTCTTAAAGGGAAAAAATTTAAAAATGGGATTTCTAGATGAAAGGATTCAGGCACACTACAAAGTGCCAGGCTCTTTTCCTGAGCTGTGCCTGATTACAAACTCACAATATGCAGGGCTGGGCGCATAGCTCTGTGGTGGAGCTCTTGGTTAGTATGAGCAGGGCCCTGGGCTCAAACAGCAGCACCAAAAAAAATAGTATTCAACTCATTTCCCTAAGCTCTTGTTGATACTTTTATCAGTTTTTAAGATTCATAGACTGTGATAGGATAAAATGATATGTTTTGTATATATTTGTATGCTAAGAAAGTTGACTGGGTAACTTCCCTGTTTATCGGTTATTCATATTTCATTATTAAATTATTGATTTATGCACTTATCCCACTTTCATTTCTGTTATTCATGCTTTTCTTATTGATTTGTGTGAACTCATTATATATGTGGATTAATAACCTTTCTATGTTGTATTTTACTCTTTTTCCTCTGGCTTTTTTTTTTTCCAATTTCCTTTGTGAAATATGCATACACACACACACTTGCTCTAGAGAAGACTTAACACTTAGATAATCCAGCCAGATACCAGTGGTTCATATCTATAATCCTAGCTACTAGGGCGGCTGAGTTCAGGAAGATCACAGTTCGATGACAGCCCGTGCAAAAAGTTCAAAAAAGCTAGGCACAACTGTCATCGCAGTGATGGTGGGAACCATAAAATAGGATTATGGTCCAGGCCAGCCTGGGCAAAAAGTGAGACTCTGTCTCCAAAACAACCAGAACAAAAAGGGCTAGAGGTGTGGATCAAGTGGTAGAATGCTTGCCCAGCAGCACTTAGGAAATAATAGAATAATAAAGTTTATTCTTCTTCTAAAGAGTTTAGACATTATTGCATGCTTCAAATTTTCTCTACCACAAGATTAGTAAATATTTACTCATATTTTCTTCCAGAAATTTTATGATTTCCTTTTTTTCTTTATTGAACTATATGAAATCTGTTATTGCTTTATTAGCTCTTGCGACAAGCACTAATACATTCTCAATTCTTGATGCTCTGTTTTCATGCTGCTTGTATAATTAATTCACATAGTATGATCTTATTTTTAGAAATAAAACATGTTGCAACAGCCTCAGTGTCATTATGAATTATTTTCTGTTGTAAATACATCAGAATGTGACCTGAAACAGACCCTTACTCCTAAGTATATACTGTCTAGTGAGCAGAGTAGAGAACCATTTTGTGTCCCCTTCTATTTTGATTAGAATATATTCTAGACAGGTGACTACAGAGTAAACCCAAATATTCCTGTTCCTAAAATCTTTTCTTCTCTTTAGGAACTCCTATGTCCGGCTCAGACACCTATGTACTAACACCTGGGTTCACAGCACAAATATTCCTATTGACAAGGAGGAGGAAAAACCTGTGATGCTGAAAGTAAGTCCCAGAATTTGTCTACCTCCTCCTGGCCCCTCGTGAAAGGGCTCCTTTGAGAATAAACAGAAGAATATGAAGCTGTGAAGTGGTTTTTGTTCTTTCTTTTTTTCCCCTATGAGTGCAGTCATGGCCAAACTTGAATGCCAGAAAAGAATTCTCTCTAAGGGTCCTGGGTGAAGCAAACTTAGGGCTTTTGAAATAACCAGAACCTTTTATTTTATTCCATGGCTTCTGCTCTAGTGGTGAAGCAATTGTCTGTATTTCATGTCTGTCTGACAGATGATTTGGGCCAGGGGAATTTTTGCTTGTGCCTTGAGGTATATCAAATAACTACTTGATTTTTCCCAGTCTTTACTATTTCTCTTTTTCTTTATGTATTTAAGCATATCATTTATTTCTTGAAAGACCTCTCAGCCCCCTTTTATCTTTTGTCCTTCCCCTCCTTCCCCCATAGTCTCTAGGCTCATAGAGCATAAAAACATGGGATTTTTCAAAAAATGGAAGGAAAGTCTCATACTTGTTGTGGTTGTAGTGTTAGAGAAGGTTTTAGATTTTTTTTCTGCTACCTTTATGAACATTTTCAGTTTATAGAAAAGTTGAAAGAATGGTACAGTGTCTATCATTATGATACTCTCTGAGTTAATAATCACCATTTTCCATATTCACTTTTCCTCTGTGAACAGCCATGTTCTTTAACTGTAGGAATCTACTATGTTCCCTGTGATAAGTGAAGCTCTAAAATGATAGCAGTGCCCCTTCCTATCTTGCTGGTCCCCATAATAGCAATTTCCAGAGATGAAAACTATTAACCATTTAGTACAACCTTCCAGAAGTTTTCCTGTATCTAGTTGGCTTTAACTCCAAGATAGCTCCAAGGTTTTTGTATTGCCCAGTATCTTGTAAATGAGTATTAGATTAATCTCTTACCTGCTCATTCCAAGATTATCCTACAAAAACTACTTTGAATTTCAGATTGGCACCTCTCCCGTGAAGGAGGATAAGGAAGCATTTGCCATAGTTCCTGTTTCTCCTGCTGAAGTTCGGGATTTAGACTTTGCCAATGATGCCAGCAAGGTGCTAGGCTCCATCGCTGGGAAGCTGGAGAAAGGCACCATCACCCAGAACGAGAGAAGGTGAAGACTTCCTGCATGTGTCCTCATAGTGGTCTTTAACTGATACAGATTTGGAAAATTCCTTGGGAAGTGAGAGAATGGCAACTCAACAGCTATGTGTGAGCGTGGCAGGCCTGAGCGTTTATGGGTGGCTTCAGTTCTCTCCCCCCCTCTCCCCCCCCACAATAACCTTCACCTCCTTGTCTCTTTCTCTCTCTTCTCCTCTCCTTCTTCCTCTCCATTTTCCTCTCTTTTCTCTCTAGTTTGGTCTCAGAATCACTTTACTGAATGTTAGGGATTAAGCTTACTCTGAGGAAATTTGATGGCTGACACTGCATAAAGGTGATCATCCTTTTATGGAAATGCTATGTGGTTTGTGTTTCATTCTTTTTGGTAATTGGCCTTAGCTGTTGATTTCAAGGAAATTGGAAAGAACATATTCTGTACTGTTGAACTGGTTCACGAGGCCTGAAGCTTCTGAGGTGAAGCTCCCAGACTTGTTGAGCATTGAATGCTGTCTCTAATGGTCTCTTTCCTTGCAAGGTCTGTGACGAAGCTGCTGGAGGACTTGGTTTACTTTGTCACTGGTGGAACTAACTCTGGCCAAGATGTGCTTGAAGTAGTCTTCTCCAAGCCCAACCGAGAACGGCAGAAGTTGATGAGGGAACAGAATATTCTCAAGCAGGTCTGTGAGATGTATGTACTTGGAGGTTGGGTTTGTTAGAAATCTGAGGTAGCTGAGGGGACCATGGATGATTCCCACCTGGAAGGTATTTGTTAGAGCGGTTTTAGGTTCTCCTGTGCCCTTTCCTCCTCCCCCTGCATCCTGCACCAGAGTGGAACAGTTGTCACTGTCAGTGAACCTGTACTGACACATCATTATCACGCAAAGTGCATAGCTTACATGCACGCCTGTTGTTGTACATTATGTGGGTTTTGACAAATACATAATGCCATGTATCCACCATTACAGTGTCAGGTAGAATAGTTTCACTATCCTGAAAATCCTGTGTTCTACCTGTTCATCTTTCTCCTTTACCTTTGACCAGCACTAATCTTTTTTTCAGCCTCCATGGATTTGCCTTTTTCAGACTCACATAGTTGGAACTGGATAGTATGTTGCCTTTTCTGATTGGCCACTTACATTTAGTAACATGCGTCTAAAGCTCCTCCATGTCTCTTCATGGCTGGATAGCTTGGTTCGGTTGATATTTACTGTATTTGTTGAGTGTCAATCATGTGAGAGTTCACCTAGTATGACCCTGAAGAAGTTTTGAGTTGACATCTTTATGCTCCTCAGTGCAGTGTATCCTTAAGGTTATTTAATATCTTTAGGGGATTTGGAATATATAATAAACCCAGGGCTCCTTATGGGGATCCCTATAAATCACTACAGAATCTTTCCATAAAGAAACGAGTAGTAGTTTACAGGAAATACATAAGTGGAATTATTTGCTGTTGTGTTAGTCAGCTTTCTGTCCTATGAGAAAAATCAGCTTAGAGCAGCAAAGGTTTATTTTGGCTTCCAGTTTCAGAGGTTTCAATCCATGTCACTTGTGTTGCTTTGGGCCTGTGGTATGGCAGAACATACCATCATGGTGGGGCTTGTGGAGGAGCAAAATTGCATGCTTCATTGTGGCCAGGAAACAGAGAGGGAAAGCTTGCTTTTATAACCAAGTTCCTCCCCTGAAACCCATTAAGTTATGAATCCATTGATGAGTTTTCATGACCTGAGCGTGTCCTTAAGGACCTCTGAGCCACTGCTGCACTGGGGATCAAACCTTCGACATAGGAGCTTTGGGGGACATTTTAAGATCCAAATCATTGCAGTATAAACATAAACTGATGAAAAGACAAGTTAGAGGCAGGAAAAGTGACTAATCCAGGGTGGAGGATATACACAAAAATGCATATAGTAGACTGTTGTTTTCCATGCGTATGTGGGTCCAAGGAGACCACCATTGAGGAAAAACCACAAATGCTTGGGGTACACAGAGGTCAGTACTGTACTGTGGGTGCCTGATTCGTTTTTTCATAATGACGCCTAACTTTCTTTAAAGACATGCTGCCTTTCGATAAATCTAAAAATTTTATTTCATCACTTAAATTAAGCACATTGCGTGCCCTTTTTGGCTTGGGAGGATCACCATAACTTTTATCTTGCTTTAGGGGCCATTTACTTTTTGGGGAGGCATATTTTCACAAAATTAAGGGCAGGGAAACACTCGCAGATCACACAAAGATTTAAACACTACTGACGATAATATAAGCCTGACACAACTTCTTTCATGTCAACTGAGCTGCCTAATGCGTGTGTAAGAATTTAAAATTTCTTTTGAGTTTTAAAATTAATAATTTTTTTCTGACCGCACAGTCAAAACCACGTTTAATAAATCCATCAATTAGGCAGGTTTACTGTACCATGCAATTCTGTAAAGCTGTTGCCTTGGAAATTCCTGGCTACTAAAGCTAAAAGAAAAGCATATTAATTACAAGCCCAATGCTCTCCATGGGAATGTGACATTTGGGGATCCTGTTCTGTTAGCCCATGATAGACAAAATTCATGTTTCAACAAGGGTTTCAAGTCCAAGAGTAAATTATATCCAACTGTTTCATGTGTTGAGTCAAAATCAGACTTTGGGCTTAATGCCTGTGTTCATTCTCACAATAGCAATTCCTTTAGGGGCCAAAATAATGTGACTTGGTGGTAGCACTCTTCACTGCCCACTTATAGGGCACTATACGTACGCAACTCAGTTATTACCTGCTTTCATCCTTACAGTAGCTTTGCGATACAGATAGTATTCTTTGCATTTTCCTGGGGAGAATACAGAAGGATGTAGGTATTGTTCACCATGATCAAATCAACGTAGATGAGAAAAAAAAGAAGAGTTACATTCAATTTGGTCTTACTAGGATTGAAATCCAGGAGACACCAAAATTGAGAACTCTTGAAGATGTGCTTGGAGGTTTTGAGAAGATGGTAGCCATTTTTGTAGCTTACACTAATCTCATTTGTCCAGAATTGTGGTTGTATGGCCAAAGTCAAACTGTCTTATAAGAGAGGGCTGGATAGAGTCTCAGGAAGCAAGGGTTGGAAAGGCTAGTGAATTTCCTTCCCGAAGTATCAGGTCAGCCAGTTTGCAAGGCTGGCACATACCTGGTTGGGCATGTGAAGACAGCTCAGTTTAGAAGGTCACTGTGGATATGTCTGAAACCTGGCTTCACGAGGTCTTGTGAATCCATTTCAAGTGCTGTCAGCCAGTGCTATTCCACTTTGATTTTCCTCCCTGACAGAAGTAATAAAGGTGCGTGATCTCACCCTTGAAGCTGCCCACACCAGTCAGTCTGTGCTCTTTATTTCTCATTAAACACTGCACCAGCACCTCTGGGAGGACCAGATGGTTCCAGGTGGTCTGCATCAGTAGGTGCCCAGTCTCAGCTGATGAACTGAATGCAGATTTCAGGCTGTTGATGTGTTTGGATAGAAGCATTTTTTTTGGCCACAATCTTACAGTTGTTCTTTCCAGACAGAGGGTTAGCTTTTAGGAACACTCAGCAATGGTAGTTTTACTCTGTATTTTCACAAACAGATCTTCAAGTTGCTTCAGGCCCCCTTCACAGACTGTGGGGATGGCCCAATGCTTCGATTGGAGGAGCTGGGGGACCAGCGGCATGCTCCTTTCAGACACATCTGCCGGCTCTGCTACAGGGTCCTGAGACACTCTCAGCAGGACTACAGGAAGAACCAGGTGAGGATTAAGGATGCATGGGAAGTGATTGTCAGTTTCCTTCCTGAAGTTCACGACCTTTGTTCATGAGTTCTAAGTGTCACGTATGTACATACAGTTAACATCGAACTAGTCCCTATTTATTAAGTTTACTTTTGAAAAGGAATCACAGATTGGTTTGCATGCCTGGCAAGAATATGTATTGCAGAATCCTTAAGAAAGTTAACTGGAAAAATACCTCATTAGCGGTTTTTAGGTACCAATTAGAAAAACAAAAAAAATAAGAAGACCAAAAATTTCTCTCTTGCAGGGGGAAGAAATGACCCAAACAATGTACGTGCACATGTGAATAAATGAATAATAAAAAAATTTCTCTTTTGCAGCCACCTTTCAGTGAAATTTCATGTTTTTGAAATCAGTATTACGTTTATAGTATTATTATTTGGTGATACTGAGGTTTGAACTCAGGGCTCTGTGCTTATAAGGCAGGCACTCTACCACTTGAGTCACTCCCCCAGCTCTTTTTGCTGTAGTTATTTTTCAGGTAGGGTCTCACAATTTTTTTGGCCTGGGGCTGGCCTTGGACTGCCATCTTCCCAAACTCTGCCTCCTAAGTAGATGGGATTACAGGTATAAGCTACCTCACCCAGCCCCAAATTTTAGGGCAAGTTCCCTTCAGGCTTAGGGGTGAAATGGTTCCAGGTCTTTTTCTTGAAGATAGAGTAGAATCTTTCATTCCTGTCCTCTTTAATATTTTCCATCTCTGCCAGTAACTTTTTCTTTGTTTTGATTCTAGCTCATGTTTGTTGACAGTCTGTTATTATCTATAAATATATGTATATATGTATAGTACAGTATAGAATGCATATTCGTCATGAAATAAATGTAACGTTTTTGGTAATTTCCATACAGTCTTGAGATTCTAGAGGAACTCAGAATTGTATTGCTACATCATTGGGTCTCAACTAGAAGCAGTTTTTTCCCAGTGTCTTGTGACCCTTTTGAGTGTTCCAGGTTGAGAGTGTTTCTAGTAAACAGAAGTTAGAGAAACTCTAAAATGTCCAATAATTCCTAAGATGCTTCTCCACAACAAACCTGTCTGACGCCATATGTTACGAGCTCTGAAATTAGGGAAACCTGCCGTCCATACGGTTTTGTAGATGGGCAGGATGTTGCTCATTATAGTCGTGACTCTAGTCACTTCACGTGAACTTTCCCTGCCTTGTGCTACGGATAGGTTTTGGTTTTAAGGTGTGTCACTCTCTTGCTTTCAATTTAAGCTTTTTGTTGTGTCATCATGAAGATATTGTTAATCCTAACTAACCATATCAGCAAGTGTGGTTGCTTTAAATCCTCCTCTGGTACATTATACCATACTCCGTGCCAAAGAGATTGTTGTTTTTGCAGGTCTTGGTTTTTGAGCTCAGGGTCTCACTAGGCAGGTGCTTTACCTATAGTTCCTATGTATCTGTGATTACAGGCACGTGCCACCTTGCCCAAGTTATTGAGTGAGATGGGATTTTGCTAACTTTTTCCCAGCTGTCCTCGTGCCTGATACTACCAAGCTCTGCTTTCCAAATGGCTGGGAGGAGATCTTACTGCACTCTTGCTAAGTGTGTCCCAGGACACACTGCCCATACACAGGGAAACTAAACCAGTTTCTCTTGCTGCTGCTGGGTTGGGTGTCTAGTTATTTATGGATCCTGTGCCAGTTGGCAGAGCTGTATCCCTGAAGGCCGATAAATTCCCAAACATGCATCCTTATTGAGAATAGGCTGAAATGTGGCCCATGTCTGCCATGTTCGTTCTGGATAGTTCTCAGGATTTAGGAATTAATAAAAAAAAATTAAAGCCGGTTTTGAACTTTGAGCAAGCAAATAGTCTTGGGCAGGGAATAGCTTAGGTGGTTTTTTTTTGTTATTTGTTTTCAGTTCCTGGGGATGGAACCAAGGGCTCATGTATGCTAGGCAGTGCTCCACCACTGAGCTACATCCCCAGGGAATTATCTTTGAATAGAAACAAATAACTATTCATAAGAGGCTTCCTTGAGTTTTCTAATATTTCTATGGAATGTGATGTCTGTTCCCAAAAGAGAGAAGCCAGAGATGGGTTCATATGCCCTATAAATATGATTGATGGACTTAGAAACTCCTGACTTTCCTCTACTACCCATTGACTTTAAAAAAAAAAAAAAAGCTTTTACCCAGAAGAAAACATAATGGGCTACCATTATTTCACATGTCTAGATAGACTTAATCTGCATTTATTCAGCCACAGTGAGGAATGGGGCACAGTTAAGTCCTCTTAAATTAGTAATAAACTCTCAGCTGAGTAACAACTTCTGACCTTTTTTTTTTAAATAAGTCATTAGATTAAAATTTGTTCTGTACACTTAAAGTGCCCATGTGTAAACATAAGGATTTTTGCATAATGATGTTTGTATGGCAGGTTTAGTAAAATAAAGGATTGAAGGGTGTTCTGCCATTGTCCTAGGGTAGAAGGTTGGGGAAAGCTGCTCTGTCTAGGGTAATTTGCCTGTTGAACAGTAGCTCTTATCAGGGGATGTTGCTTCTTTGATTGCTTTTAACTTTACTATCTTTGTGTCTTTTTGGCTAACTTTTCTTTTCTCTCCCGGAAAGGAGTATATAGCCAAGCAGTTTGGCTTCATGCAGAAGCAGATCGGCTATGATGTGTTGGCTGAAGACACTATCACAGCCCTGCTCCACAATAATCGAAAACTCCTGGAAAAGCACATCACTGCAGCTGAGATCGACACTTTTGTCAGTCTGGTGCGGAAGAACCGGGAGCCCAGGTGAGGCACCAGCGGGGTCGGTGCAGCAGAATGGCGTGTGCATTTAAGATGGGAAAACTGAGCTTGCCAGGGTGCTGGGCTTGCTGTCCTTGGGGCTGCCAGTGGCAGGCTCTGATTAGTCTGAAGTGGCTCTTTGATGAGTAGGAGTAAGAACATGGTTTGGAACAAGACACCTTCCCTCATCTGCTAAATGTTTAGTTCTGAAAATTATGCAAGAATAAATATCTGTGGAGGTGCACAGTAAATGACAATTACTGTCTTTTTAGAAATCCTCCCCCCATATCAGTTAGAAGATTTTTCCAATATCACAGTAAATCTTCTGAGTGTTTCATTATATTTAAATTAATTCTACCCTCTCCTCTCTTTCACATAGATCTGTGCCCCACCTTGCCTTCATTCCTTTCCTGCCTCTTTCCTCCTTCTAATTAAGACCCGCACTATTTAAGTGAAATGAGCAGTTCACAGTATTGGTGTCACAAATGGTCCCCCTGGAGAGCTGATAGGGTTGCTGTAAAAATAACTACTACTACCCATAAAAAAATAAATTTCCTAGAGTCTGCTCATGTTTGGGGGAAGGGGCTAAGAAAGCATGGATTATCTCATTTACTCCCGAGGGCAGTCCTATCTTTTTTCTGTACATGAGAAAACTGAAGCACAATGCTAAGTAATGGTCTGTATCAGAACCCACCTGGTTAGCATCACAGCTGGACCTCCAGCCTGGGCAGTCAAGTTTCACAGCCTGACCCTGACCACTCTGATGGCACCACGTCCCTGTTATTTCCTCCTGCTGTGAACTTCTTTCACATCCTGCTCTTCTTTTCATCTTCCCACCCCATCACGTCTTCCTTGGCCACAGTCACAGCCATCTTTACTGTTCTGCTTCTCTCCTCCTTCTCTCTGATGTCTGGGTTTCCTGTGGTACCATGGGCACTGGCATCAAAGCCCACAGTGTTCCTGACTTGTCTTATTAAATGAATGTGGGGCCTCTATGAGGAACAGGCAGGCTCAAAAAACTTGTGCTTGCTTTGCTGAAAACATTTTGTTTTCTATTTCTGGGTAGGTTCTTAGATTACCTCTCTGACCTCTGTGTGTCCATGAACAAATCGATTCCAGTGACCCAGGAGCTGATCTGTAAAGCTGTACTGAATCCCACCAATGCTGACATCCTGATTGAAACCAAGTGAGTTGGGTCTAGGGCCATAAGCTAAAGGTGAAGAGGGGTTTAGATGGAAAATGTGTGGTTCAGTGGATGTTTGTGCTGATGGGTAACCCCTCCATTTCTTCAGACTTGGTCCAAGGTTAGGTTAGCTGGCTTTCGGTCTTTGTTTTGTGGGTCTTGCTGAGAGGGCAATGATTGAGCTTGCTTGTGGTGTGGCATTCTGTGCAGAATGACCTCACTTACTTTGCATACTGGTTTTAAAATTGTGTAACCACACCAGGGAGCCTTTGACACTTTGTTTAAATTGTAAGAGTTGAAGACTCTTGCAGTGTGGTCATCAATGAAAAGTTTTAAAGGACATAATGAGTATTCAATGCGAATATTATTAAGTCAATGTTGAAAAGACTTGTAAATTATCACTGTTCAAAAGTGGTTGTTGGTCCACAATAAAATGGTAATAATAAAATGGTAATTATTGTTATCACCTTTATGGCAATGGCAGTAATTTATTTTTAGCAAAGGAGCAGTTTTCCTGGTAAGTATAATACAGCAATGTACTTAATGTTAAAAAGAAAAAAGTGCAGTAATGTTTAAAAACATAGGCCTTCATGTTTTTTCTTAGGCTACTTTTTTTTTTCTTGCCATACTAGGGTTTGAACTCAGGGCCTCATGCTTGCAAGGCAGGCACTCTACTGCTAGAGCCATTCTGCCAGCCTTGATTTGAGTATTTTCATGGTAGGGTCTCATGAACTATTTGCTCTGGCTGTCTTTGAACCACGATCCTCCTGATCTCTGCCTCCCTAGTAGCTAGGATTACAAGTATGAGCCACCAGTGCCCAGCTTCTTAGGCTACATTTTATTTCTTAGATTATTTTTTGTTTCTTAGGTGTAACTTAATTTGGGGCTTGGGTTCTCAACCTCAGCATCTTGACATTGGGTCTGGGTAGTTCTTGGTGGTGGGGACTGTCCTGTGCATTGACGGCTGTGGAGCAACACCATCCACTGGGATGACAGAAGTGCTCCTCTTTCAGTTGTGACAACCAGAAATGCCTCCGTATACTGCCACATGTCTCCTAGGGTGCAAAATCACCCTAGTTAAAGTACATAAAGCAGTGCATCTTTGACTCTTTGAGGCTCTGCCTGTGGGAGAAATCAAAACAAAGTGACTTTCTGTGGGTCTTGAGAAAGCTAAAAGAGAAGATAGATTTTCTTTCTTTTTTTCTTCTCTCAGACAGGATCTTACTTTGCAGCCCAGGCTGACTTGGAACTCAAAGTCCTCTTGCCTCACCCTCCTGAGTACTAGGATTACAGGTGTGTACTGTCATAGGTTTCTAGAAAGCTAGATTTCAAAAACAATGAGTTCTCCCTCCTTCTCTTCTTGTCTAGGTTGGTTCTTTCTCGTTTTGAATTTGAAGGTGTTTCTACTGGAGAAAATGCTCTGGAGGCAGGAGAAGATGAGGAAGAAGTGTGGCTGTTTTGGAGGGACAGCAACAAAGAGATTCGTAGTAAGAGTGTAAGGGAATTGGCACAAGATGCTAAAGAAGGGCAAAAGGAAGATCGCGATGTCCTTAGCTACTACAGGTGAGTGGGAGACATGTGCTCTTGTTGGGGTGCTCTCAAAGGCGGCACTTAGGAATATATTTCTTTCTTGTTGATCATTCCAGGAATCACATGGTGTCATTTGGTAACAGTGTCTGGGAGACACATGCGTATTTTGTGAGTTAAGAGTGTAAGAGTCCAATGATTCTTAGTCCATTAGTATCTGGGTGTATCTGGGTCACAAGGGGAAGCCTTGCATCAGCCCCTAGTTAGAGCAGATACTTAAGCAGCACTGCACATGCATGTTTTGGCAATGAAGAGTCAGGCTGGGCATCAGGAACTAGAAAAAAGGACAGTTAGAGATGAATCAACTTAGAATGTAACACATTTGTACATGGAAGCAGTGCTAGGAATCTCTCTGAATAGCTATCCTTATCTCAACTAGCAAAAACGCTTTGTCTTTCTTATAATTGTTTATACTTTCTCTTCAACAAAATTAGAGATGAGGGCAGAACAGACTCTGCCTGGAAGTGAGGGTGTGTGTGGGGGGGAGAGGGAGTGGATGGGGAGTAGAAGGGAGAAATGGCCCAAACGATGTATGCTCATATGAATAAATGAATAAAAAAAAAGAGTCAGGCTGGGGCTCAGACTGCATGGGTTCACATCCTGACCTTTTTCCTTATTAGGTTTTTGACTTTGGTCAAATTTGCTTTATCCTCCAGTTTTCTTTTCTGCAAAATAGAGATGATGATGCCAGTCTTCTGCAACATTAATAGACAGAGCTAGAAAAGAGCTGTGTGTACATACATTTATATTTGTATAAATATTTGTACATCGGTCTATACAAATATATAATAAAACCATGAGGTTATACTAATGTAGGTGGAACAGCGCTAATCCAGAAATCTGAAATTGAAATCCAAAATGTTTTAAGCCCCAACATGACACTCAAAAAGTTTCAGGTTTTGGAGCATTTCTGATTTTTAGAATAGTGACAGTTGACTGCTAAAGTCTATGCAAGTATTCCAAAACCTGATACTTTAGTTCCAAACATTTCTGGTAAACAATTCCATTCCAATACCAAAGGATTTATCCTAGCCTTCACTCCTTCTGTTTTCATAACTCCCTCTAGTTACATAATTCCAGGGATATTTACCTGTTTGCTTGTGCCCATTGTATGTCACCAGTCTCAGCTTCTGCTGGTCATCTCCTCCATCCCCAGTGTCTGCTTGACTCCACTCTTAGGCCTGCTAGCCCTGCCACCTGAAGGGAAGGAAAAGGAAGAAAAGAATGGAAGTGAGCGCATAGATACTTTTAAAAGAAAAGGGAAGGGAAGAAAAAGCAATGCTCCTAGTTTTTTTTTTTTTTTTTAATCACTTGAGCCATTCCACCATAGTTTTTTGTTTTAAATAAATAAAACTTTGCAGTTAAGAAGTCTTACCTTCTGAATTTTAGTCTTGTCTCTTACATTCCATATAGTGTTCATCCTTTCAGTTTTTTGTGTGTTTGTATTGTTACATGTACATGCAACTATAGTTCATATATGATATTTTGTCCTTAAGTTTTCATATAATTGGTACGCTATACCAAATACTGTTCTAGAACTTGCCTTGTTTATTCACTGTTGTTTCTGAAATGTATCTGTGGTAATAGAGGTACATTGTTTCTTTAATTTTGACTGTTGAGTAGATTCTGTTTTATTATTGTACCACATTTTCATTCATGTTTGTATTCCTCTGTATGCCACAATTTATTCATGTCAGGGCACCTCCTTGTTCAAGTTTGCTCTGTATATGCCTTAGTTTTTTCATTCCATGGTGAGAAACTGGATTGGTGGGTACTCAGACTTTAAACTTTACTAAGCAATGCTAACCTGGTTGTTGGAGGGTACAGTCTCGCTAGTTGGAGATGATAACTTGTTTCTGCGTGTCTTTGCTAACTTTCAATGTGGTTATGCTTTTTGATTTTTTTCAATCTTCTGAGTATGAAATACAATCGTGTCTAAACTTGGATTTCACTGATACATAGTGAGGCTGAGAATATTTTCAAATTGCAGTTGTTGGCAATATATAATTCTTAATTCAGAAGCCAGTATTTGCCAGTTTAAAAGCCTGTAGCTTTTTTTATTATGTCATATTGCAAGTATCTATACTATTTTTAGGCTTGGTGAATCTCTTTACAGGTGAATTGTAAAAAGACTTTTTTTTTTTTTTGGCAGTACTGGGGTTTGAACTCAGGGTCCCAAGCTTGCTAGGCAGGCACTTTACCACTTGAGCCACTCCACCTGTAACAGGTTAGTCTTTTTACAGTGACTGAGGGAGTGCTCAGCTGGTCGAGTTCAGGTTAACAAAATTGACTTGTGGTTGGGTGAGGAAGAAAAGTGAGGAGTCTCCAACTTACGTACATCAAATGTTTTTCATCGGTGTAGGAATTAATCCGTAACTTGCATGCTATAAGATCCTACCGTGCTATAAAATTCTCTTTAGACTTGAAGTGGATAATATCCTTAATTTCTGCACGATTGTTAAAGTAATGTATAAAAATACAGCTGAAGAGGTAGAACCACACCACCATCTAAGACCTATTTTTTCCTATTTATTTTATAAGATAAGCAAGGCAAAATGGAATAAGGTAGTGACATAATCGCTCTAACATGGCGAGACAGACATGTAGGTTGGCTGTCAACCTACACTTTATGCCATAGCATGAACTCTACCTCTGTTTAGTACAAAAGCAACAATTTGGTATATAAGAGTTGTTCAGGGGTGGGATGTATAAGTTCAGATGGCCAGATGTCACTCCTATGAAAGCTGGGGCTCCTGGACTTCCCCTGTGTGTTTCCGTTCATCCTGAATGACTTCAGGAGCAAGTGCCTTACGTTGCTTTTGTTTTGTCAGGTATCAGCTGAACCTCTTCGCAAGGATGTGTCTGGACCGCCAGTACCTGGCCATCAATGAAATATCAGGCCAGCTGGATGTAGATCTCATTCTTCGCTGCATGTCAGATGAGAACCTGCCCTATGACCTGAGGGCATCCTTCTGTCGCCTCATGCTTCATATGCATGTGGACCGAGACCCCCAGGAGCAAGTCACCCCCGTGAAATATGCCCGCCTCTGGTCGGAGATTCCTTCCGAGATCGCCATTGATGAGTGAGCCTGACTCCTCCTCCTTGTCAAGACCTCATGACACTTTAAAGCCTTGAATTTATCACATCTTAGCAGCAATAGATAAACTATACAGGGTTTATAAAATCATAGAAGAAAGATTTACTTTTTTTAAGCTTACAATTAAATGGCTGGAAAATAGTTCATTCCTCATGAAAGTGACAGATGGCATGATTGTATTTTTCTGTCTCTATTTCTCTCTTTCATTCTACAAATATTTGAGTGAGTACTGTTTGCCAAGATGGTGGAATATTAGAGAACAAGCTAGAAAACTATCTCTATGTTAGTAGGGGAAGATAGGCAATAAAAAAATAAATGGCTAAGATATGAATGTGATGGTAGGTGTTAAGGAAGAAAAATAAAGTAGGGTTTAGGAATTGGTGGAGGAAGTTCACTTTTGAGGCTAAATGACTGGGAGGATTTCACTGGGAAGAATTTACATTTTATTTCCTTCTCTTTCTCCTTTCCTTTCAGCTATGACAGTAGTGGAACATCCAAAGATGAGATAAAGGAGAGGTTTGCTCAGACTATGGAATTTGTGGAGGAGTATTTAAGAGATGTGGTTTGTCAGAGGTTCCCCTTTTCTGATAAGGAGAAAAATAAACTTACATTTGAGGTAACTCATGAAATGACCTATGTGTTTTATGTTTTTCAGTGTTTTCTTTTTATGAGGGAAATAGAAAATATTTTATTTGGTGGTGATTTTTTTTTTATCAAGATGCTCCAGCTTTATAATGAAAAAGGAATTTAGCTCAGTTTTGTTCCAGGATAAAATAGCATTGTTACCATTCACTTAGTCTAGTAATAGTTCTGCTCATAAAAGAAATATAGAAAGAGAGCTGAATCATGTGGAATGAACAATGGAACATTATGTATGCTCTGTGCTTTGTATTAAAAATGGCAGGAGAGAAACAGATTGTTCTTGAGTTCTGTGTGAGGAACATAAATCCTTTATTACCTTTGAGTTAAAATGTTTCTTAGACCATTTTTGCCTTTTAGATGTTATATTTTCAAGGTCTGCAGTGTTCTTATCTGTGTCCTTCTTGGGTATTATTTGGCTCACCAAGTGTGATCCTTGGCAAGCTGTGCCCACTAAATGGTTAGGTCAGTTTTAAATTAACTAGTCATGAAAGCAGAGTGGCTTTGAAGGCTTTCTTTTCTTACTTTTTTTCCTTCTTATGAAACAAAATGAAATTTTATCGGAAATCACACGCTAAATACATGCCTTCTCATACCATACATACAGTCATAATCTATCATTTGTTAACCAGGCAACAGAAGAAAACAGTGTACATAATACCATCTTCTTTTTTAAATACAATAGGTTGTAAACTTGGCTAGGAATCTCATATACTTTGGTTTCTACAACTTCTCTGACCTTCTACGATTAACCAAGATCCTTCTGGCGATATTAGACTGTGTGCATGTGACAACAATCTTCCCCATTAGCAAGATGGTGAAAGGAGAAGAGAATAAAGGTAACAATGATGAGGAGAAGCTGAAGAGTGAGTATCTGATGGTGCCCATACTGAGAGATGCCCTTCCAGCCTTTCCTGTTACACTCACATACCTCACCATGGAATGTTGTGTTCTGTCTGTCTGTTCCTTCCCACCTCTTCATCATGTGTCAGATATAAAGCCAAGCTGAATGAACTGCTCCATATACTCCCAAAACCCATGGCCTAGAGTCAATGATGATTAGATTTTGCTGTCTTCCCTTTGCCTTTGTAAGAATCTGTGTTTACATGAATATATTTATTATTTTTATTATTTTTTGACAGTATTGGGGTTTGAACTCAGGGCCTCATGCTTACTAGGCAAGTGCTCTTACACTTGAGCCACTCCACGAGCTCTGTTTTTGTGTTGAGTATTTTCAAGATAGGGTCTCATGAACTATTTGCCTGGGCTGGCTTTGAACCACGATCCTCCTGACCTCTGTCTCCTGAATAGTTAGCATTATAGGAGTAAGCCATGGGCACCTTGCTCTGTGTTTATATTTTGTTGAACAACTTCAAAGTTGCATATCACTTTAAATGGTAGTCTCTGAAAAATACATGTGTATCATTATTCTTAATATATATGAGGCTGGTGCTGATAGTATTCATATATGGTAAAATGAAATCCAGGCGTATATCTTAGTATCTGTTTCAATTTTGTGAATAGGAAAATCTACCTTTATATTTTTATTTCGTCCTCTGTTTTAGGGGCAGAGTGAGCAAATAGTAGGTATCATGTATCAATTGTTGTTAACTGGTTTTTTGTGGCTTGAGTAGAAAAAAATTGTTCACTGTTTGCTAAGTGCTGTGCTGTGTCATTTTGTATACATTATGCCATTTAATTCTGTCAGGGAGCACTTTTTACATGTGAGGAGACCAAGCCTCTAAGTTAATATAATGTACCTGAGGTCAAGCAGCTTTTGGTAGCAACACCAGGGTTTATGCCTCGCTGATGGTTATATCCCTGTTTCTATGTGCAGTAACAAGCACAAATGGGTAACCAATAAAATTCATTAGGTGAATTAATGTGCAGAAATGCTCCTTTGTGGATGTCAAACCCATGTTATTTCCACTGCTCTTCAAAATCTTAAATTTTTGATGAGTAGTAACATTTTCATGTTCTTCTGGTCCTGAGAATGTGTCAGAACATGAACACGTTAAATAACTTGACCCTATTCCCCTTAAAAGGTGCTCTAAGCACTCTCAAAATGTCATGACCAAGGTCTGTCCTGATGTTTTCTAGGCAGTAATGTGATGAGGTCTATCCACGGTGTTGGGGAGCTGATGACCCAGGTGGTGCTCCGGGGAGGAGGCTTTTTGCCCATGACTCCCATGGCTGCTGTCCCTGAAGGTGATGTGAAGCAGGCGGAACCAGAGAAGGAGGACATCCTGGTCATGGACACCAAGCTGAAGATCATTGAAATACTCCAGGTGGGTGATGGGTGGGAGGACTCAGGGCGCTGTTCAGATCCCCCTGTGCTATGATGGAGCCCAAGGCTTTCTGGGAAGAAAATGACAAAACATTTAGCTCATCTTTCCATATCACTTATGAACTGATTCCACTTAATCCCTTTACTGTTACATCTCTACCCCTTCCCAGTAAGGCCTTGTCCCTTTGGCCATAGTAGGCCTTTGTTTAGTTAACTATAGCTTTCCATTGTCATTGGCCTCTCTGTTTTGGCCCATGTTGTCATCTTTGTTTAGAGTTCACTCACTGTGCTTCTCCAGGTGGTTGAATTTCCTGCTTATTGTTCATAATTCAGTTCCATTAACTTTTCAGAACCTTCTTCTCTCCTTTTTTCTTTCACTCACTCCATTCATTCGACCAACAAATATTTATTGAGATCAGGTAGTCTCAAGTCCTTTTAAACACTGGTGAGCCAGCAACTGACAAAGTACATTAAGTTCCTGCTCCTAAAGAACTTAATGTTTTAGAGCTGGTGGAATGGCTTAAAGTGGTAGAGCTCCTGCCTAGCAAGCATGAGGCCCTGAGTTCAAACCCCAGTACCACAAAAAAATTTATGTTTTGATAAGGAACGTGTGCAAATGTTAAAAAACAATCAGTGCTAAGAGATATTAAAATATAAAAGAAGGGTCAAGATGATTTGGAGGCTATTGGGGCAGAGAAGCAGAGATAATGTTATTTGATGGGGTTTTCAGTGAAGGCCTCTTGAACAAGGTGACATGATCAGAGACTTGAAGGAAGTAAGAAACTGGCCATGTGGATATCTAGGAAGTCTCGAGGCAGAGGGGACAGCAAATACAGAGTCAGAAACAGGAATAAGTTTGGGTTTAAAAGGGAATTGGAGATGAATCAGGTAGAGTAAACATATGTCACTCTTTTGTGTATTAGGCTAGTTAAGTAGCAGTGGACACACGATGCTTATTATGTGTCTGCTTTTACCCTAATGTAATTAATAGAAGTCTTTCCACTAAGAAGCATATGACTTGAGGAATAAACTTCCTATGTGGAGCAAAAAAGGGGGAACATCAGCCTTGAACATTGGGGGAGTTCAAGCCTGTAGGAAGGCCAAGAGGGTCTCAAACCTAGGACAAGCCCTCCTCATAGACTGGGTCTCTCCTACTCCCAGCACTAAGACTGTACTCATTCTTGGAATTAGTCTCTAGCTCATGTCAACAAGTTTTTCTTCTTTCTGTGATTGTTTCTATTTGCTGTGCAAAATTGCTATAAACTCACAACTTAAGAAAATTACAACAACAAAAAATGAAACCATTTTGTTACCAACAGTTGCTCCCTGCCCATTTACCACTTCTCTGTGCCCAAAAGGGTTATATGTATTTACTGCTGTCAGCTGTCTTTAACCCATTCAAGTTGATACCTAGAAGTAAACTTCATGGTTTGTTTTGCATAATACTGAGTTTGAGGCTCAGGGAAGAAACCAGATGGAATATAGAAACAGTCAGTTGGGACAATAAACTGAAAGCTTGGAGGCAGGTCAAATGTCTGTCTCTATCTGGGAGAGGTGACAGCCACGAGAATGGGTAAAGTTGCTAAGAGGGCTAAGGGGAGGAAAGGAGAAATGAGAAAGAGGGATGTCAGTAAGGTCTTAAATGATACCAGCTGGTTGATGGTTCTTTTTGGTCCTAGCAACAGTCATGGGGAAAGTGGCTCTACTGGAGTAGAAGGGGAGGAAATACAGGAAGTCAAACAAAAGAACATCTGGGGGGTTGTACTTAAATCAGAACAAGCAACCAGAAATACATTGAAAATATAAACCAATCTTATTCTTAGTAGTAAAAACAAAATTTCTCTGTCAATTGCCCTAACCTCAAAGCAGCCAACTTCATTCTTCTCAGTGTGAGGCCTGGCATTGGCATTTGATCTTTGCTGAAATGAAGTCATGTTTCATAGAGAATGGAGCACAGAGTGTGAGATACAGGGTTCCATTATTAAATTGATTGCCTGGATACTGGAGTTGACACTAGAAGCTAAGGTGCTGTGGGCAGACTTGATATGCCCCATGGAAGTCTGCTTGTGCTAAAATGACTGTTGAAATTTAAGCCAAACATTTGGCTTACTTAATGCTTGAGGTAATTGATGTAGCTGATACCAGGCCCTGCCAGAGAGCTGTGGCTTGGCAAAGTGTTAAAGGTGATGTGTTAATGTAACCAATCTGTTTCCATTTCCACTTGAATCTTTAGTTTATTTTGAACGTGAGGTTGGATTATAGGATCTCCTGCCTCCTGTGTATATTTAAGCGGGAGTTTGATGAAAGCAATTCCCAGACTTCAGAAACATCCTCCGGAAATAGCCAAGAAGGGCCAAGTAATGTACCAGGTTAGTGAATCCACATGGGATTTCACCCATAGAATGGGACCTGGGTATGACAGAAACTGGGGATCCAAATGATAACTTGTAAAAAAAAATAAATAAACGGGTAAAATGAGTTTTTTTTTTTTTTTTTAAGATTACTGTATTTTACAGACAGACTACTGGGACTTGTTCTTTTTGGTCATGAGAATATTGGAAAGAACCAAAAATTGCTGCTGGGATAGATCTTACTTCCTTCTGACTTGGAGAGTTAAGACAACTAATGTTTCTATGGTTGGAGTCACTTATGAAGTACCCCAAAAATGAGCTCAGTGATTAAAAACTCACCAAGAAACCTCACTGTTCATATGCAACTTTTACTTACTTTTGGAGTTTCTCCATGCCCAGAAAATGATGGGGAAGGGGAAAGGTCCCCAAGCTTCCTTGCAATGAGTCTGTCACTCTCCTTTAGCAAGGGGAGAAAATGGCAGGAATATGGGACATTGGACAGTGTCATGTGGGCTAGCCTGGCTCCATAGCTTTGCAGTGTATCCTTCTGGAAAATTTGGGGTTAGCCCAACAGCTTGTTTTCAGACCTTGCTCTGTCTAAAGCTATATTCTCTCACCTTTTCAGGTGCTCTTGACTTTGAACACATTGAAGAACAGGCAGAAGGCATCTTTGGAGGAAGGCAAGTTTACTTTCAGTTATGGCTTTTTGTATATAGTTCTACCATATGGAATGTGGCTTCTCTATAACTGTCAAAGCTTAAATTACACCTTTGTTAACATTGTGCTTGGTCAAAGCAACTCCCATGGCCAAATGCAGAGTCAGCATAGGAGGAGCTATATAAGGATGTGAATAAGGCAAAGACCCTCAGTGTTGAGAGTCTGTGAAATGTGAATTCACATTCTGAGTTCAGAAATAATCCATGTGCCAGGATGACTCAGGTCTTTAGCCATTTTCCTCATATTGAACAGCAGTGAAACTTCTTCACATTTTGCGTACACAGCAGGAATACATTATTCATATGTTTAGTCCTTACTGTCCTTTTTTTTTGTCAGCCTGCAACCATAAAGGGCTCACCAGTTGCTGTTCATTTGATTGTAAACACAATGCAGGTGCTGACACAGTAATTGACTTGCAATGCCCTGTTGATCCCGAATGTGCTTATTAATGTTTAATTATATAAATCACACATTCAAGTTATCATGGATATTTAAATAACCCAGGATAATATGTTGATTAATCCCAGTTTGAAGAACACCGAGTTTTACTGGTCCATGGCAATACTCTCAAAGCAGGGCCCATGAATCCACAATGCTTGTTACTGGTTTGTGACAAAGTATATACAGAACAGTCATAGTTTAGGGGCTTGTATTTGATCTGCTTCTCATCCAAATGCATGGCCAGCAGACTTGGTATAGGCCAAGTATCTCACAGCTATACTCTAGAAATTAAAAAAAAAATAAAGCTAGTCCTCACTAAATGATTTGATAATCACTGAATAAACAAAAAAAATAACTTAGTCTCAGACCACAGATGAAACTCAGCAGAAGCACATCTGAGGTGTTGAGTACCTGATTGTCATACCAGTCTTGTTAGTTTGGTTCATACCAAACTAACAGTCTTCATACTTTGGTTCAAAATATGACAATTACAACATTATAATTGTCCCTCTCACAATATACTTGAAGATAAAGCAAGATTGCACTGTGAAAGGAGCTGGTGAAAAGTGAAGTCACTCAGAAGAATTAGAATGTTAGAGATCTAGTTTAGGTGCTTCAGGGCCCATGTGCATGAATGAGGCATCTGTGGCTCATTTGTCCTCTCTCCTTCCCTGGGCTCCCACAGTGAGGAGAACACTCCACTGGACTTGGATGATCACGGTGGCAGAACCTTCCTCCGTGTCCTGCTCCACTTGACGATGCATGACTATCCACCCCTGGTGTCAGGAGCCCTGCAGCTACTCTTTCGGCACTTCAGTCAGAGGCAGGAGGTCCTCCAGGCCTTCAAACAGGTAGGTCACTTGGTGGACATGTGTGGGCTATCCAAGAAGCTGCTGTGTGTAACTAATGGATTACATTTGTTAAAGTTTGTGCAACTAATGGATTATGTTCATTAAGGTTCAACTGCTGGTTACTAGCCAAGATGTGGACAACTACAAACAAATCAAACAAGACTTGGATCAACTAAGGTCCATTGTGGAAAAGTCTGAGCTCTGGGTGTACAAAGGGCAAGGCCCTGATGAAACCATGGATGGTGCATCTGGTGAAAATGAACATAAGAAAACTGAGGTAAGTAAAATACAAGTCAGACGTCTCAGGGCATTGGATGGGCTTCTTGAAACAAGGAAATGTCCTTTTCTGGTTTTAGATGTAAATGCAGTTTATAGACAATCTTTATTTTCAAGAGATCTGCTTGTGAAGTAGCAAGGGTAACAACTGTTCTAGGAAATGAGCTACAAAATTAAAGTTCAACCATGTTTCCAGGCTGATCTAGATCATGTAGAAGAAACTCGGTGGTTGAGTGAATTAGCACCAGGTTTCCCTCACGGAACCACTAGGAAATAACCCTGTTCTCTGGCCATGGCCTGACCCGGCACCCTCTTCCAAGGGAGTTGAGTATAAGCAGATGTCTTGGGCATAAACCCAACATGAATAAACCCAGTACAACTGTTGTAAAACAGGGCAAAACTCCCAGTCTTTCTTTAAGGGTAGTGCTTACCCTAGCAATCCAACAGTAGCCCAAGAATTGTACAAACCACAGCTGTGTTCATTTTGGTCCCTAGGAGGGGAATAACAAGTCACAAAAGCATGAAAGCACCAGCAGCTACAACTACAGGGTGGTAAAAGAGGTAAGCACCTCCTCTCCCCTTTTTCCTTCCTTATTAATTCTTTAAGGACCTTTAGTTAGTGATAGTCAAGTTAAAGGCACCAACACTTTAGCTTTTTTCTTCATGTAAAATTTAGCAGAGAGAAAGTAGAGCTCTTTGGTTGAGTGCTGCATGGGTTTTAACATCAGGTCTGAGTTTGAAGCCCAGCTGTGCTTATTATTTGTGTGTCTCAGTTCCTCCCTTTTATAGGCACAACCTTTTTATAGGTACCACGTGTTTCTGAAGTTTTGCAATGGAATGAAGGATTAGCTGATGTAATTTCCCAGGGCTTATCTTGGTGCCTGGTTTTAGAAATCTTTGCATAAGGCAGTTTGAAGTTGGGTGATTAGTAGCTTTGTGGTTTTTACCCCAGAGCAAAGCTGTCTCCAGGACTGGGCAGTTGATGCCAGGTCATAACATTTTAAGTGGTCTGTGAACTTGCCACACTTGCTGTTGAAGTCACTACCTTATTGCTTATGCTTCAAGACATAATCTTAGTCTTGCATGGGCTAGATTTAGTGCAACCAACAGGGATAACTATATATTGGAGGAATTTCCTTATGACAGATTTTTAATGTATAGTGATCCCTACCCTGTAATCTTTTTCCAACTGTATAGTCCCTGTTTTTCTGAGGTTGATTTCTTTCTCCTAGATTTTGATTCGACTTAGCAAACTCTGTGTCCAAGAGAGTGCCTCTGTGAGGAAGAGCAGGAAGCAGCAGCAGCGACTGCTGAGGAACATGGGTGCACATGCCGTGGTGCTGGAGCTGCTGCAGATCCCCTATGAGAAGGTGGGTAGGACCCTCACCATGGCCGCTGCACCTGAGGGTGGGCCAGGTCCCTCGATTTTCCTGAACCTTTCGTGTCTAGATACTGTGGGTGAAGGCATGGAACTGATGAGATTGTTGTGACCATAAAGAAATTTTAGGTAATTTATGTGAAACAGACATATCCCCACCCAGCCCCAGTGCAATTTTAAGATTCTAGAAATAAAGAAGACTCCATTTATTCTGTCTCACTTCCACAGCTACTTGGGATAGAGACAGCTAGGTCTGCATCAGAGGTCAGAGCTATACCTGTATATGGCTGGTGCTCTGTAATTTCATTTGCAACATTCCTGGAGTAATGTAAGCACTTCATGTTATTAAATACATATGGGACCATGGGGCTGACCAGTTTTGTGGTCTTCACTAGTGTGCTGACATCTGGGTGTATATTTGGACCCATCAGGTGAACTTGGATCAAGGTCTCCTTTTCAGTTGCCATATGTCGTACTTTGTCTTCTGTATTTCACATTGGTGTTTGTAGTTGGTGGAATTTTGATTTAGGGGATCAGGACCCTAACTACTTGGGCATCTGTGTAGACTGCCAAAGCCCTTGTGAAAACATTCACTCAAGCCTGAAAAACCCAGTGAAGCTTCATGCTGTATGCACTTGACAGATGAGGAGACTGAGGCTGACACAGGTTTGGAGTCTAAGTTCTTAGACACATGTGTTGAGTTCCCAGGGATGGTCAGAAAGGCGGACTTGCTGTGGAAGCATCTTCTGAAGGCTCACTGCTGAGTGCTTGCGGGCTCCTCAGCATGGTACTGCACCTTAGCTCATGTCACTCTGCAGACATACTGATGAGACGGTGGTGGTGACATTGTCCTCTCTTTAGGTGAGAAAATCATGGCTGGGGAGGTTCAGGGTGACACAGCTGCATGCAGTAGGGCTGTCTCTGGTCCTCTGTGGAGTTTGGACCTACTGTCTTACATTCCAGAAGTTCCTTGCAAGGAGACTTCTTCCTCAGTCATGGGACACATGTGAAACAGGTGAACCAGGTCTTTCACACCCACAGGGAAAGGCACAAGCTTAATTCCTCTAGTAGGTCAGGCATGTAGCTAACTTGAAATTAGTGTGTGTGTCACCCAAACTTTGGCTGCCTTTGGACTAGAACCAACAGCTTGATCTGCCTCCCTGTGTGTGAAGAGTGTGAGGAGATAGTTTGCTGACTCTAACTTGGTCTTGTTCTCCCATCAGTTTCCTAATGAGCAGTGTTAATGTATGTGCAACCAGGTTGGGTTGGAATTGGGGACTCGAGGACAGAACATTGTGTGTGTAGGTATGTTTGCTTACTTTAGGATGGGCACAGACATCCCAGTGTATGAGAACAAAGGAGGAAACCCACCACCGAGTAACACTTCTGATGTGATGTCTCCCAAGCTTGCTTGCCTTATAAAAATCCACTTCAAATTCCAAAGTGCTCTCCTGAGTACCAGGACATTCCTTTTTTAGTAGAAGAAATGGAAGTGCTGGACCATTTAAGGTTATTTCTGTCAACCAGCAGCGTCTGTCTGTCCTGAGCTTTCTGATTTTTTTATAGCTTGAGCATTAGCCATCACCACCCCCATTAATAAGAGACATATGTAATACTTTGCTTTTGAGTGATTGTCAAAGTTGGTTGCTCAAATTCATTCTGTCACTATTCCTGACAGGAATTCTCACAGGGTTTTTTTTTTTTTTTAGGCCAGAGATTTGCAAACTATAAATATAGGACAAATCCAGCCCACCGCTTAATTTTGTCCAGCATATCAACTCAGAATGGCTGTTAGGTTTTGAAATGGTTATATGAGTACCTGCATAATGTATTTGGTTTTGATTCTTAACCCACTAAGCCTAAAATATTTACTGTCTTGCCCTTTAAGAAGTTTGCTGATCTCAGTCTAGACCAGAACCAATAGCTAACATTTACTGAGTAATCACTGTCTAAGCACCCCACATGATTTTTATCATTTATTCTTTATAACAACCACGTGAAATATGCACTTCTATTCTTTCCATGTTACAGTTGAGGAAATGAGAGGTTAAGTGACTTACTCTAGGGCACACAGCTAAGTTACCATGTGGGGTAAGGGTTCTCACCTCCATACTTTCCTGCCTCTGGATGAGGGCGGATATGCAGTGTCTCAGGAGGACTGCTGTGGGCTATAAGAATGAAGAATGATTTTCATTCTGGGGATTCTCATTCTGTTTCTGCTTTCTTATATGTGTACATATTTACCATTGGGCAAAATGATGATAGGTTTAATATCATTGTCTTGATGAAAATTTTTAATAGACGAAATCATTTTAACACACAAAATGAAGGTCACTTAGTTTTGTCTGTGGAGAATCACATAACCAGTCATGTGGAATGCCTGAGGCGGGCAGTGTCCCCATTTTGCAGATGGAAAAGCTAAATCTTAGGTTTAAGGGTGTGCCTGAGTGACCAGGAAAGGAGTTTTTGCAGGTGCACTTGCTCTGATTTATAATCTCAGGGCATTTCTGCCTCCCCACTACCTGTTGCTGATGTTAATGTGCCAGTCAGTTGGTTGGGAAACTTTTAAGAGGTGAACCTGACAGCTGGGGACAGAATGACAGAATGACTCGCCACCAGGGAGGAACTTCAGAAGTTTCAACTATTGCTAGACAGAGGAATCCCAGAAGCTTTCACTCTGTTGCCTTCTTCCTGAATAAAATCTTCTTGTTTGTGCCTGAGGCTAGGGATAGAGAATTTGTTTTAATTGGTGAGGCATCAGTAAGTTACTGTGGTCCTCTCCAGGTAGATAGTGCAGCCCTCAGGGTTTACACACAGCGCCTTGGCACACACCTCCCCCTCCACCCCGAAACCTTCCCATGGTAGGAGTTGATGGGGTGGAGAGGAGCTGGTGTCCTGGCCTAGTGACCAGTGCTTTTCATCTGTCTTCCCATACAGGCTGAAGATACCAAGATGCAAGAAATAATGAGGCTGGCTCATGAGTTTTTGCAGAATTTTTGTGCAGGCAACCAGCAGAATCAAGCTTTGCTACATAAACACATAAACCTGTTTCTCAACCCAGGGGTAAGACTTGAGGCCTGTTTGTAAACCTGCAGTGGGAGGAGAGCAGGGAACAGCTTGTTCTTTTGCTGTTGTGCTTCTGGACCTTATTATCATGCAGCATTCATTCCAAAGGGGAACATTTTGACCAACTGTCCGGAGGACATAAATACTGCCTATATTTTGAGGATAAGGTGGGGATTGGGTGTAGAAAGGAGGAGAGTGGTATGGGCAAAGTAAAGATAGACTTCTATTTTTTTTTAATACATCCCTATTATGTCAAACTTAGTAATACAGAAATGTCTGCTCTGACTACTTAGCCAAATATGCAATATATCCACGTAATTAAAGTTATAAAACATAGTTACATTACATTTGAGTTTGTTAAATATATATTTCTACTTATGTTAAATATGTATTATACATTTGAAAAAATAGTGCCACACTGTATACACTGTCTTGCATTTTGCATTTTTTCATTTAGCAAATTGTGGCTGCCTTTGGAAATCAGAGATATAGATATTTTTCTCACCGTTCCTGAAGTTGCTTTTTTTTTTTTTTTTCCAGTACTGGGGTTTGAATTCAGGGCTTCAAGCTTTTGAGGCAGGTTCTCTACTGCTTGAGCCATGCTTCCAGCCCTTCTTACTCTTTTTGATGGCTAAATGGCCTTCCATAAAACATGGCTGTAACATTTTCAAAACCATTCTCATATTAATGGGTAATTGGTCAGTGTCTAACTTTTTGCTTTGTGAATAAAACTTCAGAGTACATGTTTGTAAGTGTGTACCCATACAGCACTCAGTAGTAGTGCTGGAGGATAGGGTATTGTAACCTCTTTGTCATGTTAAGAAAAATGAAAGACAAAAGAAAAAGATTGAAGAGCCTATCTTGTACCAAAAATAAAGCTCAAAGCTCTCAATAACTCTGAGTAGAGTGAAAAATTAAGCTTCCTGAAAGGTAACATGAGAATATTTTCATGACTGTGTAGTAAGGAAGGTTTTCTTACACAGAATCAAACATCACTAATTCTAAAGGGAAATATTCATTAAATGGATTTTGTTAAAATTTACTCTTGGTCATCAGATGTCACCATTCAAAGCATCCAAAGGCAAGTCGTCCAATAAGAATTCAGATCTATAACATACACAACAGATTAAAAAAAAAAGCCCATAAGCCAAAAGACAAACCAGCTATGAAAATGGACACTCCCTAGTAGAGAATATTCAAATGACCAGCAGATGTGACAGGTGCTCAACATGAGCAGTCATCAGAAAAATGCAAATTGACTTAGATATGCACAATAAAATAGAACGAAAACTAAAAAGTCTGACAGTAGTAAGTATCAGCAAGGACGTGAAATAGTAGCTGTAGTACAGAATGTAAACTGTTACCATATTTCAAAAGCTGTTGGATAATATCTTCTAAAACCAAACATATTTATACTTAGTGACCCACCAGTTCTGCTCTTGGGTATAAACCCAACAGAAATGTGTGTATTATATTTATCAGAAGACCTGGACACAAATGTTCAGAGCAGGACTGTTGATAATGTGTAAAAGGAATAGTGTCCCTGTGTGTTAAACCTGGGTACTCCCCCAATGCCCATCAGCAATGGGATGGAGAATACGTTGTTTCGTATTCATGCAGCACAACGTATGTGTTACAGGGAGTGCATGAGATTCAAGGGCAGGCAAAGCTAACCTGTCTGCAGTGATGGTAATGGGGAGAGTAGTGAAATTGTCTAATGGGATATGGAGGAGGCCTGCTCTGTCTCTTGATCTGGGTGCTGATGTTCCCTTTGTCATCCGTTTATCTGAATGGTGTTTATTTTACTGGTGTGTATTGTATATCACACACAGTAAAAAAAAGGCTTGCTTAGGAAAAAAAGGTAGAGGGCTGGAGCATGACTCAAGTGGTGGACACCTGCCTAGCAAGTGTGAGGCCCTGAGTTCAAATCCCAGTACAGCCAAAAAAATCTAAAAAGAAGGTAGTACAAAAGTGACACCTGTGTGTTTTTACTGGTCTGTTCGTTCTCTCTGTGTCTGTAATCTGCTCTAGCCGCCCTCCTTTTGACCGTTTCCCTGTGCCCTTGCCCTGTGCCAGATCCTGGAGGCAGTAACTATGCAGCACATCTTCATGAACAACTTCCAGCTTTGCAGTGAGATCAACGAGAGAGTGGTCCAGCATTTTGTTCACTGCATAGAGACTCACGGTCGAAATGTCCAGTATATCAAGTTCTTGCAGACGATTGTCAAGGCAGAAGGGAAGTTTATTAAAAAGTGCCAAGACATGGTCATGGCTGAGGTAACAGTTATATTTCTATATACTTCCATCTGGTGGTATAGAAATCTAAGAATTGCTTAATCTTACCTGTATGAACTAGCACCCTCTTCAGGAGCCATCTGGAAGGGCAGAATGTAATTGTGTGTGTGTATATGCACAGTTTCATGTTTGTGGTCTTAGACAAGAGTCTGATCTGATTTCTCATAGCAATAAATCTATGACTTACAAGGAAGCTTGCCCTGGATTCTTTTGGGTGGGACAGGGACGCAGAATAGTCCACCAAGTTACAATGAATGTAGATTGAATGTACTTAGGTTAGGACTCACGCAGCTAGAACAGCTTCCTTTCTTGTGGATTGTGACTTTTTCTTTAATTACTCATCAACTCAATTAGCTTGTAATTTTTCACTTGCTGATTCACAAGGAGCAACTGGTCTGCGAAATCAAGGCCAATTTTTATTTGTTCTTTGTGGGAAGTCAACCCCTTGTGGATGTTGTCCCTGCCGAACACAGGACTGTGGCTTCCACACATATTTAATTGTTCTGCCTTTTAAAAACTGAAATATGAAGTAAGCTCACTCTGTGCTTGGATTTATTATATCTCCTACCTGTGTGGTTCCAATGGAAGCAGGGGAGTGTAGTTAGTTACAAGTTGGTTCCCACCAGGATACTAATGTTGACTGTGTGACTTGGGTCACGTTACTCGATGTCACAAACCCTCAGAGAGCATTTCTGTAAATGAATATACAGCAGAATTAATGTATATTAAATGAGATGAGAACAATAATAGTTGATATTTACTGGAAGTCTATGATACTCGAATACTTTTCTAAGCAATTTATACATAATAATTTACCTACTCTACATGGCAGCACTCCAAGTCAGGTGTTGTGTTTGTCCATATTTTTATTTATGAAGAAACTAGGAAACAGTGAGGTTGGAGAATCCATCGAAATGTTTGTCTTGGTATCTGTCACATAGAGCTCATGAAAATTAATAAGTAAATCATTTTGATTATATTTATATTAATTTCTGTGCTAGCCTTTAATTGATCTTTTGTGTTTTGTGTAGTGCTGAAATTGATGTATTCTGAAAGAGACTTATTAGAACCTGTATCCTAGGGAATAAATTAGGAGTAGAAAGGTCTTGACTTTTTGATGAGCGTTGAAAGGAAACATGTCTTAATGAGAAGAGGATAATTTGCAATTGAAGTTATAAGACATTGGATGAGACTTGAAAAGGGATGCTTTGTAACACATAACAAGAATGGAAATGGAAACATTAAAATAGAAATATCATAGACTTGTTTTTGATTTGGAAATACAAATGCAGGGTTGCAATCTATATTTTTACTTGATGCATACGTGCTTAGTATGTAAACTTTATCTTCCTCAATAGATTTTTAGGACCACTAAAGTATTTTGTATCTATAGGTTAAAATGATGCTCCTAAAGATTTTTAATTGGTTAGTTATATTAATGAATGAAATCTGGATGAGTTTAGTAATATTGGTAAGACTGATTTGGGAAGATAAAAGCCAACAGAACACCTTTCTCTGCAAATGGAATTTTATAAGGCTACCCTACCCCTGCAAAGAGGCCCTATTTTTTTGTTCTTTGTGTAGCTGGTCAATTCTTTTGATACAAAGAGGCGCTATTTTTTTGTTCTTTGTGTAGCTGGTCAATTCAGGAGAGGACGTCCTCGTGTTCTACAATGACAGAGCCTCTTTCCAGACTCTCATCCAGATGATGCGGTCAGAGCGGGACCGGATGGACGAGAACAGCCCTCTAATGTACCACATCCACCTAGTGGAGCTCTTGGCTGTGTGCACTGAGGGCAAGAACGTCTACACAGAGATCAAGTGCAACTCCCTGCTCCCGCTGGATGACATCGTCCGTGTCGTCACTCATGAGGACTGCATCCCTGAGGTGAGCCAGCTTGGCACTGGGTATGCCCTTCTCGTCTGTCTTGTCTGCCACTGGGCTGTAGCTTGGTGGGAGATATGATGGTTGATCAGATGAGCCCTCAGGGTTTTGAGACCTGTGGCTCATATTGCAGAGGAATTTCACTTCACTGGAACAGCATTTTCATAAGCATCTGTTTGTGTGAAAGGAGCCTGGGGGAAGTTAGTCTTTCTTTCTGCTTTCTGAAGAAAAGTGGGAAAGAAGATTCAGCTCTGTGGCACAAATTCAACCAGTTGAGCAAAGAGGATGTGCCCTGAATGGATTTCTTAGAAATAAGGTTGAGTGAGTTGAGATATAGGTCATATCACACTTTGTAAGTTAATTCTTTAAATAAAAACTCTTATTACCAAAATAATGAGTGACCATTACAAGAAATTTAGAACTGTAGGTAATCAGTAAGAAAATAAAATAATTTATAATTCTACTACCTGTAAGGAGTACCTGTTAAATTTTAAAGTTAATCCTTCCAGGTTTTCTTTTTCCCTGTTTGCATATACTGGTAACAAAAAATGGACCATACATAATTTTATTTGTGTATTTAAAAATATATAGTCAGCATATATTTTAAACTAAAAGATGAATCATTTTATAGCATATATAGTATATATCAAACATACAGTATTGTTTTTAGATTTTTTGCCAAGTAATACATTTTGAAAAGTTCAGATATTTCAGACTATACAGGGATAAACCATGAAAATTCTTGTAGTCTATTCCCTGTATCCACCTAGAAAATAATTTATTATGTTCTCATATATAATTCCATTATTTTGCATGTATATATGTATTTTATATATGTATATACATAATTTATTTCTCCACCCCTTTTTTTTTGATACAAAAGGTGACATTCTAGGTAGACTATTCTGAACCTTAACAACTTTAACTTCAACTGATATGGAAAGGAATCGGAGATTCCAGGGTCTTTTTTCACAGTTGTATAAAAGTCCATCATGCAGATATACCATAACTATCTTCAGAGTGTTGAATCAATTTGTAATATAAGATAATAATAGTTAATAATTATAAGAAGAAAAAGTGAGATTGCATTTTTCTTACATCTTTGCCCATACAGTATGTTACCAAACTTTTATATTCTCATATATCTGATAGACAGAAATTGCTTTTCATCAGTTTTAATTTACATTTCTCCTTTGACATAAGGGAAGAATAGAGCATTATAAATAGCATAGCTAGTATTAGCAATGAGGGACGCATAGTATCTTAACAGGATTAGCTGGGGTTTTATCCCTTTTTACTTGCAGTACAACAGAAGTACAGAAAAGTACGTACATCTTAATTACATAGTACAAGAATGATTATGGAGAGGCCAACTTAGTGACCACCACCCAGGTCAAGGAATACAGCAGAAACCTTCTCCATGCCCTTTTCCTGTCCTCTCCTTTCCGCAGAGGACTCCTTCCTCAAGGTGCCATGAGCTGACTTTTCTGTGATCATGAAGTTGCTTTTGAGTATGTATCCCTACACGGTACAGTTCAGTTTTGCTGGGTTTTGTCCCTCAGTGTATTATTTTGTCTTTGTAGCTCAGCTTTGTGTCCTCAGGATGCATCCATCCTGGCGGGCCTTGCTTTAGAGCGTTCCACTGCAGTATGATTCTGCATGCATCCTGACCCATCTGCCCACTTCTGTCCTACACGTGCTCTCAGAGGAGGCAGTGCTGGGCTGGGGGAAGGGGGCTTGCACTTTTTCAGGTCACCTTGATGGTGTTCAGTTGTCCTGACAGACTTGTTCCACTTGCCATCCCTTTCACTCCAGAGCTCTCATTGCCCCACAACCCTGCCAGTGCTTGGTATTATCAGATCCTTGAAACTCTTTTGTGTGTGGGTTTTTTTTTTTGTTTTTTTTTTCAATTTGGTGGTTGTATCTCAGAGTGCTTTGCTTTAGTTTTGTAAAGCTTTATGGAAACATTTACATACCATGTAATTCACTCATTTAGACTGTACAATAGAGTGGCTTTTAATATAGTCACAGGGTGTGCAGCCACCATCATAATGCAGTTATAGAACATTTTTATCACCCCAAAAAGAAAAACACCATACCCATTAGGAGTCACTTACTATTTCCTTCTCATACCCCTGGTCCTAGGTAACCACTAATCCCCTGTGCCTCTTTTGAACACTCAGTGTAAATGGGACCTACAGTGCATGTCCTTTTGATTGAATTCTTTCACTTGGCATACTTTTTTCAAAAAGTTCATGCAAGTTGTAGTATACATCAGTGCTGCAGTTACTGCACCAAGTAGTATTTCATTATGTAAGTGCACCACATTTTATCTGTCTATCAACTGGCAGACATTCAGATTGTTTTCACTTACTGACTATTGTGAAAATGCTGTTGTAAAATTTATGTGGAAGTTTCTGTGTGGATATACGTTGTCATTAATTATAGTAGTTTTAGTTTCTGTGTCCTGGATTACTAAATGATATTGAGCCTCTTTCCATGTCTTTTTAGATATTTAGTATTCCTTTAAGAAAATGCTTGACCACATTTGTTATCTATTTTTTTCTCTTGGGTGTCTTGTATGCACAGATCTAGGCATCCTACCTTGGGTCATACATTACAGATATCTTATAGCTATGCCATCTAACTTCTTTTCTTTTTTTCTTTCTTTGGTACTGGGATTTGAACTCAGGGCCTCACACTTACTAGGCAGATGCTCTGCCACTTGTGCTATTCCACCAGCCTGCCATTTAACTCTTGATGGTACCATCCATGAGCAGAAATTCTTTAATGTAGTCAAACTTGTCCTTCTATGGTCAGAATTTTTGCAGCATTCTTTACCTTCATTTCATGAAAATACTTTCTAAAGATTTCTTTTTTAAAATTCAATAATTATTATAAGTTTGGGGGAAAAAAAAGATCCCAGAAATGAAAGCTAGAAGGAAAATGGAATGATCATCTTGATTTGTGTTTCTCACTTTGAAGAAGATGCACCTAATTAGCTCCACACATACCAAGTTGGATTTTCACAAAAGCTTGTTTCTGCCTTCCAGGTTAAAATTGCATACATTAACTTCCTGAATCACTGCTATGTGGATACTGAGGTAGAAATGAAGGAGATCTATACGAGTAATCACATGTGGAAATTGTTTGAGAATTTCCTTGTGGACATCTGCAGGGTAAGGCTTTCTGGAACTAAAGAGACAGAATTAAAGTAGGTGTGTGTGTGTGTGTGTGTGTGTCTGTCTGTCTGTCTGTCATTCTGTCTGTCTGGCATCCCTGTGACAACTTAATGAAAATAGTCACATCATTTCTCCTCTAATTCCTGACACAAAGAGGTAGTTGAGCTCTTATCTTTTCTCACATCTCATTTTTTCCTGCCTTTTTTCGTAGCCAAGGATAGACTTTATCAAGCTTCAGGAGAGATAGGTTGTTTCTGGTTTTCATTTCACCCTGATGGATGGATTCTTGAATGATAACCTAGATGATATCACAGTGAAATTCATGAGGACTTCTTACCCTGGATGATATGTCTGGGCTTAGAGACCCCTCCCTAAACGTTTATCTCCTGCAGCCTGCTGCTGGGGATACTGCAAAGCATGTTGCCTGTCTATTGCTTTCCCAATCCAGAGTCAGGGTGGACCTCAAGTCACTGACATGTTTTTACACTGAGCTTAATATTTATTCTAAAGCCACAAGACTGCAAAGTGTAACATGGATTTAATATGAGTTTGTGGTGGTGGAGTTGGGAAATGGAGTAGGTAAGAAGATTCTTCAGAGAATAATTGTGAAATATATTCCAGTTTTGAAATTTGGATCAGAATATTATATTAAAAAGAAGTAATAGAGCTACTTTATGGAATCCTAGAATACGGTACTTTCTGCTTCACTTTATGATTCCTAGTATGTGACAAGAACCTGCAAGAACTTACTTTCCTTCTAATGGACTATGTAATAGTACTCAGATGGTGGTGTTGCAGACATAGAGACTTCTTTTAAATCTCAGATATCTCTGAGTCTTTTACACACATTTGTCTAGGGTTTGAAGCTTGGAATTGGAGGCCTTCTCTGTTTCTTTAAGTCAGTATTCTGTGAAGTTTTCTGTAAAGACCAGATAGTAAATAAGTTCCACTTTGTAGACCATCAATCTCTATTAAAACTACTCAGCTCTGCTCTTATAGCACAAAAGCAGCCAGGCCAATACATAAACAAATGGGTGTTCCAATAAAACTTTATAGATGGCCACCAGCCATTGTTTTGCTGATCCCTCCATTTGATTGTTCAGAAATGCTATAAAATCAATTATTAACTTTTTTTTACTGTGAATGTATTCTGAAACAGTCCAATATTAAGGTTAGAACATAATAGTCTGCTAACAAAACTTGGCTTTTTAATCCTTTATTTCATTTTTTTGGCATAAGCAATTTTATGTGTCAAATTATAGAACTAATAAATTTGTTAATAAGAATGTATTTCATAATCCTATAAATGGCTAATCTTATTTTAAATAACAAAATTAAGTAGAGTACAGGTGAAATCTAAGGTATCACCTCACCCCAAAGCCTGAATGGTAGCATTCCAAAGTATGGCCTGCTGTTTTGAACAGCGTTTTCTAGTAAATTTTCTATAAAATGATATTGGAGGACTGGAGCCTATCAGATATGCTGGAGCTCATGATGTGCTTACTTTCTTGATTACATGCTCTAGAGAACCCGGCCTAGAGAAGACAAATGACTCTCTCAGGGGGGGCAGCTTACTTTTAGGGGAAGTTTGAGACATCTGTGTTTATGATATCTTAATGTTCTTTGTGATTTTTAGACTTACTAGACACGGGGAGGAAGTTACAATCAATGACCTTGTTAGTCCCTTATGAATTTTAGTGTTTTGTGAATCAACACCATGATATCTGAGCTGACTTTGCTTCTCTTTTACTATTATGTGGAATATATTTTTTGCTATAGTTTTCTCTTATGGGGATAAATACTGACCTGTAAGCCCCCACTTTTCATTTTTAAGGGTAATGAGCAGGAAGGATTGTGGGCTCTTACATTGTAGAGTGGCTTAAGTGTAATGTTTAAGGCACCCACTTGTCTTCCAGGCCTGTAACAACACAAGTGACAGGAAACACGCAGACTCCATTTTGGAGAAGTACGTGACTGAAATTGTGATGAGTATCGTTACGACCTTCTTCAGCTCTCCCTTCTCAGACCAGAGTACGACTCTGCAGGTAAGAATTACAACACGGAGCGGGGAATTCATGTAGACTTATCAGCAGGGAGGTTGATGCGGGTTGGTTGAGCAGCTGTAAATGAACCACTCTGCAGCACGGGTGAAAGATGCTCTTGTCTTGGTGGAAGATGGCTTTGACAGGATCCTGTAGGGACAGAAGTGCAGTGTCCCTCAGTATCTGTAGGAAATGGTTCCAGAACATCCTGAAGCCCCAGATAACAAAATCCATGGATGCTTAAGTCCCTTATACAAAGTGAGACAGTACTTGCATACAACCTAACACCTCCTTCCATAGACATTGGATCATCTTTAGATTACTTACAATACCTAGTGCTATGAAAATTGTTGTTATACTGTATTATATAGGGAAGAGTGACAAGGAAAAAGTGTGTGTGTGTGTGTGTGTGTGAAATACAGACCCAGTTTGTTTTCAATCCTTGATTTATTTTCAATCCGTGATTAGTTGAGTCTGTAGATAAAGAACCTATGGAGACAGAGGGCTGGCTGTACGTAAGAATATTGGTTTTCTCCTTAAAATCCTTTAACCCCTCCCTTCAGTATTCCTCATTCCTCCCTCCAATCACACGGAGAGAGGAAGAACTTCTTAAACAGGTGCTAGTATAATACAACAGCAAAAAAAAAAAAAAAAAAAAAACCCATCTGGAAACGTCCCTTTTAACTGGGAGTATGCACCTAGAGTTCATCAGTAGTACAGTGTGGGTGCAGCAGAACTTGTTTATCCACAAGAGAAGGGGGGCTATAGCACTGAGCTCTACCTTCACCATTCACATGGAGCACCTCCTGCAGTTGTGCTCAGCCATGCAGCCTAGCATGGTGATTCTAGTGTATTTACTGTGTCAGAGCCTGGAATCCTTCGGTCTAGGGAATGTTTTGATTATTTTTATTTGAAAATATCACTCTTCTTTTCCTAACTTATGTCTGCATCAATTACTGTGGCAGTCTTAACCACACGCCTATTTGTACAGGCTGCGGGTTGAAAAGTATATTTGATCTCCAGTGGCCAGAAGGGAGAGATTAACTGTCCTTGTCATGGAAAGAGGTAGACACTGGCTTGGGCTGATGAAGGTCCTACGGTGAATAAATTATCAACAGATAATAGAAGTTAATGGGAATTCTACAAGGGAAGAGCAATTCATGGTCAATATGATACTCATTGTTACATTTATTAGATAGTGCTGTATTCCAGTAATTGTGTAAAAGAGTTCATAAAAGCTTAGCATAGGCTGTGAGGTAGATGGAATTATCTCTATTTTGTAACTGAGTCAAATCAGTTCAGAGGGTTTAATTGCCATGCTCACAGATGGTATGTGATTAACCATGATTCCCACCCTGTGTTGTCTGACTCTAAAACTTGATTATGAAATTTTTAGTAAAGTATATTTGCTTAGGGACTAATGGTAACCTTTTATTTAGTTTAGAAATAACTAAAAGCCAGCAGTTAAGCCAGAGTATCATAATGTAGTTACAGTGCTGCCGTTAAAATGTCTGTTGCTACTTTTTGAGCAGTAAGAGAACAGGAGCTTATTAGATGCCAAGCACAGGAGTTACTGGAAGTACTCCTTGCTATGAACTTTGACACCGAACCTCCAGGAAAAGCTGCTTGGTTGGGCTTGTTTCTCTTGTAATATAAAGTGACAATTGCCATGGCAATGGCCCTCTTCCTATAGATCATGAAACAGTGTTGCAAAACCAGTTTGTCAGAGTACATCAGACAGGAAAATTGGAAAGCTATTAAACATGCATTTTGTGTTATTTTTCACCATAGCCACGACACTTTCCTTCTTATCCTACTTTGCTGTGGACCAGTTTTCACTGCAGCTGATAAACAGGAATTGTCAGAAGTAAATCGTCCACATAAATAAATGTTCTGAGCTTTTAGCAACACCCAAGTTGTCCACATATCTTTAGAATATAAAGTATAATTTTTCAAAAAGGTGGCCTATGGATATCTGCTAAAAGGCACGGCTTATCTCCCTAGCTCCACTCCTCCCCCTCTCCCTCCTTCCCTTCCTCCCTCCCCATTTGTGAGGGAGGAAAATGATGGATTTTGCTTTGGAGGTAGTTTGTTTAAGTTGCCAATGGAATGTTCAAGAGGCAACTGAAATGTGGAATCCAGGGAGGGAGAATAGAATTTTGGAGGGCTTTAGAGTAGGACAGAGTTGGGTTCAAATCCCCATTCCGCCCATTACCAGCTCTGTTAACATGGGTAGAATGCTGGACTTCATTTTATAAAATTGTATAATTTAGTGGCTTTTTTTTCTCTTTTTATTATATTATTGTTGTGCCGGAGGTACATTGTGACATTTACAAAAGTACTTACAACATATCTTAAATTTACCCCCTCCATCATTCTCCTTTATCCCCATTCCCCCCACCATTCTTAGACAATTTCACCCTACATCATTTCCTCATCAGAACCTCTTATCTATCCAACAAGGACTTAATATCAACCTCACAAGTTAGTGTAAGAATTAGAGGTAATGGTTAGGAAACATCTAGCACAATCCCAGCACATAGCAGGTGGAAATGGTAACCTGTAGTTTTTCTTGCTAGACCAGAAGTTACAGGAGGGCAAAGTTAAGCTGTATTAGCATGGTTGTCTCCTATATTGCCCTGTCCTTCGTACCTGGAATTGTGGCTAGCACTTGGCTGCTAATTATTGAGTGAGCAGATGAGACTCAGAAGAGTGATAGAGACCAGGATGAATATCGAGTAGTCGAAATCTTCACCAGGAAAATAAAGTGAGGGACTAGAATGGGACTAGATAATAACTAAATAATTATGGGCAGGATGTAAAAGTAGACAGAATGTGAGACATTCAACATCCAAACCATAGTAGACATGTTCTGGAATCCTGCCCCTTATCATTCACCTTCTTCCACTCTTGCCCCAAGGTCCATTATCTTTCATACAAGGCAGTACCTATTTCTGATCAGGTTTTGCATGTTATACAAAGTCTTCTTTTCACCTGCCTCTCTTGACTTCTTGTGCTTGCAGACTCGCCAACCTGTCTTTGTGCAGCTGCTGCAAGGCGTGTTCAGGGTTTACCACTGCAACTGGTTAATACCGAGTCAAAAAGCCTCTGTGGAGAGCTGTATCCGGGTGCTTTCTGATGTAGGTAAGATATCAAGTCAGTTTGGATGTGATGTGATGAAAACAGATTGCCTACCATTTACGAAGCACTTGCTTTAGCTCTTGTAAGATTACATAGACTGGATATTGCAAAGCCAGATGCAGAACCAAGTTCTTCTTGGTTCCTCAACCTCTTTCTTTGCCAAGACAACTTCTCCCACAGCAAGAACCACTGAATCCCAAAGTAAGATACTTTTTGAAAAATAAGATTCCATGGTTAAATGTTTGGCAGTTCTCGGCAAGTTACAGTACACATGGGAAGTCCCTCACTCAAGACACTAATTTGTCTAATCCAGCAGATGTATTTGACCATAAGGAAACTTTCTTTCCTGTAAAGCACTGGTCAAATCCCAGGGAACACCCTTTCTCAGAAGTGGTGCATGGCTCCATCTCCTGCTGAAATGAGTGGTTCTCTGTTCCCTCCAGGTCTGTTTCTCACAGACTTCTTTGAAAGGAAGTTATAAAAATTACTTCTCCTTTCTCTCCAACCTTTTCTTTCTTGCCTGCCTCTCTCCATCCCTCTTTCCTTTCTCTCCCTCCCTCCCTCCTATGTTGGGGGTTGCACCCAGGATCTTGTGCATGCCAGGCAAGCACTCTACCACTGAGCTATACTCCCAAATCTTTCCAAAATCATTTTACTTGACACAAGAATTGTACATATTTCTGGGATACAGAGTGGTCATTTGATACATGCATACAATCTGTATGGATCACATTGGGGTAATTAGCTTCCTTTGTGGTAGGAACTTCAAACCCCTGTCTTCTAGTTACATTGAAATATATGAAAATTGTTATAACCTATAGTCACCCTGCCATGCTGTAGAACGTTAAAACTGTGAATACTGTCTTGTATTAGGTTCAATTTAAGTGAGAATTTCATAGGTTGTTGTATACAACAACAAACCTGATAATGTTTAGGAAAAACAACTCACTGGCCAAATGAGTTCCCTGTCTTGATGAATACACAACACATCAGCATCCCTAATAAGCCATTCATTGAGGAAACGTTGAGCTGTCACTCTGACTTACCCAAGTTTTATTACCTGAAAGAGCTACTGTCCTCAGAATTCACCTTGAGAAACCCTAAATCTAAGTTGAGTTCCTCTGTTTTCACACTCAGTCCCATGCACCAGGCTGTGATAGGCACAGCAAAATTGGCCTGGTGGGTGACAGGGAGTTAAGGCCATCCCTGGGGCATCTCCCACAAAAGCTGTATGCTCATGAGCCATCTGTCTTCTGTTCAGCCAAGAGCCGGGCCATAGCCATTCCTGTGGACCTGGACAGCCAAGTCAACAACCTCTTTCTGAAGTCACACAACATTGTGCAGAAAACAGCCATGAACTGGAGGCTGTCGGCCCGTAACGCTGCTCGCAGAGACTCTGTTCTGGCGGCTTCCCGAGACTACCGGAACATCATTGAGAGATTGCAGGTAATGCCTGGTGCTCAGAGAAGTGGACTTTAACCTGGACTGAGGGTGGTCCCCACACACCCAGCTGTGCTTCCCAGAGCCAGGGGACATCCACGGTTGGCCACAGGAAAGTGTCAGTGTGGTGAATGAATAGTTGCATATTAGAGTGGACATAGGACTAGGAGTATAAACTACTTAGAAGGACCTAAGTTCCTGACAGAGTCTTGGTCTTTAAAGGTTGTACGTAGCTTGTAGCTTTCTTTGTAAAGAGTGGAGCCTCAATTCTTACTAGGAAGAGATTTAAGTATTGTAAGAGGAGCTTAGAATAAGAGCCTAAAGTTCCACTTTTTCCACACTGGGTTGAATCAGCACATGAACAAGTGTGGCGATTAGAGCTTTATATCAGAATGAGCCAAAAGAAAACAGATTATTTAAGTATAGCTACATTATATTATTATTTTTTTTCTTAGTACCAATGTGAGATCTGTTCTCTCTTGTGGTCTCAAACCAGAACCTGGGTTCAAGTCTTGGCTCTGCTGCTTAACATTAGTGTAACCTTGGGAAAGTTACTTAACTTCTGTGATTCAGTCTCCAAGCTTGTGAAACAGACCCTCCATTGTGGGGTCAAGGTGAACATTAAGAGAGTTGATTGATACGATGTTGCAGCTGTCTAGCTCTTAGGAATCAAATTCCAACATTTAGTTCTGCCATGCACACTTGCTCAGGGTCTTTCTTGAGCTTGCAGTCCTATGGTGGCTGTGGTCAGACTCACCTTGACACCTTGACACCTGCTCACTCACATGTTGAGCAGTTGATGTTGGTTTTCAGCTGGGACCATGGTTGGAGCTGTTGATATCTGCATGGAGCCACTCATTGTGGCCTGGGCTTCCTCACATCCTTACAGCTGAGCCCAAGATAAGAGATGAGTGAAAGCTGTATTGTCTTTATCACCTAACTTCTGAAGTCACATAGCATCCGTTCTGCTGTAGTCTTTTGGCCAAGCCAGGCTCAGAGGTTCACTCAGATCACCGTTCAGTGGGAGAGATGTAAGAAGAATGTGTAAGCTAGGATATATTGTGGTGGCTAACAATGGGAAATACAACCCATGAAGTACGTAGAACAGTGTCTGCCAGACAGAGAGCACTCAATTAAGGGCGATTATAATTGTTATTATTATGTCTATTGCTAATGCCACGACTATTATATAATATTATTATAATAGTAATATAATATAATATATTAGTAATATATTATATAGTAATATAATATAATATATTATTATAATGCCACCTAACAATTACTATTATTAGGTGAAGTAACTGAGTCTGTGTGCAACTGTATAACTTACATGAAGACAAATGAGTTCACTGGGTCATTTATCAGCCCATGCTAGGCACTGAACTGTACATGGTGAGAAAAGCCAGAAGTGATCTTCTCTTTCCTATAGTTGTCTCACGTTTTGGCAGGGAGACAGGGATTAATGCACAATTCACACAAGTCAGATGCTGCAGAAAAGTGGGAAGTGCTTGGAAGATGCTGATGAGGGATGAGGGGGCCAAGAAAGACTTTGCTGAGGAAGTAATATTTGAGTCAGGGTCAGAAAACTGTAGGATTTGGGGCTAGAGGTGTGGCTCAAGTGGTAGAGGGCTTGCCTAGGAAGCATGAAGCTCTGAGTTGAAACCCCAGTACTACCAAAACAAAACAAAAAACAGGATTTCAAAAACTAAAGGGCTGAAAATAGCATTGTGAAGCCCATTGTACAGAAAAAATATGATGCATTCAAAGGAAAGGGAGCTCAGTGGCTGGAGCCCTTGGGGCTAGGGAGATTAGTGAGGCTTCATGGGTCAAGTTAAGAATTGCAGACTTTACTGTGATAGAACAAACTCTTAAGAAAATATAACTTAACTCCTAACAGAAAGCTTCCTGACCCCACTGTGCTTTTAGACATAACTGTGAGCACACAGAATTTTCTTGCTGCCCAAACTACATATGTTGTCTGTGGTCAAACACACCAATGTCTTGTGCTCTTCTTAGATTTATTATGTATATTCTTAAGAAATGAAATAGAATACTTCAGTAGGTAATAGTGTTATAAAGACTTGATCGGTGGCTTACAGGATCCTTGTTCTGTAATTATTCATTGTGTGAGTCCCTGTCCTTATGAGATTACCTTGTACAGCAAAAGTTGTCATACAAAGGCATAGTCACTTGAAAACTGAGCGCTTACATGGTGACTCCCCACGTACACACCCGCTCATCACATCAGCATCTTCCCTATCCATCGCTTTGCTGTCTCTGTTGGTCTCTCCCTGGTTGCTGAGTTTCAGACACTTGACCAAACAATGCAAATAAATTACAATGTAAAGTTGAGATGTGGCAAAAGATGCAAGAAATCATGAAATACATGCATGTGATACAGAATTCCTTCCACCCTGTTCAAATGCTGTAGGCAAACAAAGATTTGCCATAGTTAGGACCAGTCACTGGTGAAGAGAGAAGGAAGGGAGAAAGAAGAAAAAGAACAATTTTCCCAAAGAGGAAACTGATTAAAACTCTCAGAGAATTTTGTGACAATGACCCTCATTTTGACTTCCATAAAGATCATATGAATTAAGGAATGTTACAGTCTATTTTCTTCCTTATTGGGAACCCCTCCAAAGAAATTATTCTTTATGTATCCTAAATATTATTGAGCTATTACAATTATCCAAATTTTATTAAACATAAGACAAAATTATGTTCATGTGGTTTAATTTTAGTTTCTGGATAAAAGAAACTAAATCCTTTCCCAATGGAGTCTACAATTGAGGCGAATCTTAGGTGGCTTTTCCCATGCAAATCTCCTTGGTTAGCCAAGCCCTCCTGTATTATCCAGTGTGCTGTTTTGCCCCCTTCTTAGCATGCTGCTAGTTAAGTCCTGAGTCAGCAAGCCCTAGAGCAGGTTTTAGCATCTTTTGAAGATAATTTCTCATCTGTTTTCTATCATTTGCCTGTAAATGGTGTTTGTTGTGTTGGTTTTGCTGCTCTTTCAACTTCTCTCTGTTTTCCTTTCCTGCAGCTATATGTTTTGCATTTGAAGACCATCATGCTATCAGGGTACATGTATTTAGCATGTTGATACAGCATGTTCATTCATTTGTGTTCTCATGTTTATATGACTTTATTATGTAAATAATTCATGCTCATTGAAAGTAATCAGACAATACTGGCAAATATCACTATATAAAAGATTAGAATCGCCTATAATTGCACTACCCAGAGAAAACCAGTTGTAGTGATGTCTTAATAGTGTACGTGTCTTTTAGTGCCATAAAATCCATATTGTTGTTTGACCATTTTTAAGCTCATCTTGTAGGCATCTTTCCATGTTGTTAAAAACATTTTTGTATCATATTTTAAAATACATGGAATGATCCCTTGAGTAGCATAAAACTGTGCCAGAAGAAGGGGAGGTGGGGGTGTTGAATTGTGTGTACTTTGTTTTCTGCATTAGGAGGCAATGCTTCAGGTAACCATTGGGCACCGTCTAGTAATTTGAGCTTAAAATCGGACAGCACTAAATTTACTCTAACACAGCCTTGCCTATGCATCGCATTTCAGGGCAGAAATCAATGCTTGACCCTGCTGTAGTCAGCGTCAAACCGGCACTGTTGACTAAGGCATGCTTCCATTCTAGGACATTGTCTCTGCACTGGAGGACCGTCTCAGGCCCCTGGTCCAGGCGGAGTTGTCTGTGCTCGTGGACGTCCTGCACAGACCCGAGCTGCTTTTCCCTGAGAACACAGATGCCAGAAGGAAATGTGAAAGTGGTGGTTTCATTTGCAAGTAAGTGAACTCTCTCTGGGGTGGTCAGTGGGCAGAACCCTGACAACCAGACAAAGCCTTTGTTCCTGGAGAAGACTTGTCCTGATTTTTAACTTTGATGACTGCAAGGTCATGTGCTAGAGTCCTGTTCTGACCTTCCCAGAGTAAAGTGTGTCTATCAAATCCTACTTACTGACACCTTTTCTTTTTGGTGAGAATTTTTCATTGTAATTTCATATCTGTTCAGGTGTTTTGTTTGTCATTCAGCAAATCTTGACAGCACTCAACCATGTGCTGTGGTACAGACATAAAAATATCAGGATCCCGGTCTTTCCCTTACATTATTTTAGGTTCTTAATTTATGCCATAGGGCATAATCTAAAAGCAACCAGTAGTTTCATGAGTAGATATCCCCATTTGACTTTCATCCTAAGGTTGTTTGTCTAGCTTGGGGGTGGGGTTTGCCTAGATGTTTTTTATGTTTCTGGATCCCTCTCAAAACAAGGGGACAGTATGTGTTTGCTCAGTCATCGTCCTCACAAGATTTCTTTTAAACACACTCTTGGCATATTTTAGCAGTAATCCTGAGGGTATAAACAGCCATATTTTATGAGTGGATCTCTGTCTGCTTTCTCCCCTCTTTAATGTGGCTGGCTCCAGCCCAGCGAGCCTATTGGCTGTTCCTTACCAGCAGGTGTCACTGTTGCAACACAGTTTGTGACTGCCTCTCACTGTACTGAATGCCCTGGAGTGTGTTCAACCTGAGAGTCCTTAATACATATTTGTCCTTTAACTGACTAGTTACAGTAAGTTGCTTGTGGAGGGCTTTTAATTGAAAGATAGTTTCAGGAATGTAACCTGTGTTTTTCTCTCATTCAGGTTAATAAAGCATACTAAACAACTGCTAGAGGAAAATGAAGAGAAACTTTGCATTAAAGTCTTACAGACCCTCAGGGAAATGATGACCAAAGATAGAGGCTACGGAGAAAAGGTAACTGCATTTTACTTTCACAGTGAAACCATGCTTTACTATTAAACTGAAGGGTAAGGGTGTTTGGAGATCAGGCATTATTGGCTGAGAGTTTAACTTTTTTAAAGCTATTTATGCTGTCCCTAACAGCAGCTAAATCATTTGTCTCTTTAAAAGTCAGATATGCTTAGTCATTTATTAAAGTCTGCTGGCCAAGTAATCTAAACATCAGAGAAGCAACAATAAGATTTTTCTTATTTAAATTCTTAGTGAGATGTTAATGCTTCTTGTGTATCAGAGTCTGGATTCCTGAATTTTGGTTTTCAGCTAAGCAGATCTGTGGGTTTACTTGCTTCTTTCTGGTGAGATGTTGCACAATCTTACCAGTGCATCAAGAAACTCCCTCCACCTCTAACTGGAAGTAAGGCAGACAAACACATCAACGTTGATTGACATTGCGAAGTGACGGTCTCCAAGATTTGACATTTCTTAGTATATGCAGTGAGCAAGGATGTATACAGCCCATTCCTCATGGCTCCCATGTGGGGCAAGGAATCATGGGTATGAGTTTCAATTTTAACAGTTTTCATTTGAAAATGAATAATGTTCGTTATAATGTTCGCTAATTGTCCTGCTGTCCACTTTTAGCCACAGTTTCTGATCTCAGGGACCTATCAAAATACTTAGTAACTCATTTCTCAGTTCTGGGAAGCAGTCTTGATAATTAAATCACAGCCATTGTTCCCAGGATGGCGTCACCCAGGTCATGAGTATAAAAGTCTGCAGCCACCTCGCTTTCTAACATATATAACTCTCATTAATTAGAGCAACTTAACAAGTGAGAGTCCTTGGAGGCAAAAATGGAACAGAAAGGTATCCAACCCTTCTTGCACTACACATTCCTCCACTGTCCCCAAATCACAAGGCTTTTCAATGTCACTCTAAATATTTAATTATATAAATGGTGCATGTATGTTCACTCATTAGAAAATAGGTTTCTATAACTCAGTGGGAATTTTGTAGAGGCAGAGATTTTTATAAGTATAAATATTTGAAGTGAAGAGCCTTAGTACAGGTGAAAATGGTGGGATGGTCTGATCATACAGGCATGCGCATAGACACATGGGTAGGCATTGCTCTGAAGAAAAGGAAAAGGACAAAAAGGTGGTGATGGCAGCCCTGGGGATAGGAGCAGGGTTAGAGGAAAGTAGTTGAAAAGGAGAGAAAGATTGAGGGCAGATAGATGGAGATCCTATGAAAGAGGAAATTAGCAGGGTTTAAAAGAGGTGCTTGGGTGCTGGGCATGTGGCTCAAGCAGTAGAGTGCCTGCTTTGCAAGCACAATGCCCTGAGTTCAAATGTCAGTCCCACCTAAAAAATTAAAATAAAGTAAAATAAGATATTCTTGGGCCTTTGCTCAAATCCCTATTGAGGTGGTGAAGAAATTAGTCACACCCATGCAGAGAGGCTGAGGCTGGGAAGAAAGCTGACCTTTTATTTCAGACTAGTTGGGCTGCTATTCCCCTTCATGAAAATAAAAATACTGTATGCAAGGAGGGGAAATGCCGTGAAACCAAGGAAGACTTTCTAGAAACCCATGTTTAGTCTACAGTCCCTAGACTTGTAGCTTCAGCTACATGCTTCTAGCTTCTGGCCCCATGTTTTCACTCTCAGAAATGCTTCTTAGTCATTTGCATCAACAGAACTTGGTTAAAGTGGATGGAAAATCTTTCTTTCTCTCCCAACCTGGTAGTTGGTATTAGCTTTGTTTCATTAAAGATTTGGAAGATATTTTTGATAGTTTATTGTCACACTAAAGAAGCATTAACACACAGGATGGGCCAACTTTTTCAAGGGTGGAAGAAACTCTGAGCCAAAGAACTAAACTTTCTCAAGGAAACCAGTTGGCTTTAGTTGATAAATTAAATGAGATGTTCCTTGGCACGGGTGCTGGGGAAATCAGGTGAGTGTTGTGACTGTTCCCCTCCTCCCATCTCAGTTTTCCTGTCAGTTGCCACTTACAAGGAATTTGCCCATGACTAATGCCTTCCTGGGGATGTCCAGGGCTGTTCTGCCCCTGCTCTCTGTCGAGTCTTCTCAACCATAGAATTGGATCTGGAAGAGGCCTCTGACATCAACTTACTGGGCCTCCCCCTGCACAGGAGGGGGCCGGGCTGAGAGCTGAAATGACTGCCCAAGGAGTCATGGAGACTTGACAGTGGGGTCAAGAATGGATCCCACGTTTCCCACATCTCACTGCAGGATGCTTTCCAGCCTCCCCCCACGGGGTGTCCAGGAAATGTGGGTCATGTTTTTCTTGTCTTTTTTTTTTCCTAAGCCACCATCCTTATAGGTGATGAGGCTTAGGTGCTTTTCCCCATCTGTACTGTTTCATTTGACTTTAGGACTTAGTGAAGGTCACAGATAGAAAAAGAAAAGAAAAGAAAGTTTAAATCATACTTTATTCTGTCCAGAAACATTGGTGTGCTTATATGGATCTACTTGACCTAAAACGACAGCACTGAGAACTGTCACCTGTACCACCAAATAATCTAAAACATAACAAAATTATTGTAAGACTGACTTACACTTACACCCACTGGTTTTCCAGAGTATACCTTTACTAATGATGATAACATTTATCAACTCTTTTTATGTGCCAGCTACTACACTAAGCACATCTCCTACCTTATCTCAGATCAGCCTCAGAGAGAGATACCATTATTATTAATAGTTATTTTTATACATAAGGGAGAAGACATAGGCTCAGAGAGGTTGGAAACTTGCCTGGGATCACAGAGCTAATACCAAGGGAGCCAGGAACTTAAACTCTGACAGACAACCCAGCTCCAGAGATGTAGCTATTTTCCTCTGTATCGTAAGGAAACAGATTGACAATGCTTCAGTGTTTCACAATCCACCTACACTTTTAGCATCTGAGTTTTCATTATGTTACACAATTATGTAAATGTCAGGGGGTAGTGGCCCAAAGAGCCATAAATGTGGCAGGACTTAAATATCTAGGTTTTAGCCCAGTTTGGCTTTCTCACCCAACTGAAAACAGTCTCCAGCTGATAGCAAGTAACTTTGCAAATGGTGATTGTATTGGGGCCATCTAAAACCTGTGACTTTCATTAGATCCCAGATGAGGAGTCAGATTAGTACATAGTGAGTGGTTCGAAGTCTTGGCCACTGCCCCTGAGCAGTAACTCTCCAGAAACTGTCACAGATGGTGATGAAAGGTAGGGGGCTGGTTGAAGATCATCACAAGATTTGAATCATGATTGCTATGTTAGTTTGCTTTTTCTGTTACTATAAAGAAATGCCTGAGGTAGTTTGTTTTATAGAGAAAAGAGGTTTATTTAGCTCTCAGTTTTAGAGGCCTAGTGGCCTCTAAAAGCCTAGTGGTGAATGGCACCATTTCCAGGTGACAGGAAATTGGAGAGGAACTCAGGGTTGGGCTTGCCCTTAGAAACACCCTGCTCTCATATGAACTTAAAGAGTCCCAAGGAACTACCTAAATTCCTTCTAAGAAGGGGCACTTCTAAGAGTTCCTCCAGTGACCTAAGGGCTCCCACTGGGTTCCATACCTCAACATCACACCACTGAGCTCCAACCCCCTGACACATGAGCCGTGGAGGACACACTCAAACCATGTCCATATTATACCAGCTACTTAGGAATAAAATTTCATCTTGAACAATTAGGACTTCAAAATACAAAGAAGCAGCAGTGCATCTTCTTCTCAGAGTGGTAAAAATAAATTACGAATGTTTAAAATTGTCTCCAAAACAATGGTGAGATATGTTTTCGTACGATGCTTCTTGTGTCTTTCTATCTTGTGTATTCAAAAGAACTAAACTTTAAAATTACATCAGGACTTTATAAATACTTTGTATGTGAAATACCCACTAAACCTTGCTTTTAACTTACAGATTAAAATGTGTTCATATTTTTAAAAAATTGCAACAGCTAACCCATCTCTAAAATGTAATCCGAATCTTCCTATAACTAATAGAAAATCTTCAAGACCTCTAGGCCCTGTCTGAAAAGGGAGTATAGTTTATGTATGGCTACTCTGTAGTTTACTGTAAGTTTTTATGAAGCTGTTTTTGGTTTAAGTTGGTAGTCAAAAAGCTTTGGAAAGAAATTCAGAGGCCAGGAATTAATGTAAAAGGATACCTCAGAATTTATTTAAAATTCTATTTTCCCTTCTGAATAGTAGTAGCTGTTTCAGTCCTAGAGAGTACATGACCTCAGGGAATTCAGGGTTTCATTTCATACAAATTCTCAGTCCTCTGTTAATCACCAAAGCTTCTTTGTTCTAGGTGAATAATTAGCATTTCTTACTACTAATATTTCTGACAGTCACTTCAATTTGCAGATGTTCTAAATACTAAAGGAAGCGTAATAAAAATCACTTGAGGATCATCCATCTTTCCTTAAATAAGTATAATTGTGATCATTCTCTTGTGCTTTTTTTTATTTCCCTTGGATTTGGTGCTAATAAATCCTGTGTTACTAACGTCACTTGAATCGGCACTTATCATTCTGAAGGGAAATGCTATCTCCATCAGCCATCGCCAGCATAGCAGGCTTGGGAAATGTTGATGGTATCACCTGCTGAGGTCTAGCCTGGTCCTGATTGAGCTCATCTGTGATTTGGGCTGTGTACCCTCAGTGAAATCTGCAAAATGAGTTCAGAGAAGCAATTTTCTTTGAGTTAATCCTACCATAGTGTTTCATTATGCTCTTCCCTACCCGCTTGTGAAAAACATTGCTGGGAAGATTGACCTTTGTTTCCTCCTGATTCAAGGCCTCATGTTTATAAGTGAGTATGAAGCTCTCTGAATACTTGGCTAAGGAACTTGGAAGACTGATGCCTGGCATGTGAATAAAATTTGTTCCAGAGCAAATGTCACTCTGAACTGTGGCAGTGTCCACAATATCCAGCCCCTTTAAAATGGTCAATGTCTAACAGTGCTTTAAGGTGAAACAGTCATTCTTAAGGATACATTTGCAAAGTTTCTAACAGTTGTTGGCTTCTGTTTCCTTTCCTAACGTATTTCTCTTTCTCCCCTTTTTTTCTTTTCCAGCAAATTTCCATTGATGAATTGGATAATGCTGAGGTTCTAATTTTGTTCATTTTTTTTTGTTGTTTTTTAACGTCCCACACTGGTGTTTTCATGACACTTCCAATTAACCCTGTGCTCTGTCCTTTGGTCTCTGCCACATCTGGTATCTGGCTTTGTGTAGTGTGCCTTCCGGGAGTGAGTGGAGTCTGTCCTCTGTGTTAGCATTTCCCATGAGTATGTTTGCCGTTCGTCCTTGGAGATCCCATCAGAGTCTAGATAAAGATTTTCTAAACTGCCCTAAGATTTCAGTCATTCCCTATCTAGAATCTCAACTAAGTCTGTGCTTGATGCTGGCTGTGACCTTATCTTTGAAGCTCACTTTTGATGTTAACCTAAAGAGCTTTTCTATCTGTTGTGTAAACCATCTGACCCAAAGAGAGATGATTGCATTGGCGTGGTTAGAAAGCAGGAAAACAAAAACAGAGCAAAAAAAAAAAAAAAAAAAAAACAAACCCAAGCCACTACTCTCTTGGTCTACGCATTGAAAAACATTGAGTGTGAGGGCTCATACAAATATTTTCAAAAGGCCATGTGAATTTGAAAGTACTGTTGGAGGTCCACTCCTGGGATTAGGAATATACTGGTTCTATGACTTCTAGAAAAGTGAGTGGTCATTTTGTTTGAGATTTGGAGGCCTTTTACATATTTTCTGTTTTGTGCATTTTTAACATTCTTTCATGTATTTTTAGACTTGGATATGTAGTTGGTAAATGGTACCAGGGAAAATTAAATAGAAAATTAATGTATGTAGTTGAGAGTGTTTAATTGGCTGGCAAACTGAGCACGCTGGGATAGAATTTTACTTGATTTTTTAGAATCCTTTTTCTGGTCTACTTTAGAGATCTGCTCCTCCTCTTGGTAGACCAATCAATGCCTTGTTTTGGATGGGATAGAGTATGTCACCTACTATTATGTCTACTTTAATACACCATAATTTAAGAGGTATTACCAAATGTTTCAGATCTACCTAAAGAGGGTTTGAATCATGGGCTTAAAACTGAAAACATGACTGAAGGTGTGACTGAGGTGGTAGAGCACCTGCTTTGCAAGCATGAAGCCCTGAGTTCAAACCTCAGTCCCACCAAAACAAACAAATAAACAAACTGAAAGCAACACAAGTGGTTATGAATTTGGTTCAGTCACTTCAAGACAAGAATGGAGCTCAGAAAAGGTAAATGACTGGTTGTAACCCACATAGCAAAAGAGTGGCCTAACTAGTGCTAGCAAATGACTGTCCACTCCTTACAGTTCTACACAGTGAGTTCCATAACCACAGAGTTGTCCTTATGTTAATCAGACATGAACAAGCAAGGAGGCCTTCTGGGATGAATAGCATGGGATAGGGTGGGGGGACGACAAAAGGGAGCACAGCAGCTTAATTAGTTGATTTAACTACAGTGACTTTTGCTACTTCCTATTTAGCTTTTACACTTCTGAGTTATGTGTATGCCAAAAAATATTCTGTGCTGAATTTGTATCTTGGCACCCTTCAATATCCTTGTTTCTACCTAGAGTTATAAACGCCTCACTCATTTAAATTTTTTCCCCTGAATTAGTGAGGCTGAGTTTCTATTTGCTTAAGTACAAATTAAGTCAGGGAAGGAAAACCTTTCCTAATCGGAGTCTGCAGTGTTATTAATACACTGTTTTGTACCATAGTAATCAGTTGATGTGTCTGCTTGCTCAAGATCCAACTTGGTTCTCCTGGCTGGGAGTTTATTGCTTGCTTATGGAAAGATTCCACAGTTGGAGCAGGTGTGTTTATAATTATACTCTAGGAAATAGAATACTGTCTGTTTATAAAAGAGGAATGTTCTGGCAGGCACTTGGATTCTTTGAAAATTCCCTGAGGAAGCAACTGTGGATCCCCTCTGCTTTGTTACCCCTGGCAACCGTCAGAACCCTGGGACACCAACACCCTGTCCCCAGTCCCTCAAGCTGTTGGCTCTGTCCGGCTGTGCAGAGATGACTGATGGGCCTTTACCATCAGTACTGTTCTGGAAACTACCACAGCTCCTGTGGTTTCCCCCCCACCAAGCCTTCAGTCAGTGTGCGCTGGTGGAAGCCTGCAACCCACAGCTGCAGTTCTGCAGAGGTTTAATGAGAGCTCATGCTGACTGGGGATCTGGGGTGGGGGAGGCCTCACACCAAAGCTGCAGGCCCTCGTTTCAAATCCTAAATGCGGTGGGGAAATGGTCCTGAGACAGCGTAAAGCATGACTGGTACCACATGACCCGTGATTGACAAAGGGCCACTGCTCCTTGATGATAAAGGCCAGCTGAGCATGTCAGGAGAGGTGTGCAGGGAACTGCCTGGAAGAAGGCTTAGCATATCCTGTATCCCCGTCAGGGCTCTGAGCAAATGGTGAAGTGAGGGCAGAGGCACTGACTCCCTGCAAGAAACATACATGGTATGGGCCCTTTCCAGCTGTCTCCTAGAATAAAATTTCACGTGACACAGGAAGTGGAGGGTGCTTTTTTGTTTTGTTTTGTTTCTTGGCAAGTAAAGAGGCAGAATCACTACCCTTATTCCCCTCCCCTAATTTGATCTTTTCCACTGCAGGTGTGAGGGACAGATTGGGGGAGGGCAGGGAAAGGAAGCTGCTGGCATTCATGTCCCTTTAGCTCCTTCTTCAGTTTAAAGCTTGATCGGTTGTTACATGTGTGTACACTGGGGTAGCCATCCCTCAAGTCAAGATATAATAAAATATTTTCATCACCCCAGAAAGACCCTTTCTTGCCTTTAAACAGACACCAGCTGATGTAAAGACGTTCATTTCTATGACTAATTTTTGGGTGCTCATATGTTCAAGTCATAGTGTGGGGGATTGGATACCCCAAATATACAGTGTCTGCCATGCTGGAATGTGTAGTTTTCTTGGGACAAATAGTAATACAAATGAAAATGACAGCTGTCCATTGTGAGAAATCTAGGAAGAACAGATGGAGTCATAAGAACATATGTCATCTGGGGACTCCTACCTAAGCCAGGTGAGGTAATAGCTTTGGAGGTCAGGCAAGAATAAGTGAGTAGCTGTGAGACAATCATGTGAGTCGCTTTTCTAAACCGTGACGCGCCATGCTGTTCAAAGAGATGATTGTGCTTAGGCCTGAGGCACAGGTGGTGAGAAGCACAGTGGTTCTTCCAGACTCCATTTCCATGTCCTTGGAAAGGGCTGCTGTGTTTAGGAGGTGCATGCTGGAGCTCAGTGGATATATTTATTTCCATGCATTTGACGTGGGAGCACCATTGGATTGCTGTCATTCACAGCCTCTAGTGATAGCTAGCAAGTTTGCCTTCCTGCACTGCAGCAAAAAACGAAACAAAACAAAACAAAACAGACAGACATTCCTAGTTATCTATGCTGGCTGCAGCCTGCTCTTACTGGATCTTCAACTTGTCCTACCTCCAGTTTCTTCTTCAAATAAGAGATGCCTCTGACAGGCAACTTGGTAAAATGGGGGTGTTGGAGGGGAGTGGAGGGGGAAAGAGTGAGAGAGAATCAGAAGAATTGTTAAATTTCACCTTCAGGGGGCGTTCTCATGACGTCCAACCCCGGTGGAGGTGTCCTACTTTTTTGCATTGCTGTGAACTGCTGAGTTGGGCACCTGCCAACATTCAGGCGGCAGTTACATAAGAGCTGCTTTTTTTCCTGGAATTTAGGCTCACTGCTGATGTGTGACCTTCAGCTGTAATTGCCAATAAGTGCAGCAGGGCTGTTTACTGTTAGACACTGGCAACCACAGAGCAAGCTCAACTCTGAGCAGACAGAAGCTACTGCAGAGTCTGGGGAGGGCTTTTTCTGTTTTGTTTTGTTTTTTTTTTTTTTTAAATACTGAGATTATTCCATCACAACTGAAGTTGCATAATTTAGTCAAATTAGATTGCATTTTTAAACCACACTATTGATGAACCTGTTCTATAAAATATAGTTGGAACAAAATAATTTTTATTGATCTTTGTGTCTAAAAACAAAAATGGTGAAAAGAGAATTGTGTTTGCAGATGTCAGAGTTTGAAATTGTTCTTCTAAATTCTAGATAACTTCTATTTTGGTTCAATTTTCTTTAAAGCTTTCTGCTCTCTTTGTTGAAGGACAGGGTCAGGCCCACAAGCCTACTTGCAAGCTCATTCCCTGTTGTTTTTGTTTCCTTCCTCTGAGGTTGTGAGGGGGTAAAAAGAAGCTGAGGGCTGGAAAAGAAACCCAAGGAGGTAGAAATTGTAAATTCTCTCTTGACATGCTGACATTCAGGTCTATCATCCACCTTACAGGAAGAGTAAAGCCCAGGGGTTCTTGTTTGTAGGCTGTGCTCTGTGCTGGCCTGCAGTAGTCTCACCTGCAGTCGATGGGTGGAGAGCTGGACAGGTATGGGAGGACAGTGTATTTAAACATGAGAAATAGTAACCCTAACAAGGTCTGTGGGCTTACTTTCATTTAAGAATTACAAAGTATAATTTCCTCCTATGACAGCAGAAGCGCATCCCTTGGTAAAACGTTAGGTATGTTATATGTTGAAAGCAAGTATGTGAGCATCTTACGTACACGTAACTGGTTACTCAGGTGCCATAGTTAGGATGCCCTGGATATTGTCCTCATTCAGGAAGGACACTTAGGACTCAGTGACTTGAGATGTTGTTTGAATTGCTACTTTGAAGGTAGAATCTTTTTTTTTTCTTTTTTTTCTTCTTCGGGTTTTAGACAGGATCTTGCTGTTTAGTCCAGGCTAGCTGGAACTAGCAATCCTCAGCCTGCTGATACTGGAATTATAAATATGTGTCCCAATGCCCAGCTCCTCTTTTTTTTCTAGTGAGTTAGATTTTGCAGGACTTACCTGAAAATATTGGGAAGATTTAAGATCAAAGACTAAATATGAAGAGACAATTGGGGATAACACTTGGCTTTCAAGTTCAGAACTAGAAACATCAGATCACTGTTTACACCTGCTGGTTTGGGAGACTTTGCCTGAGTGTAGTAATTGATCCTGGCACAAGGAGGAAGAATACAGGACTGGTGACATTCAGACATGCCTGCGTTCTCAAAACATTCTTCCTTTCAATGTTCGTTGAAATCTTCATCTTTCATGTAAAAAAAAAAAATCTTTGATAGTAGTAAGACTGTTTCAAGAAAATTCATTTATTAAATATTACTCTTCACTCTTGGTATTGTGCATTGTATTTATATAGCTGCTGTCTTCTTTGAACATGCATATCTTAATAATATGCTTGTATTTACCAAAATTGCAGCTTATTGCCATGAAAATCACGCTATCCTCAAGGAACTGTGATTGCAATCCTTAGGGGAGGAGGTGCTGGTATAGGCTGGTGCTTGTTTTACCAAATTGTGTACTAGGTTTGGTCTGGTCTTTCCCATGCTTGGAAGCATTTTTTAATGGAAGAGGTTGAATTATTTAGGGAACTTGCCTGTTAGATTTTATGAAATGAAATTCACTGAAAACATACCAAGTGTTACTTGATATTTTAGCTGGAAGGCATTCTGAAAGAATACCTGCTCTAGTCTCCTTGAATAGGTGAGAAGATGGAAGCCTGAAGAGGTTCAATGATGGTCACAGAATCTCACAGAGAGCTAAGGCCAAACCCTGGATGAGCCCTGGTCACGTGACACCATTAGTGCTCTTGACTTTTTCATTCACTACCACAAATAGAAAGCAGTAAAAGTTGTCCTTATAATTAGATAGTGATTCCAAAGGCTACAAAGCATCCTCTGCTATCCCAAACAGCTTTATGAGATTTTCAAAGAGAAAAAAAAATAGGTAGCTAATTAGTTTAAATTTAATTTTTGTCTTAAAAATCAAACTGATTTTAAAGCAAGCACAACAGTCATTTAGGGAGGAAATCGACTGTGAGAACAATTGTACACTGCCTATGGCCACTGTAAAACAATTCAAGATGCTTTAGTAGAGAACTAAAATGAACAAAAAGACACACCAGTTCTACTTCCTTCTTTATTTCTTTTGGCTTTGGTTTTGATTGACAAAGGAAGAAGAGAGTCACTACGTGAGTTCTGCAGGAAATCCCTGCCTGTAATCCTTTCGTTCCAGTCATATAGGATAAACCTAAAGGATATTCTAGTGGGAGTATGGCCAATGCAAATGGAAGATCATCTTCTGTCTATCTGTGGCTGCTCTAAAATGTATGGACAGTTGTTTCGCTTCTGATTTTTATGTGTCCTTTTTGTACTGAGAGAAGAAAGCAAAAATGTTATAAATTTTAAAGTAAAATTTTAGCCTAAAGCGTATGGAATGTAAGGGCAAAGTTAAAAGTGCATTATTGGCTCATTTACTATTTTTATGATTTTAAAAATACATACACCTGCGCTCTGTTTCTATTTTTTTGCCACAATGTAGTACTTTCTACCATTCTGCACCTCCCTATGTGTACCTGGAGGCTGGGTGCTTCACAGGGAAATTTTCTCCCTGGGAGTAGTGGTGTCAGACTCCCGAATGAAAGATCTTCTGTCCAGGACTGAGTGAGTAGGCAACCCTCCATTTTTGCCTCACTGTCTCTGGCGAAGCAGTATAATCCCATCCCTTTCATTTTACCCAGTGGGAAATTTTTGAAAAGAAATTTTTAGTTTGCATGATAGCAGCCTTGTACTGGAATCAAAACTACCAAAGCCTTGAACTGGCTTGAGACACCCCAGACCTACAGCTTCAGTTTTCCCATGTGTTCAGCACCCGCTCTGTCCTGCCACTCACAGCCACCTTCTGGCCTCAGAAAGGGTGTGCCGTGTTGCTAGAGCAGTCCCAGAGGCCAAGGTCACACAGTTACAGCGTGAGCCTTGGCTTCATTCCTTGGCCCCCAACTGCACCTTGCACCAGTTAGGCATGCCACCGGTGCGTGGTTTAGATCCAGGGCAGCCTGTGCAAGGTTTGACATCAGTTCCCTGCTTCAAGCACGTGTCCTTTGGACAGATTCGTGGCACTGTGTTCTCATGGAGTATTGGACTTTTCTCTAACCCCACCTTTTAGCCACCACACACCCTCAGGTTCAGTCACATGCCCTTGGGCTATGGCTTCTTATCTCTCCTCTGTTAGAAATTTTGAAAGAAAGGGGGAAGGGGTAGAAGGGGATGTCTATATGGTATGGAAAGAAGGAGGTCAGGGAACTCAGTCTATGAAGCTCCTCCCCATCCCAGGAAAACTTAAGGATGGGATGGGCCTCTACAAAGTGCCCTGAATGCAGGCACCTCCCTTCCTTTTCCCAGGGATGCTGGAGGAGGAACCTTCATCTCCTAAGCTTGAGCCAGGGCTTTCTGCTGCAGGACAGAGTGTGGAAAAGCAAAGACACAGGAGAAAGTATAAACCCACAGGAGACATTTTCCCAGTGGAGTGGCAATGCAGAAGTTTTCCCCGACTTGGCTCTGCTGCCATCTCACCCCCTGGTGCCATTGATGAGCCTCTGGTACCCACAGCATTGCTTCTCTTCTCTCAGTTCAGCAGGACACCCATGTGCAAAGTCTCTTCCTTTGGTTGATGATGCTGTTTCATTTATGACGTAGTTCCTTCTTGGTTAGCAGTAGCCTTTATTTCTTTCCTTACTTTAAATATGTTCCCCCCCATCTAAGAATGATCGTCTCTTCCAACAGACCACATTCAGTTTAATTTAAAAGAGCAAGTATTTGGTCACCTCAATGGCCAAAGCCCAGGTAGTGAATGACACAACAAGGTCACCTCGTCTTTGATCTTTCCTTCTGTGTTTTGTCCTTGAGTGTTGGTCTCTGGACTTTTCTGTGGCCTATGAAATAAATGCAAGTGAAGTAACTAACATGCTTCATTTTACTCCCACCTAGCTGCCACAAGCACCGGAATCCGAGAACTCCACAGAGGTGTGTCGCTCACCTATATTTGCAGTACCAACAAATATGGGTGCTTCTAAGTTGTCCTGGCTGTCTGAATTGCCATGATGAGATGTGTGTCCTGGTGGTAGGCATGGGAGGGAGGTCATTAGTTGACTGAGAGCTGATCATTGCTGTGGTGGATGTAGCTTTGGTATAGAAAGAAAATTCTCAGGAGAAGGCATTAAACCAAGCGTCCTCCAGGTGAGAAGATGTGCACCTCTGAAGGTCTTCTCACAAAACCATCTCAGTCTTGCAAAAAGTTCCACTGAGAAATTCTGGAATGTTGACACCTTTATGTTATATTGAATTGACCTTGGATCCTATGCAAAGGTGACACAATTTCAAAATTCTAGATACTAATTTATAGTTGTAGTAGAAACTGCTAAGAAATTTGTAGTTTCACAAGGTGCTCTTTCTGTTCTGTCCTTCCTGCCACTAACTATACTTGCTAAATGAGAATTTATTAAAGTGTGTGAGATCAAAGAGAAGCTTTTGGGGGAGGCATATTTCCAGGTGTCATTTATTTCAGAAACTGTTCTAGAACCATAGGAGTTTAAGCTAGAATGAAATGAACTTTATTTGAAACAAGTCTATTGGGAATCTTTAAATGAAACACAAAGGCTAGGATAGCTAAGTTGCAGTGTGGATGTTTTCTAATGATCAGTCTGTGATATTCTAATCAGAGCTCTGCACTAACAGTTTTGATTAGAATACTTATCCACTGGTGGGTTGCGGAGAGCTGTGGTCCCATGTATATGTCTGCTCCAATCATGTGCACTGATGTCCTCCTGCATGTGCTATGTATAGTGCATGTGTAAGTCATAGGAGCTGCCTGGTTGAGTTTTGCTTTACAGCCCCTTTGAAGTTAATATGAACTTCCATTCTTAATCTTGCAAAAAGCAGCATTGGCCAAAAGGTCCTATGTCTGCACATTTTAAATAATGCAGTGGGGTTGGGGTTTGGGAAAATTAAATGATTAAGCAGAGTCTAAAATAATTGAGCATTAGCACATGGGGGGGAAAGCACAAACAGGTTGGTTCTTTTGTGTAAACTTGACTGTGTATGAGCTTGGGATATATTTTGTTTGTGACTGATGCTGAAGATGGTAGTGTCTCAAAATGGAATTTCTGCATGCTTAGCAGGAGCTTGAACCAAGTCCACCCCTGAGGCAACTGGAAGACCATAAAAGGGTATGTAGTCCTGAGTCTTGTGTGTTGGGAGTTAATGATCTTACTATACCCTCAGCCACACACAGGGATTTCACACAGCTTGGTTGTTGATGATGTTGTTCAAACATTATTTGGCTCAGTACCAATCACAGTCTTTTATTTAAGTGAAACCAAGTGGCAGGTCTACCTATCACGGAGCACTGCACCCAGCCAGGCTCCAAATAATGACCAAGAAAACTTTTCATGTCCTCCCTTTTCCTGTGCTGGCGTTCTCCTTAGGTGAAGTCCAAACAAATTTTTTTCTGTAGTAACTGATGATTATTATTGATAGCTTAGAATAAACACAAAAATATAATGAAGACAGTTCCTAATTACACTACCCAGCTTTGAAAGCTGCTGCCTTTTCCCTGTTTCCTTCAGTCCCCTTTTTACCCCTGGGAGCATAAAATGCACAACAAACACTTGTGCATCCTTATCACCATTGAAGTGTTGTAAGCGGACAACTTTTCACCCTCCTTGGTCATTTAGCATTATATCAGAGGGATTTTTGGAAAGTCTTTGAAAGTTACTGGCTGCTTAAAGTTCACCAGATTAACAAAGGGTTTGTAGCTTTTTCCCTTTGACAAGGAAATGAACAAATATTTATATCTTTGAATAGATTCCAAGAAGGGGAATTCCTAGGCCAAAGGGAAGATGCTTCATTACATGCTGTCATGCATCACCAAATCATTTTCTAGAAGGTTATGTATTTATCCATAAGTATGCTGGCCAGCACTGATTTTCACTTTGTCCATTTTTGGAAGATAACCAGATGTCTTGCTTTTCTGAGCATACCATATGCTCATTACTGTGCTATGAGTGTGTTATATGTTCTCGCATCAATTTTTATTAATGCTTCCACTGACCTTATGATAAAGGCGTTCATGTCCACTTCACAGTTAAGGACGGTGAGACTTGGAGAGATTGAACACCTTATCTGAGGTCACAGGGTTAGAAAATGAATGGTAATTGTGAAGACTGCCTTGGAAATGTGGTCCTTTGAGACCTGGAGAATTTATGCCTGAGGTGAATGTGTAGCCTGATGCACCTATGTTTCTACTCACACACCTCAGCCCCTGCCCCAGTCCTGTCCTATTGCAGATCTGTTCTCTTGCTCCAATGGAGAAATAAACTTTATAATTTCTCAGGCTACAACTAGGGAACAGCTCCCAGTAAGTTTGCATTTTGGCAGATTTCGGAGCATGATACTATAGCCCTTCCTGTCTGACATCCCGTATCTCCTGCAGTTCATTGACCAAGGGCACCTTACACTCATGTATTTTCCATTTTTGTCTGCCTCTTAAGAATTAACCTGGGTGTTAGAATTAGTTGGCAAAAGCACCCAGCTGTCCCTTATCCCCTAAGCTCTTAGGGGAGCCAGTATTGAAAATCTTTCAAGTTAGAAACAGGTGCAAGTCCCCTTTTCCAGATACTAGATATGTGATTGGGGCACATTATTTAACCTCTCTGTGCCTCAGTTTCTTTTGCTATAAAATCATCCCTTAGGATTATTATACTGAGTGGTTTGTATAAAGCACTATGTATGGTACCTGAAATCTGATTAAAGGATACTTTAATGTATTCATCAGTCAAGTGCATAGGTGATTTTGTAGACAACAGAAATAGGAAAATGAAAGTATATTTATTTATTTATTTATTCTTTAACCATTTTTATTAGTATATGATAGTTACACAGGGGTTTCATTGTGATATTTCCCTATATACATATATTATACCCCGGTTTGCCTTATCCTCTCCATTATTCTCCCTCCTACTCTATTCCCTTCTTAAAACAACTTCAGCAGGTTTCAGTGTTCCATATTCATATATGTGTGTAAAGTAAATCAACCATATTCAAGGAAGGTATTTTTAAATTTGGAGCTACTTCAATGCTGACTAAGGTGTGAGAGACTCACTGTCTGAGAGGATGATATTGCCTGAAGTCCATGATCTTTAAGTGGCTGGAGCCTGGGAAAGCAAAAGGTCACTTCTCTCTCCTTGGTATGTGACAGTATTAACTGTGTATGATTGTATTCCCACATACTTCATTGGCCACTAGTTTAATTGACACAAATGAAACTCTTAGCACAGCAGCAAGGTGGGAGCTCCCTCTTGTTACTTTGCATCACTGATTTACCTTTGCATTGTCACTGTCTGAACAGGATACCTATTACAAATAGAACTTTGACTTTTCCTTTTCTCAGTCTTAGGTAATAATACGTGTGGAATTTCTTACTATTTGTCTGTATATTGGAGGTGTAAACTGCTGGGGGGAAGTGGATATCATTAATAAAAACAAAATAAAAACTACTCAAGTAGCCAAATGCTAATGCTGAAGAAGTCATTTTCCCCTCTCTACAATCAGATTTCTTAGCCTAGTACATTGTGAACAGCTTAGTGCTGTTGAGTAATTTTGTATCAAGATGATTAAGAAGGCTTTTCTCTGCAGATTTTAATTTTTCTTAAATTAAACCAATGGCTCAAAAAACCAGAACTTTCCTTGGACCTCAGTTTTCACATTAGGGATTTGCATAACTTTCAATAATGCTTACTGATTTTCCCTTCATATCTCCCTTCTATCTAAAATTCTTAGTCTTTATTCTCTCTCTCTCTCTCAAAAAAAAAAAAAAAAAAGAAAGAAAACCCCAACTCATTTGTTACTTAAGAATAACCCAAAACAAATTCCACTTGCTCAATTTTTGTTTTTTGTGTTTGTGTTTTTGTTTTTGCTTTTTTCCCATACATTTAAATGTATGTGTGGAAGGGGACAGAAGGTAAGATGAATAAGTACCAAAAACCTTATAATTAAGACAGGGAAAAAGTTAGTGGGGTGGAATGTGTATCTCTCCCCCATCCCCCATAATGAGTACATTTCATGATATTCTCTTATGGGGAAAATGTACCATTTGATGCATCAGTTGCTATGGTAACGGGTTGGGTTTTCCTGTTGAAGAGAAGCAGAATGGTAATGTGCTATCCCTCTGTGTCTTCAATTTGGCATTCAGGCTGCATAAACATGGACTTCCTGTTCTGGGTCCACGTGCTCCTTTCTTTACCTCCTGCCTGCTTGATTGCAAACTGACCAGGGTCTTGCTCTTCACTCTCAAGATCATGAGGAGGGAAAGGAAAATAGAACAGCAGGAGGCAAAAACCTGAGTCTCTCTGGTCCTAGGTGGAATGTCAGGGAGGCTGTGCTTGTTACTGGTCCCCACCACACTTCCTTTGACTTGACATTTCAGCTCTGTGGTCTTCCAGACTCTTCTCTTGATAGGTCTTTGTCTGAGTGGCTGCAGATCCCCCAACAAGATACAGTTAGAGGCTTAGAAGCATTTGCTGCCAGCCATTCCTCTGAAGTCTCACGCAAACTAAATCAAATAGATGCATCATGATATTTAAAGAGGGAAATCATATTTAATTGATTGTATTCAACATGGTAGTTACCTGTTCTCTCCACTTTCTGTTCTTACTAGTCCTTCTTATATGCTCCTTTAAAATTTATGTTCATCTGATGAGGTCAGCCTTTTAAATTCCCAATTTCTCAGTGATAGCTTTGGAGAACATTGATGGGAACATCAGTTAAGCTATACCTTTATATCAAAATAGGGTTTTCTAAGCCCCAAAAGAATCTTGTGCTGCCGCTTATTTTTCCTCACTGGCAAGCAGTTTATTTTAAACGCACTTGAAAACATTGCAAGTAACTTCCTCATTGGAAGCACTGTTCTAATTTAAAATTTACAGTTAGCCCAGGTGGAAAATGAGTTTCATGAGCCAGTAAGGTGCCCTTCTTTGTTGAAATATAATGAGAGACTTATTTGTAGGTAGAATGGAAAAGGGAAAGTGGGGATTTTTTTTTTTCCAAGCACATTCATTTAAAAATCAGTACTCTTCTTCCATCGCCATCCCCTCTCACCTGTTTACTTGATTCTATTTTGTTCCCATACTCTCTTTGGCTAGCAGCATGAATTAACAAAGGAGATAAACCTGGCAGTGTAGCCCTGGGACTTTGGTTTTGACCGCTGACAGGATTCAATGGTTTTCTGCCTTTTCCTTCCTTCCTTGGCTCCCTGCCTCCCTCAGGATACCCCTCCCCCTCTGTGTTCTCCCTCCCAGCTCGTTTTGCAAACAGCTCACTTGATGTCTCCAGACCTATTCTCAGAGCTTATTAACAAATCACTTTAAATTCTACTGACTCATGTTACAGTTCCCAGGTCTCTTCAGAAGAACTCTGGAGTCTCTATTTTAGAGACCGGCTAAATTTCAACACCTTTCTCTGCTAGACTTCTCACTTACCTCTCTTGATGGTGCACCAGAGGAACTCCATATCTTACTACTTTGTCCCTGTGGAAACAGTCCAGGGGAAATTCATAAAGCCTTTGACTTTTAGAATTTCCAATAAGAGGTGGTCTGGGGTCCTTTGGGAATATGACGGGAAATGTTACAGGATGAGATTAAATCGTGCTTCTCTATGCTAGCTTGCCCATGCACCCTAGATGAGTGAACAAATCCATTTGTTTTCTTCTTTAGAGTTATGAGAAAGAATAATTATATCCTCCGTCCCGGGTTCCTTTATGTTTATATTTTTAAGTATTTTTATTGTAGAAAAGTTGAACTATATATGAAAGAATTCAAGAGTTTAGACAACTCCTATTCATAACTCAGCTCCACCAACTATCAACTCATGTCCTCCCTATTTCTGCTTCTCCCATATTATTTGAAAAGCAAATTCCAGACATAGTGTCATTTCATCCACAGTTCTTATTTTTGATTGACATATTTGATATCTGCCACCAATTTGTTTCCTGTAACATTATTTTTCTTTCCCCATTGACCTATTGATTATCTTTGTAAGAAAGGCTTGCTTTTGACTTATTACATCATTATATGAGCTTACACTCTTGTACTGTGATATGTTAATATTTTCTTGGGGTGTTGGAAATAAACCCAGTGCTTCGAGTAACATTTTTATACTGTTATGTGGAAGCTGACCTGTAAAATTTTTAGTTTGTTAGATTTTATCAGCTTAACCCAAAGGGCTTTTTGTTTGTTTCTGTTTTTGTTAGTTGCTTTTTGGAATTACTGTCTTTATCATTATGTAAGAGGGTACTCAGATATTTAATATTATAGATTGCTACCATTTAAAAAAAAAAAAAAAGATCTGGTTCCCTGAAAAAACATCGAAGTTGACTTCAGAGTTTCCAAATGCCTTTTTTAATCATTTATTTTTTCACTGAGTGAAACTGGGCCAATTATACCCGAGTACCATTTTTTTTTTTTTAAATATTAGTCTCTCAGTTGTGCTTTAAATTCAGAACCTGATTTCATTATCCTGTTTGAATTAAGGGTGAGGCGCTCAGGCAAATTCTGGTCAACCGTTACTATGGAAACATCAGACCTTCAGGAAGAAGAGAGAGCCTTACCAGCTTTGGCAATGGCCCACTGTCACCAGGAGGACCCAGCAAGCCTGGGGGAGGAGGTAGGCTATGTGCTGTGCTAATGAGCTTCATGTCTGAATTAAGCATGTCACATGATAGCTGGTTGCTTCTGCTTAACAGGTTGAAACTTAGATGAGTATGTTTTGCAAGTGTGATTTTTAGCCACTTCTTTCATCTTTGTTTTACTATCAGATTGATGTCTAAACATATTTTCTTGCAAAATAGCATTTCCCTGCAATTAAATTTTGGCTACGTTTTTTTCCTCCCCTTTCCCATGCAGTCATCCTCTTGGTAATATTTGAAAGATTCAAGGAACTGTTTGTGATCACTAGGACTCATGTCTTCCCATAAAAGGATGAGGATATAGGCAGCCAGGATAATGAAAGTTAGCACTTTCTGTATATTTACTGAGCGCCAAGGGGATTTCCAAACACTTTGCATCTTTATCTCATTTTGTCTTCCAGGTTATGATGGGTACTGTCAGTATCCCAGTTTAATAGTGGAATGGAAGCTTTTTAGTGGCTGTTTTATTATTTGAACCAGTTGTGTCCAATTCTAATGCCTAAGCTGCGTGCATCTTTAAACTCTTATAGGAGTTTACAAAAAAAAAAATCCCATGTAGAAGCAGTTTTTTAAAAATCTTTTAAAATATTCCCAATTATTTGAGGCATAATTACATTTAAGAGCTGCAAAAATATTGAATTCCATGGTGGGTTTTACCTAGTTTAGGTTTTTTTGGGGAGTTAGCAGCTCAGTGCCCGAAACAAAAATGCATATTGTCTGATACCATACCTGTCTTGTAATAGTTATTGTAGGGCAGCTTCAGCTCTTTAGCTGGTTCAGTGTAAGCACAAGAATACTGGGTGTTCAATAAATATATCCTAGCAATTTCCAAGGAGGGAGCTTGGAACTTCTCACCAAATGAAAACTTGAAGTGTGTCTGCTCATTTCATGGACCTATGCAGGCTTTGGTGATTCTTGGGGCATCCTAGAGACAGGAGCCCACCTTTTTAAATCCAAAAGTACCAAGTGATTCTCATGCAGATAAATTTCTCTTTCGTCTCAAAAGTATTTCTGTTTAGTTTCTGTAATGGCATTATTCAGCAGGTATGTGAGGCCTTTGGGAGTCATCATGAGGGAGAAATGCTGCAAGTCAGATTTAAGCTGAGCAAAGATGTGCACCTCAGTTCTTCTGATGTAGTATAAGGGCCATCACCAAAGACAAGCAGCATAAAGGATGTGGCATTTGAATTGAGCTCTTCAGAGAAGTACTGCTAGATGACTTTTTGCTTTCTGAAATTGATCAGACCATATCTCTATGTACTTTAGTATTTTAGTCATTGCCAGTAATAATGTAAGGGAGGTTCTTGAATACATACTTTCCTGAAACAATCAGAATCCATTCCACTGAATGGCACAGTCCGTCTCTTCTTAAAGTACATTCCTGTCGTCTGAATCTCTGTGAAGATGAAAACTTTTTTTGTTCTCTTCCTATCCCAGCTTTTGGTTCCATGTTAACCCCTGAATAAATGAATGAATAGATGAGTCATGTGAAAGCGTGAGTTTGGGGTTAGGGATGGTTTGTTAGAGAATTACAGTGATTGTTATAGGCTATGCCTTCTTGGGAGTGTTCCAAGAAGTGTTTAAGTTTGGCTTGTCTCTTTAACTAGTTCTTGATAATTCTATCTAAAGTCTTTGTGCTTTAATGTGTGAGAGAAAGTCTTGGTTGGGTGACTTTGGGTCATGTAATGAAATTATATCATCCTTCCTTCATCTTTACCTGCCTGAGTTCAACACCAGCTTGGCTACTTTCAAATGAGGCATCCTTGGACAGGCACTTTGATTTCTCTGTGTTGATAAGCATTACTTTTCTTGTGGGGTTTTGAGAGGATTAAAATAGATAATTCAGGTCAAGTTTTACAGCATAAAGTGATGGTGCATAGTGAGTATGCAGAAATGCTAATCGTTCTCACTGTGCTTAAAGGAACAATGTTCTGTCTTTCTAGGGGGAGGCTCCGGATCCAGCTCCACGAGCAGGGGTGAGATGAGCCTGGCTGAGGTCCAGTGTCACCTTGACAAGGAGGGAGCCTCCAATTTGGTAATCGACCTCATAATGAATGCATCTAGTGACAGAGTATTCCATGAAAGCATTCTCCTGGCCATTGCCCTTCTGGAAGGAGGCAACACCACCATCCAGGTAGGAAGGCAGCTTGGCAGCTGGTGTGACACCTCTGTTCTTGGGACCAGGTTCTCAAGGGGAACTTGTTTGAGAAACTTGCTGTGACCAGACATGGTTCAAAAACATGAGTTATATTTAAACACTAAAGATGTATAAAGAAAATTGGCCCAAAGTCTGCAGCTCGTGGGTATTCTATAATGTTGGTTGAATGAATGATTAAATGAAGTTTATTTTTAGTTCTTAGCCAGGAATATAGAGGATCTCATCATCAAATGACCAGAAGAGCATTTAGACTCTGAGTGTTTTTAGAAGATTTAATTTTTTATCCATAGACCCTATAGCTATTGCTGAGTATAAATTTGCCAAACTAGGTTAGTCAAAGATGAATAGATGATTTTTTTGTTGCCTTGGTTTGATACTTATTTTATTTCTTTTATTCGTACGTGCATACAATGTTTGGGTCATTTCTCCCCTCTTTCCCCCGTCCCCTCTCTTTCCCTCCATCCCCTCCCTCTCCCCCTGTACTACCAGGCAGAAACTATTTTGCCTTTATCTCTAATTTTGTTGAAGAGAGAGATAATTATTTTAAAATAATACAAAAAACTAAATTGTTGGTATAAGTCCTTAAAGAGACCATTTTAATGGATTTTAATAATATACAAATACAGCTTTTAAGAAGAAATGGCAATCTTTGTTTTCAGACATGGTTTTCTATATTTGTCTAGGCTGGCCCTGAATTCCTGGCCTAAAGCTTCTTGCTTCACACGTAGCTGGGACTTACAAGCTTACACTACTGTGTTGGATTAGAAATGGCATTTAAAATGATTCCTGTAAATATTTTTAATATCCCCCTCTTCATGCACTCTTCCTTCTTTGTTATCTCACTGAATAAGGGTTTATTTTGTTGTGTGTGGGTATGTGTATACATGTATACACATGCATCTTGATCAAAGCTTTATTGAGTTATAAATCATGTAACACAAGATTCACCCTTATGTATGTATTTGACTTGACATATTCTTGGCCTTGAATTGAAAGTCAGAGTCTGGATTACTAAAGGCTTGGTTCTTTGTGCAAATCAGAAAGGGGTGTTTCTTCCTGTGGGTAGATGCAACTCAGACAAGGACACCTGGCTTGGCAAGTACAGCACGGGTTTGATTTCAGCCCCCGCTCTCTCTTCTAGGCCGGTGCCTTATGCTTTGCACAACTGACTGCGGTGCCCTTTCTTCTCACTTCCCATCCCCACTTGCCCCAACACACACTTCTGAGGTTCATTATTACGCATTGTACTTAAGTTGAGATTTGTGACAATGAGTTAGTCACCTGTACCAAGGGTGAAGTCGACTGCTTGTGTGCATTGTCACATGGGCACACGAGATGGGATTGATGTTGGATTTTGTCTGACCGTGTGATAGGCTGGATCCTGTGGTCCTTCTCATCATTGGGATGTTGTTCCCCATCCCCCACTGCTGTGCTCGTGGTACTTGGGTTCACCTGTCAGGATGGAAGCAGTGCTAAAATGCTCCTTGTCTTTAAACCACATGTTTTCCCGTGACTAAACTACTTGATGTAAATATTCACTGAGCACTTTCTGTGTGTATGTTGCTGTACTGGGGATCACAGGGAAGTCAGGTTTCTAGATCCTGGAGCCAGTGAGTCTGTGAGAATAACAAGTGTGAAAAATAAAGACAGTGTGGTGAATTTATCATAAACCAATGTATTCATTGAATGACCACTTTATTCTAAGATTATATCTCCAGTTTTTATATGTAACTCTAGTATCTGTAATGAAATGGTATTGATAATGAGGTGATCCCTCACACACACACTGGCCAAATAAGAAACCCTAGTCATTCTGTCTCTTTTCCTGTTTCCAAAAAAGCTTATTAATTTGAGAAATCTCAGAATTCCAGAGCTCAGGATACTGATACTGAATTTGTAGTAAGCCTTTGGGGATATGCACATGGGAAGCTGTGTGTCAAGAATTATGTTTAGTGTCATCCAGGAAGTAGGAGTAATCCTGTGTGACACCTAAGGAAAGGTTGCAGCATCCGCAGGAGGAGTTTGTGAAAGGTTTTTGGGTGAGATGTTCTTTGAACGATGAACATGTGTCTGCAAGAAACTGCATGTGGACCCTGTGGCACGGGGGCTGTGTCACAGTCCATGGAAGAGAAGGCCCAGAAGGGCAAGCACAGTGTGTGTGCTCACAGAACAGGGACTAGGTCTTTTGACATTGAAGAGCATTGCATTGTGTGGTAGAGAAGAGCATCCCATTGCCTGGGATAGAAGTTGGGGTTCAATGCAGGAGCAATGTAGCCCTTCAAGGGACCTCCACACTGTAATTTGGAGCTATAAATCTTGCAGCATAGGACAGATAAACTGAGGGAAAGCAGGGTGAGAAGGAGGTAGTCAGTAATCAAAAAAAAAATTTATTGTTCTAGGTGGGGATACACTATGGCATTTATAAAAGTTCTTACAATATATCAAATATATCATACTTGAATCCATCTCTTCCATGATTCTCCTTTATCCCTTCTCCCCATTCCTGCTATAGTTTCAACAGGTCTCATTTTTCCATTTACATACATGTGTACACAGTATTTGCCATATTCACCCTCCTACACCCTTTCCTCATATCCTCCCCCTTCCCAATGGTACCAAACCCCAGACAGGACTTGCCTGTAATCCCAGCCCTTGGGAAGCACAGACAGGAGGATCACAAGTTCAAGGCTAGCATGGTTAATTTGATTCACTACAGTAACCCATTTACTGTCTATATGTATCTCATAATACCATTCTGTGCACCTTCAACAAACACAATAAAATTTATTTAAAAAGTTAATTAGCAGTAATTTAGGTCAGAGGAAGTAAGAGCCTGAACTCCTAATGAATCTCTGATGACAGCGATCATGACTGGGGAAAGGACTTTTCTTACAAGGGGCACAGGAGAGCCCTTAGGGAGTTGGAAATGCATTTTAAATCATCTTCTGCATATGTGTTACATGAATGTGTTCTTGTTTATGCACTGAGCCGTATTCTTAAAATTGGTTTGCTTTACTATACCTCAATAAAAGAAAAAAGAAAACAGTGCGGGAAGAAATGAGACCCAGACTATGTTGGGGTTGGTGGGAGAGGGAGGAGGGACAGAGTGTCAGGAACAGAAGCCAGACCAGGACCCACTGAAACCTGAGCTTGTGTGAGTTGAAATGGCACCTGGTTGGATATGGTTGATGGGACTGTCATAGGCCCCATTGGCTCTGATGTTTCACATTCTGCAGGTGAGCAGTTTCCCAAAGCTGCTGTTACTTAAGGAATGAGGAAGCCTGGAATGACTTGTGGGGGCTGAGGCCACCAGTGCTGAGCTTGCTGGTGAGATGGAGTCTGGGGTTCTGGCGAGATGCTGTGTTTTTCACAGTGTACCCCTGATGGTGATGGCAAGGCACACAGAAGCTGTTTTTCTTCAAGTTCTTTATCTTATATAGTAATTATGAATATTAGTTCCATGTTTTCACACATTTGTGACTCACATGCTTGGGCTCCAGATGAAATACCATGACGTAGCTACAGTTCAGCTACTTGTGGAGTGGAGCTACTTTTTCTTCAGGGAGCTGGGGTCCTCATGAGTGGGAGGTATGGATGTGGTAGCCTGTGGACCCCTCACTGACATGCAAGGGAAGACCTTAAGGGTTGGAGCTTGTGTTCCCCACCCACCTTCCTTTCCCCTTCTGTGACCTCTGGGGCCCAGTCTGACCTACTGCCTCATAGGAGGCCTGTGGTTCCAGGAAATTTGATTCTAGCCTGGAGATGACTTGTGAGATTCCCCCTTGGCCCTGAGTTTCTCTTTCTCTGGAGAAAATGATGTAGAACTAGGGCCGTGTCTGGGGCCTGCTGAGGACAGGAACCCTGAAGCCCCAGGGAGGGTGATTCAGAGCTTCATTTGCTGTAGCAAAGTTGGTGCAAGTAGTAAATGACCAGCTGGGAGGCAGGTCTGGCTTTGGTTAATACTGCAGTGGTGGTTATTAATGATTGCTGAGATACTGTCATCTATGCAAGTCAGGGTTGCTCCAGCTGGAACCCAAGGCCATTTTCACTTCCTGTACAGCATGACGTGCATGGTCTCAGGAAGAGAAACTGCTGTGTGGTCAGGTGGGCTTCCTGAGATTTGTTTTGCCCAGTGACTGATGTGGAAAGAGAAATTGCAGGGAAACAGACTGTTCTAGAACCATGTATTGCCTGGCCAAGGAGAGGACTGTGGCAAAATAGCTCTTTTGTTTAGTATCTAGTAGCATCTCCTCCCAGGACTGGGTACATGTTTCACATCAAGAAGAAGAATAAGACCTGCTTTCAACTCCAGTTTTATGTAAGATTAGAGAATTTATCCTTGAGTTTCTGTTTCTGTGTCTGTCAAGTGTGAGGCACACTTGTACCTTCCAGATCCCTTGCAGCTTTGAATCAAGACTTTTCAGCAGTCATTAGTTATTTCCCCAGGGAGTCTTAGCCCCCAGTAGTAATGGGTGGCTGGTTCCACTTCTGAAGTCTTCCTTGACTTATAAAAAATAATTATTAAAAATAATGGTGATTGGAAAAATACCCATACTACTCAGCAGTAAAAATGGAATAAACTGTTGATAAATGTAGTAACTCAAATACATCTCAGAAGCATTATGCTGAATGAAAGAAGCCAGTCACAAGTGGTGACATATGGCATGATTTTATTTATTTAGTATTTTAAAAGGACAAGACTAATAAAACAATAAAAATTTAAAAAATAATAAAATAAAATAAAATATTAAAAAAAAAAAGGACAAGACTAGTGAGAGAGAACAGATCACCACTCACCAGGATTAGGAGTAAGGGGACAATTTGTTTATAACAGAAGAGCACAAGGGAGTGTTTGGGGTAATGGACTCATTGGTGTCCTTTTGGTGGTGGTCACATGAATCTACATGTGTATGAACATTCATTCAGCCCAATACCAAAAAAGTCACTTTTACTGTATGATAATTGTAGAAACAAAA